AAATTCTACCAGCCTGTGCTCTGCTTCATTTTGTACTCCAAGGCAAACCATTCAACATCACAATAGTCCAAATCTATGCCCCAACCACTGGTGCTGAAGAGGCTGAAGTTGACCAGTTCTATGAAGGCCTACAACACCTTCTAGAATTAACACCAAAAAATGATGTCCTTATCATCATGGGGGATTGGAATGCCAAAAGATAATTGGAATAACAGGTGAGTTTGGCCTTGGAGTACAAAATGAAGCAGAGCACAGGCTGGTAGAATTTTGTCAAGAGAATACGATGGTCATAGCAAACACTCTTTTCCAACAACCCAAGAGACGACTCTACACGTGGACATCACCAGACGGTCAACACAGAAATCAGATTGACTATGTGCTCTGCAGCCAAAGATGGAGAAGCTCTATACAGTCAGTAAAAACTAGACCAGGAGCTGACTGTGGCTCCGATCACGATCTTCTCATTGCAAAATTTAGGCTTAAATTGAAGAAAGTAGGGAAAAGCACTAGGCCACTCAGGTATGACCTAAATCATATTCCTGACGAATATACAGTGGAGGTGACAAATAGATTTAAGGAATTAGATCTGATAGACAGAGTGCCTGAAGAACTATGGACGGAGGTTCGCAACATTGTACAAGAGGTAGCAACTAAAACCATCCTAAAGAAAAAGAAATGCAGGAAAGCAAAATGGTTGACTGAGGAAGCTTTACAAATAGCTGAGGAAAGAAGAGAAGCAAAAGGCAAGGGAGAAAAAGAAAGATACACCCAATTGAATGCAGAATTCCAAAGAATAGCTAGAAGAGATAAGAATGCCTTCTTAAATGAACAGTGCAAAGAAATAGAAGAAAACAACAGAATAGGGAGAACCAGAGATCTCTTCAAGAAAATTGGAGATATGAAGGGAAAGTTTCATGCAAAGCTGGACATGATAAAGGACCAAAATGGCAGGGACTTAACAGAGGCAGAAGAGATTAAGAAGAGGTGGCAAGATTACACTGAAGAACTATACAAGAAAGAGCTTAATGTCCCTGATAACCACGATGGGGTGGTCACTGACCTCGAGCCAGACATCCTGGAATGTGAAGTCAAATGGGCCTTAGGAAGTCTGAGCAACAACAAAGCTAGTGGAAGGGACAGCATTCCAGCTGAGCTATTCAAAATCTTAACAGATGATGCAGTAAAAGTGCTACACTCAATATGCCAGCAAATTTGGAAAACTCAACAGTGGCCACAGGATTGGAAAAGGTCGGTTTACATTCCGATACCAAAGAAGGGCAATGCCAAAGAATGTTCAAACTACTGCACCATTGCACTCGTTTCACATGCTAGCAAAGTGATGCTCAAAATCCTACAAGCTAGGCTCCAGCAGTATGTGGACTGAGAACTACCAGAAGTACAGGCAGGATTTCGAAGAGGGAGAGGAACTAGAGATCAAATTGCCAACATACGCTGGATCATGGAGAAAGCTAGGGAGTTCCAGAAAAACATCTACTTCTGCTTCATTGACTATGCTAAAGCCTTTGATTGTGTGGATCACAACACATTGTGGCAAGTTCTTAAAGAGATGGGAGTACCTGACCATCTTATTTGTCTCTTGAGAAACCTATATGCGAGTCAAGAAGCAACAGTGACAACTGGACATGGAACCACTGATTGGTTCAAAATTGAGAAAGAAGATCGGAAAGGTTGTATACTGTCGCCCTGCCTATTTAATTTATATGCAGAGCACATCATGAGAAAGGCAAGGCTAGATGAATCATCAGTTGGAATTAAGATTGCTGGGAGAAATATCAACAACCTCAGATATGCAGATGGTACCACTCTCATGGCAGAAAGTGAAGAGGAACTAAAGAGCCTCTTCATGCGGGTGAAGGAGGAGAGTGCAAAAGTTGGCCTGAAACTCAACATTAAGAAAACTAAGATCATGGCATCCAGTCCTCTCACTTCTTGGCAAATAGATGGGGAAGAAATGGAGTTAGTGACAGATTTTATTTTCCTGGGCTCCAAGATTACCACAGATGGGGACTGCAGCCAAGAAATTAAAAGACGCTTGCTCCTGGGGAGGAGGGCTATGGCAAATCTAGACAGCATATTAAAAAGCAGAGACATCAGCCTGCCAACAAAAGTGCATATAGTCAAGGCTATGGTCTTCCCAGTTGCAATGTATGGCTGTGAAAGCTGGACCATAAGGAAGGCTGAGTGCCGAAGGATTGAGGCCTTTGAGTTATGGTGCTGGAGGAGACTTCTGCGAGCCCCTTGGACCGCAAGGCGATCAAACTGGTCAGTCCTAGAGGAGATCAACCCTGACTACTCTTTAGAAGGCCAGATCCTGAAGATGAAACTCAAATACTTTGGCCACCTAATGAGAAGGAAGGACTCCCTGGAGAAGAGCCTAATGTTGGGCACAATAGATGGCAAAAGAAGAAGGGGACGGCAGAGAATGAGGTGGCTAGATGGAGTCACTGAAGCAGTTGGTGTGAGCTTGAGTGGACTCCGGGGGAAGGTGAAGGACAGGAATGCCTGGAGGAATGTTATCCATAGGGTCACGATGGGTCAGACACAACTTCACGACTAACAACAACAACAAATTCAAAAATACTTATATAAGTCCAGGCACTACAAAGAGAAGTAGAGCCACTTTATTCCTAAATAAATTCATCCATGTTGCATGAAAAATATAGAAAATGTTAGCTTACTCTTGCAGAAACCTGCCTACAATTGCAACACTACAACACAAATAGTACCTTACTTTGATATATTTGTTTAAAAAGCTGAATGGAAAAATGAATAGAATTATGTAAGCCACCTTGAGTTCCTTGAAAAAGGAAGAAAAGTGGAATATAGATATAAAATATAATACCAAAAAGTCAGCTTTTAAGTATTACTTTTGAAGAAATGAACCTATCAATATAATCACAAGAAATCCAAGATTTAAAAATATGATTTTAGGATGACATTCATATGGCCAAAGTAGCACACAGAAAATAGAAACAGAGAAACAGAGCAAGCCAGAAGGGGCCTCCCGGGCCATTTAGTCTGACCCCCACTCCAGCCAGCTCTGCTCACAACATGCCCACCATGTGCATGTCTAGCCTATCTTTGAACACCATCACTGATGGGGCCTCAATCACCTCCCGTGGAAGCCCAAAATCCATCAATGAATCTTCTGCTGGTTTTATTTTTACTTAAAGGCAGGCACATCTCCTTGGATTAGACGAGGGAAGTTGTGCTCCAAAAGGGAAACAATCTTTTCCCTCATGCAAACTGTCTAAACTGCCTCTCCCTCCACTGCTGGAGCTGCTATTTATCCCACAGGTGGAAACACAGTAGGTCATTATGAAGTCACATAAAAAGCTAATTAAAGGCTGTACTTTGGAAAGCTTAGACATAAGAGGAAAAAGGAACAAACAAGCAAAGTTTTAAAAAAATTCTTCACAAACCTGCATTTTGTTTTGAACTTGATGATCCACTTTGCTCTACTTTTGCTTTCTTTTTTTTAGAAGATGAGGACTCAGAAGAGGCAGCTGGACGTTTTTCTACAGCAGGAGTACAGAGTGCCCGTTTCTTGAAAAGTTCTCTTTCTCTTAGCAAGTTTGGATCCATAATTCTGTTGAATAAAAAAATGTCACAGACCAAAATATAACTTAATGCAACCTTATTACTCTTAAGAGTCTCTAAACAAGAATAGTTTGTTTCTTTTCCGAAGTATGGATAGTCACTAGGGCTGTATCTACAACAGAGGTATGAGGTATAGTACCTTAGGTAAATCTCAAGATCTTTCTACTAGAACTGCACATATTTATTATCTGTTATTATCTCTAGTTTCCTTTTTATGATCAGACAGCAGGGGCAGGAGAGATGGGCGGATGCTTAAAATATGTATCAGTAGATCTCAAACACTTGAAAGTCTAGCTATCAAAGCAAACTTCAAAATATATATGTGATTGTATGAACAGCTTACAGTTGGAACTCATATTACAGAATGCTGCAGTCAGACACCAGCACAAGAACTGTGCTTTGAACATAGAAATTTGGAGGATGTTATTTCCAAGAATTAACTACTTCAAGTTACACCAATTAATGGTTAATGTTGTAAAGCTTCAACTATTTCTAGAGCATCTTCCATTATATCTGGAGAAAACTGAAGGGGTTCTAAGAAGAAGAGAGGATGTTTAGAAGCAAACACGTAAAAATATAGCCTAAATGCTGCTGCAGGTGCTCCTAAAGCAGTAGCAAAACAATTGCATTATGAAGTTCTTTTGGACCAAATAAAGAATTCAACCAAGCATTGGGAAACACATTCTGATTATAAAAGCAGTTGGGCAGAAGAAACTGAAGCTCACTTCAAATAAAAAATGAGGTATCTAACTAGCCTCTCCTAACCTTTAGGACTCCCATCAGCCCTTTCCAATGATCATGAATGCTGGAGTTGTAGTCAAAAACATCTGGAGAAGCACAACATTGGGGAAGGCTGTACCAAACAGTACTTTATCTCTACACAAGAATGAGCATGGGTAAGCTTCAGGCTTGCTAGTTCCCCTCTCCTCTCATCACAGATGTTAGAAAATCAAACTGTCACTTTCAGTTTCAACTAACTTTGGTTCGTTGTTGTGTAAAAAACCCAGACAGCACATGTTTAATGTTAACTATGGAGACAAACCCACTTCAAATTGTAGAAAATGATGTAAGCTTATTTCTGTAAACTATATGTAGCACTGACCACTAACTTCATGTAACACTAACCAAGTAACATTGTTACTTCAAAACAAAATCAAAACTTTCTGATTTTCTTCTCTCATTCACATGGGCAGAAAGAGTGGGCTTGTATATACATGTTAAATTATTGTTTACCATTAAGTGTGAACCAGTGTCTCAGTATACCTTACAATAGCATCCCCCAAACTTTTGCTCACTAGATATGTTGTATTGTAACTCCCATGATCCCCAGCCAACATGGCCATCTACAGGTTGCTAGATTGGGAAAGGTTGCCTTAAAACAATGCTGCAAGATAGATCAACTCTATGTCTGACTTGCAGTTGAGAGACCAAAAGATAGCATCTTTGAGTTCACAACAAGATTTGGCAAATCTTGTAACATTCAAATCTATGTAACAATATTTTGTTTCTTTTGTTTACATTTTATAATAAAATATAAGTTTTAAAGTAATTTAGCAACTGGGACGTAGATCGCATTCTTAGCCACCACAATACAGCAGTTTTCTTGATTAGCAGGGTCCTACATTTTAAAATAGTAAAATAATACATTTTAAAATAATACGTTTATGCTCCCAAGGCTAAAAACTGCACCTAAAGACAAGGATCTGCCCAAGACTACTTATTCAAGAATAGCAACTGTTAACGTGTTTTAGCCTCTGCCTTTTATACAGCATTCAAAAGGAAAATTAAAAATGAAAGAGTTGAAAAAACAGCAACATTGACTCTGTCATCCCAAGATGAATTATCAGATAAGATAACAGAATCAGCATTTCAGGTTACAGAGGCAAACACAGGAAATGCCGCAAGCAAGGTAGGTATGATGAGCAGGTGAATGAAAAATACTGAAATATATGCACAGGTTGGCATTATTGCTACACTTGATGTAGTGATAACCTTGCATATTCGCATTCTCTCAGCCTTAGCAATATGGGATACAATCTTGCATTTCTCCTTGGAAGAAAATCAAAGTGGATTACATAACCTTGCTCTCCATTTTATCTTTGCCAAAAACCCTATCAGGGGGCTTAGGCCAAGAGTCAAGTCATCTGCCCAAATTTACCCAATGACAGCATGGGGAATAAAAGCCCAGATCTCCTGAGTCCCAGTCCAATACTTTAATCAGTATCTCACACTGGCTGTCATAATAGTTATGGGTAGTATAGAGTACTGAATTTGTGAACAGCTTTGAAAGCTTCAAGGGCATTCTTACACTAAACGCTTGTATAAAACTATGATTGGCTTATATAGTAAGGCCTCCTTCAAACAATTCTCAAAATTGTACCTTGGTGAGGCTGTTAAGAATTCTCCATTAGAAATCCCCAGCTCTCACCACAGTTACACTTTTTAAAGTCTCCCTGGAGAGTGGGAACAATGCTTATACTAGGTCTAGGGGCAAATAATCTAAAGTGTGGTATGAATGCTAAACATCATTATTAGGTAGAGAGCAACCTCTGAGTGTAAGCTAGTGCTCCCGGAAAGGATTCTCAGGAGGCATGATTCTTATGAGGATTGGGGAGAGCGGACCGTTTCATAAGCCGAAAGGAGAGTTTTCCTTCAAACAAATCCACACAAACTTCTAGCAGTTCTATTCCACTTTAACTATCAGGGCTACCACCCCCCCACCCACCCCCACATACAAGTGAATCCTGGGAACTGTAGTGTGGTGAAGCTGCTGACCTTTCTCAGTTAGAGATCCTTCTTTGTTGTCGCCTGATCTCCCCTCAGGAAACTACAGTTTGCAGTTCCAAGCCTGCTGTGGAGACATCACCACCCCCACCGGTACCAGCCCAACCGTGCCTAGGACACGAAACCGACGCTTCCTAGTTGACATGTCTGGAATGCCTGGGGCTGTGAGGCGAACGGCTCCCCTGCGGACTGCGCCCGGTCTGAGGGGCTGCTGACCGCCCAGAGCTCCCGAGATGGCCGAACTTCGGGACTTCACGTTCAGCCAGGCAGGCGCCGCCGGAGCCGCCGCCACAGCAGCAGGTGCTGCGCGGCGATGGTGCCGCTGCTCTCCCTCCCCTCGCTCCCTCCCCTCCCCTCCCCTCCCCATAGGACACCGACTCCCGCCAATCCCGTCCGGGGGCCGCGCGCGCGCGCGCGCACGAACTCACCTCGCGCACGAGGCTCCCCCAGCGACAAGGGCTAGAGGGGTGGGGGGGCAACCAACGGAGCCTTGACGCTCCTGCCTCCCTATTGGCTCAGGTTCCTACCGCAGGACTCCCACATTTCCCATCCTTCCCGTCGCTCGGCGACGCAATTTTGCGTCACACAATACAAGCCCGGAAGTTCAGCTCCTGTTACTACGGCAACAGAGAAGAGTTGCTTTCTCATGGGCGGAGCGAAGCATTACCACGACTAGCGGATAGAGGATGCTGTGCAAGGCTCGCTTGTAGTGCTTTGTGTACTCGACGGGTGGCATATGGGCACCCCGAAGAGTCCACCATGAAGGTTCATCATAACTAGTAGCATCATACGCTTCTCAGGTTTTTAGCACGTGTCTTGATTACCTGGCCCCTTTTTAAGGGGAAACTAAAACTACCCGCGTAAATACACCGATGTGTTTTCTTACTGTTTGGTGCCATGTATGTGGGTAAAAAGTACAGGCATCATGAGCATTTGTGGGTCTTTCGTTTAACAAATGCAATCCGTCTTTGTTCTGTCTGCCTTTTTATTGTCATCAACATTATGGTGACTAATGTACGACGAAAGCTTGTGTCTGATCTTCTGTAAAAATACTATCTTCTTATAGGTGGTGTAGGAATCAGGGTGGCAGTGGGCCAAAGAGGTCTATGAATCACTAATCACTTGCCTGACTCTGCTTTCATCTTGCAGCTTAGAAGGTCAAGGAAGGAATTTCTGGTTGGCAGCATATGGGAAACTGAATCTAAATGCATTTGCGAATGCTTCCTGGTGGGCTTGCACACCCTCAAATTTGCAGAAGCAACAACAGCTGTTGCTCAGCCTAGGTCCCAGGCTGAGTCAGTCAACTGGACTCCTCTTTCATGGCCTAGAGTTGAGTTCTGGGCTGATTGTGAAGCACACCTCTAAGGGGAACAAAGCTGCAGAGTTCTTTGCTAGGTCCTGACCCAGAATCATAGGAGGGCTGAGGGAACCAGCCACATCTTTCTTGTTCCTTCTTTCTGTGCAGGGCCAGTGCTCCCATGAAGTAGGCTGAATCCCCCCTTTCAAAGTACTTTGGAACCTGCTAGCTTTTGGCATTGCTGTCACACAACTCCTGCTCATCTTCTGTGGCAAATGCCACAAGAGTGGGAAACAACGCTTCCTGGGGCAGCAGTTGCTTTCTCCCATCTCTTGCTCTGAGCCTTCTTGCCTAAGCAAAAGTTCTGATGGGTGGTGGTGCATACCCTCCCACCTCATCTTTCACTAGCACTGTTTCTATTTGTCTCTTAAATGTATGTGTAGCAGCATATCTGACCTCTGCATAAACAGTCTTGAAGATTGTCCAGAACCTTTCCCCTACCTTAACTCTTATTCCAGAAAAAATTGAATTTTACAAATTTATGCATTTTAAAAATTGGCTGCAGGAATAATCCTGTAGTGATTATAGTAAACCCTCAAATTCAGAAGCTTACAAGCACATTGTATGAAGGGTGGCACAAGTGATCTATGCTGCCCTGTTTTTACCGGACAGGCATTTTGCTTTTCGCAAAAGAATGAAAGAAGCCTAACCATTTTTTGGGGGGCGGGGGGGGGGATCTCACGATAATTTGTATCTTGGTGTCCTTCCCTCACTCCCCACCAGAATACCTTTTCCTCCTATTTAACACTTTTGTAGACTGTCCCATTACTGAAGTCTCGGGACAGTTTAACAATACAAAATGTTTCTTTTAAAAAGGGTCACTCTCCTGACCTTGGAGAGCAACCATCCTGGTTCTCTCCACATAGGTTGTAAGTGGGGGTTAGCACTCTGATTTCTGCCTCCAAAGTTGGAGAGTTTCAGACTGTTATCCAGGAACTGAAACTATCCTAGGATCCTCAGACGTTAAGGAGGCAATCTTAATTTATCTCCTTGTAAACTGAAGCATGGTATTAGCACCACAGAAATGAACCCCAACTTCTAATTATAAATATATTTTATTTCTGATAAGGTGCCAGAAATAGTTGAAATTAAAGAAAATAAATCATGTTAACAATAGCAATAATACAGTTTAGTTGTGCACCACAATATCCAGCTGTGGAGTAATATATACAGATTATAAACATAACACAAGAACATGGGATTGCCCACTTCGTGCAGCTGCAACTCAGCTAATACCAGCAGGGCAGCTGAGGAAAGCTGAAGTAATACATTCAAAGGCCAGGGCTTTCGGCTGTTCTTCAGGGAGCACTCTTCCTTTTCTGTAGGCTATCAGATTTAAACAGAAGTTATGCAATATACCAATATTCAGAGCATTTAGCAAAATAAGCATTTCAAAATATGATCTGACATAATCCATTATTTTTCTTTTTTCCTAGTTTTCTTGGAGCTCAAGCTTTGAGGTCTGATATATCCTGTTTATGAATCAATTCAAGAATGATAGGGCTTCATTTACACCTATATCTAGCCATGATTTATGTGGAAATAAGTGAACAGGTTTCTTCCTCAACATTAGTTATTTTGAAAAAGGATCACACTGAATGAAATGTATGAATTAGCTATAAAGCTTAAATCCGTGCTATATATAAAAGTAATTTCATGATAACTTTGAATTCAGCCAAAAAGACCTTTGCTTCCACCTTCCTTGGCTTTCTTAGAAGTATTAATGTGAGTAAGCGTTCTCTCTGAGGTTCCAAACCACTCTGGTAACTTCCTTTTTGAAGGATGCCTTAAGATCTAAGAAAAGAATAAAATACATTATTTCACTATCACACACCACTGTTGACTCACCTATCAACTGGTTGGGTTTCTACCAGCCTGGCTTTTGGAGTGGAGGATATGTCACCAAAAGACACCGATTGGTCCAAGGTCATTGAGGAAGCTACATGGCAGAGAGGGGCTATGAATCCAGATTTAGTCTACCACATTATCCCAGCAGCTACTTGTCCTTCATCCACAATATCTCACTGCCAATTGGTCATCAGCTGAAATAGTATGGGAGCCTTATATTGTACCATTCTGTACACTGACAACCTTTACCTGAATCACTTTAAGGTTTGTGCTTAATCAACCCTAGCAGTGCGCTCAGGAAGGTGCTGAGTATGAGATTTTAGTGATACAACAATTTACTACACTTCCTCCAAAGAGCCGGGTGTGTTCCATTTAATCTGCCTAATAACCATGTGAAGGATGTTAGGCTAGGGAGTAAAGTATGTGTTATAGTGCAGGCTTTCCCCCAGCATCTCATACAGAAATGGCTGCTCAAGTGGAGCTCAAGCCAAAACACTCTTACATGTAATGGTGTTTTAAGAGCCTAGTTATAATACCTGAAAAGGCAAAATACAATATATTCAGGGCCTTTTCATTTACCATTTTTTAAAATGTTTCTGTTACAGATTATTTATAAACAATTACCTGTGATTGGCAATCAGCAAAGAGATCTTCATCCTCAGCACTGAGGGAAGGCTCATTCCATGAGGCCAATTTAATAGAGCTTTGACGGCTTTGGACATCACCAAGTAAGTGCTGTCTGCTACTGCTCTTCATCTTTGAAATAAGAAGTATGGTGTAAACAGAAAAGAATGAAGACCGGATGTGTTCTGATATTGCACACATTACCTTTCCTACTGTTCGCGTGATCATCTGTGCAGCCCAGTGCTTATTCAAAGATCTCCAAAAGGCTACGTGTGTAGGAACAGAGGGAACACACATGTACACCGCTTAAGTCTCAGCATTTGATGACGCACAGCTAAATGTGAGAATTTCTCATTGAAAAGCATTGTGTTTTGAGCTACCACAAATAACCAAAAGCTCTGCCTGTGGTGTTTGATCTGTGAATGCTCACTATGACATGCAAAGCATCCAGTAACAACTCATGCTGATCTTTGTGTGTGTCAGCATCAATGCTATCTCAAATTTAGCTGCCCAAATGACTCTGTATGGCAATATATTGTGGGTTTAAGCCTGCTGATGAGGAGTAAAGAATGCAGCACGTCCAAGAACTATAAAAATACAGCAGTACTTAAACACTGGAGGCATCATTTTCCTCAGGACAAACAGCAAAAAGATATTTCAAATGCAGTCTTGATGTACTTCATCAAGCATTTGATAATAGTTGTGATGAACAAATTTAAATCACAGGTATTTCACTAAATAACTAAACAAATCCCTTACACATTGTGATACTTTCCACTTTAAATTTCATCTGTATCAACAAAATTAGCTGCCAAAAAAGGCTGATGTGCAGACTTCCTGTGGGAAATTATAAATGTCAAGTATATAAAGGAAGAAATCTAGGACCAGCTAAAATTAAAGCAAAATCAAAACCATGATAAATTTAAAATGTATGTATTAATATTAATATAAAGAGTTCAAAAAGTGAACATTTTTAAATGTCTAATGTCAATATATTTCTGGTACTTTATTGATGCAAACCTGCTCCTATTATAACAGACAAGTAAAAGAAATTTCAAGATTTCATAAAACTGAGAGGCTTAAATTTCTGTGCTTGGGCTGAGTGAACTTTGCTAAAATGCATGCTTCTAGGCAAAGGTAAAAACACAAGAGTTTGCTGTAACATTCATGTTAAAAAGTTATACTGTGGGAGGCAAAATGTTGTGGGGAGTACAGTATTTGAATTCCACAGATAACATACACATGCAGAAAGGCTAATGGGTGAAGACACTGAGCACTGTAGATGCTTGTAACTTCTGTTGCATACATATGTATTATAATGTAACAGATCATTACCAAAGATGAAGAATCTGTGCATGAGGTATTTTGCTTTGTATTTTCACTTGATTCATAAATAGATTTGTGCACAATGGGATCGACTGAATTCTCCTAGAAAAGTAACATACACTGTATCAATACATTTGCTTTAGATTAACTGTAGTTAAAAAGTACATAATAGGATGTAAAAATGGCATCTCATCAAAAGGAAGATGAAATGTCAAAGACTGACCAAACTGTACCCTCAAGGCAAATATATTACCAAAACATTAAAATCACACAAAAATAGATTCAACTATTGTAAACCAATCATAACAGGAGGCAACGGCAATATACACAAGATGGTCTTTAGAAAATGGTGTGGTGGTTAGAGTGTTGGGAGATACAGGCTCTAGTCCTCATTCAGCTATGAAACATAGCGAGTGACTTTTAGGCTAAGAGTCACTCACTCTCAGCCTAAATCTCAATCTCCACCTCGCAGGACTGCTGTTGTGAGGATAAAATGGAGCTATGTAAGCTATTTTGGTTTCTCACAAGAGGAAAAAGATAGGATATAAAATGCAATAGAATAATAACAAAAGCAACAAACTATATCATTCATCTCACAATGATAAAAGGGGGAAGGTATCCCAAGACCCTCTCTGCTGCCATCGTGACTAGGAGATTGCTTCTCAGAAATAGGCTTTTCATCCAACCCTTTGCTTTCTACAACAGCTAAGGATGAATAGATGACTAATAACACAGACCCCACTGAAAGCTCTAGTCCAGAGGCTGCAACTAACGTGTTCTAGGTAAAATTCATTGTCTGCCTACTTATACAATCCTGTTCCATGCTCAGGACTAATGTTGCAGAGTGAGAGAAAAGGAAGGCATTAGCTACATTGGAAAACATGATCCCTTCTCCACAAACAACTAACAACAGAAGTGAGTTTCTGACTGTTGCACCAGCAAGGTTAGCATTGCACTGGCCTCAACAAGGGGTGATAACTGGATTTCTCCATTCCTGCCTCTAGGTGCTGCTGTGGAACCATACTCCTGACAGAAGATGAAATCACTACCGCATTTTTATTTCACCCTTCCTCTAAAGGGGCTCAGGCTGAACTTAGCTTTCTTTCATTTTTACATTATGATGAAGCTGTGGGCATCCTCAATAGCTATCTGGATTCGATAATAGTCTCAAAGTTTGCTAATAAACATGAAAATCTGCCCAGATAAAAGACTAGGGCTGTTGATGAATAGATTGCCAAACTGGGGTGCGGTATTTGCCTCCTTCCCTGTTACAACCAGTTCAGAAGGTGCTGGTTAATCCAATGCTGCTGTGAGAAGCTCAAATAGCACCTTTGAGTTACGCACTTTACCAGATTCAGCTGAGTGCTCCCTTCATGGAAAGAGATGACCTGAGCTCAAGAAACTGGGATGTAGTAACATCCTGGATGCATGCTGTGTTATGGTCAGCCTGGAGTGGCCCACTCAGCCAGACCATACTAACTCCATCTTATCAGGTCCAAGAGAGAAAAAACCTCCCTTATGCAATCAGTTGTAGTTTTCTGCTAAAGTTTCGATCATCAAGATTGCTGGCACTGCAATGGAGGTGCCCTGGCTGGGGTCATCTCAAGGCCAAATGCTTCCACTTAAACCTATCTGACTAGTGAACTGTCCAGGTACCTAAACAACCAGGAGTCTTCAGAATCCAGCTCAGAGGTGGGGATGAGCTGACCAGACAAAAGACAACAGGCAAATAGATATACTGCACTGGGAAATGAAATGGGTAGATCTTTCTGTCTTGGTACTGTGCTAAGAGAAACTCTCACAGGAAGTACTGTAGCTTGACACAGGCACCAAAGGAGATGGCTCCAAGGTTTTCTCCAGTACAGGTGCTCCTAGTGTATAGGTTTCCCTGAAGGAGAAGGAAGACCTGACTGCCTTGCCATGGAGCCTAGCAGTCTTCAAGGAACCAGGAAGGCAGCTGACTTCAGGGCTGTGCTAGCTGGGCTGTATTTTCTATTTTGTAATTTGCCACTGAATTGCCACTTCAAACCACTTACTGCTTTGTGCTCCAAATCTGATCAACCTGTTTCCCCCATTCTGAATCCCTGATAAATCTTCTAGCCTGTTTGCACCACAGCCTAGTCTGTGTGTTTGAAAAGAGGAAGCTCACAAAGAGATGCACCACTATCAGTCATACTAATGTTCATTTAACCAAGTTGCATTCAACTTGCTGAGCAAAGCTTGTAGCCTAGCTATGCTCCCCTAAGGATATAAGGGAGCTGCAATGAAAGAAACTGAAAGAAACTCTTGTTTCCCAACACAAGAAACGCAGAGGGATCCTTGGCCAGTTATTCCTAGGGACCAAAAGCACTTGGAGACTGGGAAGACTAGAAACAACTAGAAGACTTGTTTTATTCTTGGTGGTGGCAGCCAGTACCAGTTTACTCTCCTGCACCAGGCCTTATGCCCATAACTGGGGTGCCCCAGGTGTAAATGGGGCTGTCCTTGAGGACTACCCAAAAACTACTGATGGTCCAAAACATAGCAGCCAGACTTAGTTAGGGCTGACTGCTGTGAGCATATTATTATGAATGCTTCTCTGTATTAGTTAATGCACTGTAACACTGACAGACAACATTGGAATCAAGTGCCTTGAGAACTGAACAGATCAGGGGCCAAAATGTTGATCCACAAGCCAGGTGTGTATGTGGGCAGGTGGAGAATTGCACAACAGCAATGGTTTGACTCATATGCCCAAACAGGGATTGCTTTATGGGGGACCTTAACATTTCTTAATTGGACATAAACTGGTATTTTGGAAGGAAAGGACTAATGGGGTAGTTTTTCCATCCACTGCAGCTATATTCGGAGAACAGTATTTTCAAGCCTTTCCAAGCAGAATTTGAGCTACAGCCCTCTGCTGCATGCCATTAGATACAACTCATATACACACATGCAACCCAACATCCTTACATCTTGAGCCTGATGGCCAGAGAGTTCTTCCATTCAAGTTTCATTCGATTTAATTAGTTGAAATCAACTGAGTAAACCTTAAGCTTATTAATCAGAAGAGGCCAATTTTAGTTAGTGGTGCTGTGTGTTAAAGCTCATACTTTTTATACTCGTACTGGTGCTACCATAGTAAGAAGATCTGTCACCACACTCAAGAATTCTTTGAAATCTTTGCATGCATTTTTACATGAACAAACAATACTTCTGGAGGAGCAGGAATCACATTCTCTTTAGGAATTACGACGTGTGCCGTTCTCACAGTGGGCAACAAGAGAGGAGAGAAGTGCTTCCCAATTGCAGGGGATTTTTTGGTTAGAGTAGCAACTGAATACATGAGCAAAAACTGAAAATTAGTGGCTTGCACTTGAGAAGTTCATTAACAGAGTACTGCACAATTACAAGAAGGGTCTAAGTGTAGCTTACATCCATTAAAACTTGTGTTAAATCTAATGAAATTGTCATGATTGTGGAACATTTCATCTTTTAGAAAGAGGCACAGTGCCTTATAGCCAGAATCTACTTTTTTAACATCACAGTGTACATGAGAATCCTTAACTGATTCTCAGAATCCAGGCTACACTGTTTGTTTTTCAGTTTGAACTGCCTGCATCCCCAGAGAGCAGAAGGTTCCTTGCAGGAGGCTCCTCACTAGCTAACTCCTTAAAGCCTCTGACAGTGAACTTACAACAAAAATTCAGTACAGTAGCTGCCATGATTCCTGTTTAGGTTCTGCAACTGCCATGTGCGATGTAGAATGTCCAATGTCAGAATGGGACACTGTTCAATCCCTCCTGAAAGGGAACTTAGTATCTATTTGCAACAATGAAACAACTGCAAACACACCTGGGCACTAAAGCACCATGGAAATAAATCAGAAGGCTACTTATCAAAGAACCAGAAAGAAAAATAATAATGTTGACCATGCTTTCTGTCCTTTTCTTGCAGGCTTAGATGGTATTTTTATAATGTAATTTACAGACCATAGCTTCATTCTGCAATATTTTCATCCTGTTCTTCTCAGAGCTTCCTATACTTGACTATGGATAATCAAATGCTTGAGGAGGTCCTGGCTCCTCTGAATCAATCTGCTACCTCAGCTGTTGACTTCTACACTTATTCTCTAGTAGGGCAACTGTTATGCTTACAAAATATTTTTCAGTGTTTGCGGAGACTACTGTTCTAATGGCTTGGGAGGCAGAAGAACATTAATGGAGGAATTCTTTTCTAAAAGAGAATCACTTTGAAGAGCTGTTCAAATACTTTTAAAAAATCAAATATACCAAAGCCTTGATCATGAGAATGGGCAAGATACTCAATCAAGATTAATCATGGCAGTTTTTAAAGCCCTGAAGAGAACAAACCATGTTTTGGATAAATCAGTGGGGATTTCCAAATATTGCTACACCTCCCAACCCCTATGCTCTAAAGTTGGAGCCCCCTCAAAAGTAGATTAACCCATGCACTTAATAAAGAGCAATGAAACCAGCATTGTTACCTTCTCTACATAGTCCCCCCACCAAGCCCACTGGATTTCCTCCCATGTCTCAGCCTTTCAAGGGTAGAGGAAAACAATTAAGATCACAATTATTCAGAACATTTACATGCAGATTGAAAGACATGAATGTGCATGTGCTGCAGATGAGACAATTTGTTTCTAATTTAAACTCAAAGTGTTTTGATAAAAATGAAAGCAGCTTGATTAGAAGGTACAATCAGCACTGGCCCATAAACATCAGCTGTAATAAAGTACTGCCCATATCTCTGTGATTAAATACTGCACCATGTTGATCTTCAAAGGTACTGATGATGTTTATGGCCCTATTTCAACAATGTTATCTAACAGAGGCTGCAGAATTGGACTGAACTTCTCACTTGAGTTGATGAGAGGGTTTTGAATGACTTTAGTGATCATCTCTTATCACAGGTGTCAGACCAACTTGTTCTAAATCAACTGGGTAGTCAACTTTCAAAGCTTGGGATAAATGTGTGCCAACCTATGTAAGAGGTAAAGACCGACTGCTACTTATGCCCCTCTGGGGAAACAAGTAGAGGAAATTCAAAAGGTGTCAATAAAACCGGTCTCTGAGAGTGAGAGATCCAAAGTGTGTACTTGTTACTTCCTCAGAAACAGAAATGGTCAAGTTTTGTCCTTTAATCATCCCCGGATTGCTTCAGACATAGAAATACAACTTTTAAAAAGCATATGAAAGAGATAGCATATGTTTGGGAACTCATACATCATGCAGGTACACTCAGCAGAGAGCCAGGCCTCTGCCATGTATACACTGTTAAACTGGAGGTTGCTGACTTACACTGAAGGGAATGGCCTTCACATACTCAAACCCACATGGCACAGCAAATGACTTCATTACTCTAATTATGCCACTGTTCTTCCACTAGGGGGGCTACCACCATTTTCTCCTTACTGTTAGGGAACAAGATGCACCAAGGTGAGGCGGGGAAGAAAAGATACTCAATATGGCGGCTTGTGGCTACATGCAAATTAATAGCTGCTGCAAAGTCAGCTGTGCAAGAAAATGCTGGGGAGAAGGAACGAGAGAGGTAGGAGGAGAAATAAATAAAAGGAGAACAGCAAGAATTAACAATGAATACAATGCTGGAGGTTAGTTAAAATCCGTGTCTCAGGTCTAAGCACCCTTTCTGACAAGTAGATTTCCATTTTGAAAAAGCTCACTTGTGAGTCACTTTTGAGGATTAATAGGTGCAGACAGGAAGACACATGGTGGATCTGGCAGATCTTTTATATCTATGTCAATATAGATTACTCAGTATAGATTACTGAATATATTTAATGTTCTTTTTTAATTTTCCTGTACTAAAAATATCAAGCAGCCTCTTATGCATTCTCTCTGTACACTTTGACAATTATCTTCTTCCAATAAAGACAGCAGCTGCATGTTATGTTTGCCGACTTTCTCCCAGACAGTAGACACCAGGGTGCACACCTTAATCAATAGTTATTTGATACAAGGCATCAAATTACCTAGTGCTAATTGTATTATTGCTCCTTGTTAATTAGTCCTTGGGCATTTTAAAATTTGTTGGCTATCTAACAAGGAACACACCTGGGAGAAGGGAGTCAAACAGGAAGCAAACCCAGTGTCACTGTGTAGAAGCATTCTGACAAATAACTGTGTCATACAGGGCTGAGCCAAAAAAGTGGGGAGATGGTGAATCACTTTTAATGAAAACATCTGGCAGGGTTGAAAAATGGCAGCTTGAGGGCATTCCCTGAAAAGGAGCAGAAGTCGTTCTCCAGTCCGACTGTGGCAATGCAGATCCCCGAAGCATTGCTGTAACTTGCATTCAGTGAGAATGCGGCATAAGCGGCACATTGACAGCACGATGGCCAATGGACTTCAGGCTGCAAATGTAACTGTTATGAAGAAGACTGTCAGGAAGAAAAAGCTGGTATCAAAGCACCAGTGGAGAGGGAAAACAATGGTGGCAAACACATTAAACAGGTGGATCTCATATCAGTTGGGAGGGTTACAGGATCTGTTTTGGTCCTACCCACTACCAGAAATAAAGCAGACAAACATTCAGTGTGTTCTTCATAAAAAATATACATTTCAAAGCCACGTAAGAAATACAGCATAAATACAGAACCAAACACTTATCAGCAACTTCAATGTCATGAATACTATTGAAAGAATTATATCATAGGGTTTCATGGATAAAAGCCCACTTCACAGATGCATCCCTGGACTGTAGCCCACAAAGTTCATGACACAGAAAATGGTTATGCTGCAAGATGCTTCTTTGTTGTTGCTGCAACAATCTAACGTGGCCATGCAAGCATTAAGTGCTGTGCTCCAGAGAGGGTCGCCCCCCTCAACCCGGTAATAAACTAGGACAGCAAAACACCAACTTATGCAGAGAGCCAGTTCTAATCCATGCCTCACCAGTGTATTTCTGCTTGTTAAGGGCACTGGAGGTAATCCAGCACGTTCACATAATCTTGGCAGGACAGCCCTCCCCTCTTGTGCGCACACCCATCGACATGGGGGGCAGTTCACTGTAATGTGAGGCTGTGTAGCTTTCTGGCACTGATTGCAGCCATAAGGGATGGTGAGATTGCATGAGTCCCTCGCACACAGAGACTTTGTGGCCACTGGGGCATCAAAACATGGGGCCCCCCCCCCCCCCCCGCATGTGGTCATCAGCCTAATTTCATGGTGTGTGGAAAAGAGGACGATGCGAGGGGAAATGGAAGGCAGCCAAAGCAGATGAAGTGATGGGGAAAAGCCCTTTGCAAGGGATCTGTTCAGACCTGTGGCAAGGATGGGAAAAATAGCAGAAGGGGCTAGACATGGAGAGAGCAAGTGTTCTGGAAGTAATCCATCTAGACCTCTGGCAAGGGAGATCTGTATCACCCAGGTAGCCTGCTGGGCAGGGAAGAAAAGGGGTGGAGGAAGACAGAAAAGAGCCCAGCGATGGAGGGAAAGAAAAGGGCATGGCCCCACTCATATTTAGTTCTGGCTCCACCACTGCCTGCATGCAGCTCCTTGCATGTGAGCCCCAAAGCAAAGTGGCACTCAACAGAAAAACAGTTCACTGCCCCGGCTGAGAACCCAAAACATTATCAATTCAGTATGACTGTCTTCCTGGTCACTTGGCATGCCCTGTTCCACAGCAGTTCCTCCCAAGCCACAGGGAATGTAACAAAAAAAAAAAAAAGAGATTGTGGGGAAGCAACCAGTCTGAATATTTTTTAATTTATCTAAACCAAGGGTAATATCCAGTGTGAGGCTACTACTGACAGAAATTCCATTGTGCTAGCCTAGCGAACCTCTAGCATAATGCTAATAGTGCTGCCTGGTCTGATGGGTTTCCCTGGAAGGCAAGTGGTGCCACAGCAGGCGAGTGGTGCCAGAAGCCATTTCCGCTAGCAGGAAGTAGTTTACATTCGCAGTGGCACTTCACTGGATACTACCACAAATTGCTACATAGACTGCTTTCCACTGAAGTACTGCAGGTTGGAAACACAGCTGGGGGTTCAAAAAGCTTACCAAGGACATATTCTTCTCTTGAAACAAGGTGTAAGTTATACGTTCTGATTCTGTTAGAGTGCTGCATTTCTCATCTTTCTGAAGGACTGTATCTGGTTGTTCTCTGGACACAGATGTCTTGAAAAGGACTGTCTGCACAAGCAACATTTTATTTTTGAAAACACTAATAGGCTGAGAAATAAATCACGCTGAGGGCAAAACAGCACATGGAAGGAAGGAAGTACACTGTTCCAAATTAAACAGTATTTAACAGATAAGCTAAAGGAATGGCTGAGATTCAAAGATGGTTATTATGTTGTCTCCCATGTTGCACTGTATATTAACTTTGTACATGTATCTGGTTGTGTTTTGAAAAAACTTGCTTGAGAAAAAAGCTTCTTGTATTGTCTCATGTAAAATTACTCAGGTTGAGTAATCTTATGGACTGACTCTGCTGCTAGGCTGTATATATTATCATAACATCGCGCACCCGAGTTCATTTCCTGCATTCACCCAACAGAAACAAGGAAAGCAAAACATACTGCTCTGAAAAACAAAGAACAGATCAGACCCCCAGGATCTGTGAAGACAACCTCACCAATGATGGGCCTGCATGGCAGTAACCCTGCCAGGTCAGCCAGCCATAGGAGATGCTGTGGCTGGTTGAGAGCAATGGGGAGACCCCACCCCCGAGGCAACACACACCAGCCACACACTATGCTACCACAGCACCCTCTGGTGCGTGAGCTACTGCCATGCAGATGGCAAGAATCTAGGGCTCAAGCAGTCTTATGACTCCACAACACGAAGCAGTGGATGAACAGGGAACGTAACATGACACCCAAATAGCTACCTGGGGGGGAACCTATACAGAGCTCCACAGACCTTCCTGGGACAAAGTTTGGAGATCCAATTGAAGGTCAGGAAGCCTTCTGCAGACAGTGCAAAGAAAGAACGTGGATGGGCAAGAGGGGAAGCTACAATGATGCTCACACCAGAGCAGCCTCAAGTAGCTCACTGCAGAGGACATAGGGCTGGGAAAGACATAGCCCTATTCATGTGTTGATGTGCCAGGGGCAGTCACTTTAGAGGCAGACAGGGAGTACTCCCTGGACTTGAAGCCACGGACAAGTTCCACAGAGAAGCAGTCCCTCAGCCTTAGCAGGAGAGAGACACACAAGGGGGCATTTGTCATTCCCCAGCCTGAGGACCCAGTCAGATACACAAGGCAACGCAGAAGTACTAGCCCAGCAGAACAGCTCAGATTCCATATGCAAGTGTTCCCATGTTCAACCCCAGGAGTGATGGTCTACTGCAAAAGGCTGGGAGAAGCCCCCTGCCTCTCACACACACACTGAAGACAGAGGTACATGAACCAATCACATGCAGAGGGCATGCCCATATGTGCTCTCTGGTGAACTGCATGGGCCACTCTGAGAGGACTGCCCCCTTCCACTTCCCAGAGCCTGAATGAGCATCATGGATCCCAAGCCTTGAAAGCAACCAGAACCCCATCTCCCTCCCAGTCCGTGTCACATTCTGAAGCCGGTTACAGTGAGACAGCACTGGGGACTGGGGAGAGTTCTCCGTCTGCTTAACCTGTGGCAACAACGAAACACTACATGTGGCAAAGCCCTCATGGAAAGTGCACTGGATGGCATTAGTTCTGAAAGTAAAACAGCACATATATGGCATTGCTCCTTATGTCGCTGGAAGAGAAACTACCACTGGTAGTGCCCTTCCTGGCTCCAGCTCCATACTAGGAACACCTTCACCTGTTCTACAACCCCATAAGGAAACTTGCAGAGGTGTGGGGGCCTGTTCGGAACATCCCACTGAGAGACAGCTGGAGGTGCTCTGATTCTTGCTGCCAGCAGCAAGAAGGGTCTCCCTTGAGCTGGGACTCAGGCATGGGAATGGGGGAAGGCCAAGGTAGGTGTTATCTGCATCTACCAGAGAAGTGCCCATGTGGGGCAAAGGGAGGCAGAGTAATGGGCCCTGGGTGCACAGCTGGTGTTAACAAGGAAGCAACAGAGAGTGAGTGGTGCCATCTGAGTTCTCCTTCAGTGCCTTTGCTCCAGTCTCCCATTCATCCCACCGCACCATTGGGAGGCTCTGGGGAGCAGGTAGGGGGAAGACTGACCTCATTAGTATGTACCCTTTCACTGCAGGGAGTGCCTGTGCAGCACAGTGTGTGCAGAATCTTTGTTCTGCTCCACAGGTTTGGGCTACAAGGTAAAGCAGCTCACAAGACTTTTCTAGTAGATGGAATGGAGCACCTGGCATTTGCTAACAGAGAGCTGTCCTGCAGGGGTGCATGTCACTCTCGCATCTCCCTCCTGAGAGAAACTGCTCCCAGCTGTTGGGGAGGAAAGGATGGATGTTTCACTGATATAATGTGTATACACAGCATGAGAACTGAAGGAGAGAAATGGAAGAAATTTAAAGGAAATAGACTTTGTAGTGCAGATTCCCCTTTCCCTGTCTACAGTGTACTGTCTTTGCATCCCAAGTCCTGGGACCTGAGGGGATTTCTGTAAGGCATTTAGGTCTGCAGTCCTGAGGCAGAGAAGCTAGAAAAGTTCTGTGAAGACAGATATTAGCAGTGTGTTGTCCCCATCTGTGGAAACAAGGAAAGTGCCCTTTCTTGAGAGTTTCTAGCACTTGAGTTTCCTCTTGTGATGCTTGAAAGAATGCAGACTACAAAAGCTGCAGTGATATATTGGGGTTGGTGTGGGTAGTCTGAATCCTGTGGTCTGCTTTGGTGGCATGAACAGGAAACAATTCCAGGCTTACAGGTATTCTAGAAATAATTTTGGATGGATGGATGGATGGATGGATGGATGGATGGGGCTTTTAATTTATATCAACTCTAGCAGTGCAAAGTAGTGCTGCCATCAGAGGTTGCATCAAAATCTTACGGGGGGGGGGGGGTCCAGTGAGTCCCTCCTCCCCAGCACCATGCACATCCCACCATGTCTTAGCATCTCTGCTGGCAGGGCAAAAATGCCAGCTTTTGCAAACAATGTTTCTAGCAGAAGGCAGTCCAATGCCACTGCAGTGGAAATTCTGCCATATTCTGTAGGCTTCCACACAGCAATTCTTCAATAAGAACTGCATAACCTGAAAGGTTTGGGGGTTTTGAAAAAAATTTTTCCCTGTTTTAGTCCAAATGAAAAAAAACCAACACTACCACAAAGAATGGATTATGGGAGAAGTTGGTAAGTTTCCCAGATTTTCACAGGAGTGCATTCTTTTTGAGCTCAACCTTGAAATGCATTCATCTCCTGCCAATTAAAGAGAATATGGTATTTGCAGCTCAGCATTAACAGGACAGTCATTAGAAATAGTGTGATAAGGTTTTCATGTATGGATTGATGAGTGCTGCCCTTCATGCAATCCATTATTATGCACATGACGAAATGCTGAAGGCTAAAATAAGAAATACTTGAACAGAAACAGTCTTGTTTTCAATTACTTCTGACCTGTAAATTATTTTCTTGGCAGAATTCCTTGATTGTGATCAGAAGAGGAGCTAATATGGTAGATTTTGCTTCAGAAACACCATCAACTTTCTTTAAATTAGCCACGGTTGTAGGCCTGAAAAAAACATTGAAGACATCCTGTGATTTCATTACTGTGGCTTAAGGCATTAAGTGTATGAAGACGATAATTCTAAATTTAACACATAAAACCCAGAAATTACTACCATCAGTGGTTATGTTGAACTAGTCAAATTCTTTCAGATCTTCTACAAACCTCTTAAGATTGTTTCCATAAATGACTAAGGGCAAATAAATCAGTGTTTAAAAATCTAAAAGTCCCCTAGCCAGGGCCATTTCTAATTGATGGACATTATTCAAAGATGATTCAGTGTCCATGTTCATTCAGTAACTGTCAGGTCTCCAACATTTATCACATCAGACAGTACATGTGGCTGGTGCAGTATAGTGGCTAAAAGTGGCTAAAAGACTCACAGCGAATCATCACGTCCCAACATTGAACCTCTCCTTTGCCACGAAGTCACTCTACTTGGACAAGCACCACGCACTCCCTCTCAGTCCCCATCAGCAATTTGAGGATAAGAATATGGAACTACCTTACAAGAATATTGTACAGATAACAAGATAATGTCACAGCATCAGGAAAGCCCAGCCCACAGCCAAAGAAGCCTGCTGGGCACATTGGATCTCAAATGAGGGCTTTACTTCTCCCTGAAGGGACGCTCAGAGGGGAGAACAGGCAGAGGGAGATTTGCCCCTCCATCTTCTTCCGTTCTCCATGTGGGCAAAGCAACAAACAGTGAAGCCAGGGCCACAGTGGGCTTTTCTTGGCCTGAGCTATCCCTACCTTACCCAGGAAAAAACAAAAAACAAAAGCAAAGCTGGTTTCCCAACCAAGACACCAGCTGGAACGCTTCGGCCAGGGACACAATGGTGTTACAAAGCAGGCCCTTGCCCCAGAAGCCATCTAGTCCTTGAGAGGTCCAGAAAGGGGTCCAGACCTCAAAAAGGTTTGCCGCTCAAACACTAAAGCACAATATAAATGCTTGCATTATTTCTGTTATCATCTGGGATGAATAACATACAAGTAATCAGTTGATACGGAAGTCAACAAATCAATATACATCCATGTGTAAATTACAGTCCACTTGTAATACAACCAAGCCCAGATTTATTTCTTTTGTTTAGCCTGACAGGTTGAATATGTTGGTTATTTGTCTCATTGGATGTTTACCTTAATGATTTCAAGATTCTTTGCTTGCGCTTTTCGGAACAGTGTTTTTGTTTGGATGGCTCAAACAGCATTCCCCAAGCTGGTGCCCACCAGATATATTGGATTTTGTGGGTTACAGTTCAACACATCTGGAGCGAACCAGGCCAGGGAAGGCTGACCTAAAGACTTTGAGTGGAAGACAAGGCTGAAGAAAAATATCTTGCTGTTGTTGTTAGTCACGAAGTCGTGTCCAACCCATCACGACCCCATGGACAACATTCCTCCAGGCCTTCCTGTCCTCCACATTCCCCTAGAGTCCACCTAAGCTCACAATGAGTGCTTCAGTGACTCCATCTAGCCACCTCATCCTCTGCTGTCGCCCTCTCCTTTTGCCGTCAGGGTCTTCTCCAGTGAATTGTTCCTTCTCATTAGGTGGCCAAAGTATATGATTTTCATCTTCAGTATCTGGCCTTCTAAAGAGCAGTCAGGGTTGATCTCCTCTAGGACTGACCAGTTTGATCGCCTTGCAGTCCAAGGAACTCACAGGAGGCAGCTTTTCCTCAGCTTTTGTAAAAATATCTTACAAAAGCTTTATGATCTTCCCTAAAATGGAGCTGGCCAGCAGGACCAATAATGGGAGTTTTAGTCCAAAACCTTTGCGGGGTACTAGGATGGGGAAGTTTGAATGCTCCTGACAAGGCTCCTAAAACCTTTTCTGCAGCTGCACTGTGCTGAGGATTTGTACGGACCATTTGGAAAATGAACTAGCTGTGGCACAAAGTTCACAAATTGAAATGGTCTAATAATATGGTATATTCATTGAGACAGAAGCAAATGTAGAAGACAGACAATACTTTGCCAGTCTAGAATTCAACATTAGAAAAGACCCTGGAAAAAAGTGAGGCTCAGCCAGATGTAAAAGTATAAATGGCAGGGGGGCTCCCACCCAATGAGTAGGAAAATCTTCCCAACAAAAGGCCCCACACAGGGGCACACCCGATATGCGTGATGCACAGAGACCATGAAGAAGAACAGGTAATAAGTGACAGTGCCAATGGGGAATGGAAGGTACAGCAGCTACAGTAAAGGTCAAGCTACTCACACACTTGACCATTCAAAATAGGATTCATGCATAGAAAGGATTGGGGTGAATTACACCCAACACTTAGCATTCCATCTTCCACTTGGAACAATTGCCTGCAGAATTCTGCAATGCCTAATAACCAGCAACAGGAATAAGAGAAAGGCTTGTGCTCAGTCTTGTTTTCAATGGTCTATTTTAAATGCAACTGGCATTGTTGTTCCTGTCAAAATTGTTTTAATAGTGTATTTCAATGTGAGATTTCATATTTGTATATGAAATGTACGAATTAATACTGGACTGCACCAAGGCTCACCTGCACCTGTCGATTGCCCTTCATACTCCATACAAAACAGTAGCAAAAGCAGAATTCACTTCCATAGGTAGCTTAGTTTTAGAGATAATTTTGGTATACACCTGAAAGCATCCCTAGGCAGGTCTGAGGAATGTAGCTGTGAAATACTGCCAATGTTACACTGAAGCTGTTGACCTGTTTCAACTTAAACCAATGACAAAATCCAAAGACTCCCCAGGCTGATTAAGTACACTTAGTGTTTGGCAATATTTATGTCTTATGTTTCTGCATTGCTAACAGCTGAAGCTTTATGGGCAGTTCCAAAGAAAAAGCAGATCTCATTGGCACCGATTTACACGTATGTCTAAAACAGATATGGATTCGGAAGTAACAATGAGCGAGGAATCTAGTTTGGGGGAGGGAATCCGTCAGATTTGCTCGGCTCAGCTCCCTGGACTCCAGCCCATTTTGCAGTCTCTGCTCTATGCCCACCTCACACGGAGTCTTCACATGGGCATCAGGCAGGAAGCAAGTCCAAGAGAATCCTTGTGGCTGGCCTGAGCAGACACCACTTGTGTGCCTCCACTGCGCAAGTGGAATTCTGCTTCTGCACATGCAGCTTTTTGTACTTTGTGCAAACAATTGTGTCTTGCTCTGTTTAGCCACAAAGTCGTGCCCAATCCATCATGACCCCATAGACAGCATTCCTCCCAGTTCTGTCCTCCACCATCCCCTGGAGTCCACCAAAGCCCACACCCACCTCCCCAGTGACCCCCATCTAGCCCCTTCAACCTCTGCCATCCCCTTCTCCTTTTGCCTTCAGTCCTTCCCAGCATCAGGATCTTCTCCAGTGAGTCCTTCCTTCTCATTAGGTGGCCAAAGTATTTGAGTTTCATCGTCAGTATCTGGCCTCCTAAAGAACAGTCAGGCTTGATTTCCTTAAAATTGACTGATTTTATTTCTTTGCAGTCCAAAGTACTTTCTCAGGAGTCTGCTCCAGCACCACAACTGAAAGGTGTCAATCCTTCAGTGCTCGGTTTTCTTAATGGTCCAACTCTAACTTGTTGGCAGGATGATGTCTCTGCTTTTTAGTATTGTGTACTTTGTGCAAAGAAGGGGTCTGCTAGTATTCCTGAACTTTTGCTGACTAGATCTCAGTTTGGCTTGCTTCCTGGCAGGGCCAAGTCTGACCAGGAAACAAATCTGGTGAGCATGAAAGAACCAGATAATAGCTGGATTTCCACCACACTACTAGAAATGTATTAGCTTAACGAAGACAAATGAAGAAACAGAGTAATTATGCTGAGTGACAATTCTGTCAGTTCACAGGGCTTGAAAAGCAGTTTTAAATTTCTAAGCTGGAGCCAGATGGTATTTTGTTTTTATGACACACTATGCCCAATATTGGCCCCATCTTCCCCTCTGAAAATCTTCTGTTACTTTCACCCCACTTCTCTTGGCATACATTCAGCCATCCTACTCTATTTCATTTACATATTAAAATGAAAAGATTTACCGTATCATGGTCATGTCAACCAACACTTTATTTGTTGCTAGTACTGCTGGTGGGACATCTTTCTTATTGGCTAGTTTTTGCCTGGCTGTCACTAGTTTGCCATATAGCAGTGTCTGTTAATGACAAAAGTTAGTTTTGGAAAATTATTTCATTAATTTCATTTTATTTCATTAAAAATATGCAGACCGATGCAAACATACTGCTAAAAAGTACTGCTAAACACTGGACCTGTAATGTTTAGCTGATTAACAGTGTTTTGCTTGGCTGGTTTTAATGTTTTACTGTCATTATTTTAAAAACACAAATACTTATAGACACCACAAGAAGTAGGGGACATCTTAGAGGAAGCACTGACCCTTCTCTTTCGATAAAGGTGGAAATGGCTGGGGTCAGACAATATGATAACCCGAGGGTTGGGTATAGGTCTATCACTGAACCATAGGTTGTTGTTGAACCAAGGGTTGTTGTTGTTCCTGTGTTGTCTGAACCCAGGTGAATGAATAAACCATGGCTTGCTAAACACAAACAGCACATGAACAGAAGTCATTGTTTGTTGCTGGATTTTAAGCTGTGGGTTGTTCATTATGGTTTGTTATCTCAAGTGGATTTAATCCACATCTCAACAACCCACACTCAACCGCAGAGTGCGTATCATGTTGTCTTAACGCAGTTAAGGTTTCTTCTAAGACAGCACCTTAGATGTGCATCATCCAAAAATGTGCGTCATCATTACACACTTTTCTTTGGAAGTACTGATTTTTTTCTCCTATGTAAAACCTATACAGATTTTATTGATTAAACCTGAAGCATTTAATTAAGAGGTTTTAAAAATATTAAGTCATATGAAGTGAAATACTGAAACATTTCATCTAACATACTAACCTGTAATTCCTTCTCTCTCTGGGATACTTCGAAGTGGGCCGGGGTCTGAATCAGTGGCAACTGCACCACAGCACTACTGAAAGAAAAAAAGTCAAATTCAGCTAATGATTCACACACACACACAACTTTCCTCTCAAACGTCATGGCTAGCCTGCACATCCTTGGAAATTTTACTAACTGATGAAGAAGCTAAAGATATGGAGTTGCACCATATTAGAAATCTTCAATAGACTAAATTGTAGCACAGGTGCTGTATGCAAAGAGAATTTGTGACATGCCTGCACATTAGTAGAAAAGCCCATAAATCTGACTGTGGCATAGATTTTGGACTACACTCCTGCCTGCCTTTTTCACGGTTGTGCTCCTGCCCACTTCACATTGCCAGCTATTGTGCTGGTTGGCAATGATGCAAGTTGCAGGCAAACATGTTTGGGGGAAGGGGTGCCAGGCTCTTGAAGGCTTCTTTAGATGCTTGATCAAGTATAACAATTGTTAAACTTCAGAGTTTAACAGTTTATATGTTGGTGAATTCTTAGATCTGCTACTGCAGCACAGATTGGAGCATGGATTGTGGGGGGGGGGTGGAAATATTAAAAATAACAATGAGAGTTATTTTTTATTTATTCAACTTTAGGTTGTCCTGCACATCTTTCAGGCTACAAATGTATACATATTCCCTGACTAAAAGCCCCAGGGAACTCAGTGGGATTTCCTTCTGAACAGCCAATATAAGATTGGAAAGTTAGTCTTTTACTGTATTGTGCTTTTAGTAGTATCAAAATTTTTAAAAGGCAGGCAATTAAACATTTTAAAACTCTAAATTCTTTGTCAGAACTAAGTCTAGCCAATGAAAACTACTAAAGCTGTTTGTGCAGCCAGAGCATCCCACTTACAGCTGCTGACCCAATTAACATTCTCTTAAGAGATTACACAAAACATGAGATAGAAAAAGTGGTAAGAAAGAACAGAGAGAAGTTAAAATAGCTTCTGTTAATACCACCTTGTATTTGGAAGCATAATCCCTCTGGAGATTTTACTTGTTTCTTGATAGGCAAACATTTCATGCAAAGATGTCTTCTTCAGAGATACAAAAATTTTAAAGACAGAAAATTAATAGGCATACCAAACTGTTGCTTTGACCAAATAGCAGTAATAAAAAGTTCTCTTGTGTTTTAAAATGGCACCATAAATTTGGTAGAAATTTAATTAATATTAAATATCATCACCATGAAGAATCATGGTGGCATGAAGAATCATTTTCAGACTTAAGAATTCTTTAATAGAATATAGAATTCTAAAGTTTCATTTTCAAGTGCCTTTTATTATAACTTAAACACTGGACGGACACACACACACACACACACAGCTGCCTTCCTTTTCATCAGAGTTAAGGAACTCAAGGGCAAACAGCCCCTTCTCACAATACTCCCACGATGTCCAGTTCATTGGCATTTAAATTTAATATGGCTTCTATTTCACTAGAATATGAAACTGACTTCGAACCATAATTTCACATTCTGATTAGATGGTAATTCTGTTTAACAACTGTGCTTAATATGGGCATCAACAAAGAGTGATTAAATCTGGAAAGTTTGCACCAGGATAGGTTGGAAAAGATTTTTGGAATGGAACTAGCAATGGCTCAAGCCAGCATGGCCAACAGTCAGGAATGATGGGAGTTGGAGTCCAAAAAATCTGAAGGGCACCACATTAGGGAAGACTGTTTGAGCCATCCAAATAAGAGCACTGTCCAGAAGACAAAACTGTTACTATTGCAAATACAGATGAGTTATTTTTCCACAGTACTAACCTGCTTTTCTGGTGCTAACTTAGGTAAGATTGCATTGGAGAAATGCCCTGCACCTGAAAATATCTGTTTATTGCTGGAAAGAGGAAGAAAAAGTTCAGCCTTATATAAAGCAAAATGCAAAATTCCTACAACATAACCCACAGCTCAAGAAACAGGACAAAATAGCTCTTTTCTTTTGAAGAAAGTGAAGGTTCAGAACATTAATGATTTCAGAGCACAGCCTCTATTTGTAAACTACCCTTCCTCCAAAAGCATAGAATATGTAGTGTTCTTCCCATTTTCTTGGGCAAAATGACCAGCATGTTTGGCTACCAACATGTGATGGCTTCCATTTTGAATGCTTAAGCCATGGTGGATGGTTGCTCTCACGATTAGTACCACTGATTGTCTTATTCTCTAGTCCCCTTTTAAAGTTGTGCTGGCTCCCACTGTGGATATTCAAGCTGTGGTGGATGGTCACCATAGCCTATTGTGATGTGTGAACCCACACACAAGCCACTGCAGAACACGACTACAGCCCATGGCTTCTAAGTAGCTTGTTATTTATGGCAACCCTACTCAGGTTTGCATGCCATAATGACCTGCAGTCATGGCAACTTTAATATTCAGTGGTGGCCAGAATGCACTGCTTATTTAAGCCATGGTGGGTGCTTCTGATCATGCAAACCAGGACACTAACTCAACAACCCTGACTTCTTCTACCTGTCCTTTTCACACCCTCCCCATCACCACTGTGATTTCATCTTCATATTAACCTTTACATTCTACAATCCGGTCGCAGTACTATTGCCCTGTCATGCAAACCTATATTCAGTAAAAGAAATACCCTATTCTGTTGCTTCATTCACTAATAAATGCTATTTTTCTAACATTCTACTTTGAAAGACTGAAGCTCACAAGCTACATCATGCAACAACAGTCCATGTTTGTCATGCCAGCACTCTCATTCTTGGAGCATGAATGTGTAACTGGTGTCAAAGGGGAAGCTGGGAGGTTGTCAAGTTGTGTACAATGTCTAGGGGATGCCACAGAACTCTAGATAAAAACACTGGTCTTGATTATAGAAAGTGAGACCACCTTAAGTGCCGAACCACATTTAAATGAATGGAAGTGTCCCTGCATAACTCCCATTCATTTCAATGGCGCACCTGCAAGAAAACTTGCTGGAGGACTATGTGCTCATGTTAATAAGTAGGTAGAGGGAGTTACATTTGGCTTTCCTGCCTCAGGCAACCAAGATGCCTCACCTTGGCCTGAAATTCTACTCAGCCTTTTTCTACACCAGTGTCCTTTTTCAACCCACTAAACAAAGCTTTTAAAAAGTCTGCATGAACGTTGCATAGTCTCATGTGGATTGCAAAAAATAAGCAAGGTTTGTAGGATACCTTACAGGAGATTTCCTTAAACACAGTTCCTCATCTGACTGAAGCAGGAGCTTTTGGCCTGACTCCTTTCTTGCTTTACAAAGCCAGTCTTTACCCTGAGAGATAAAAAGCAGTATGTATGTATGTATGTATGTATGTATGTATTTATTTATTTATCAAAAGCTTTTCTACCCCATCCACCACTAGTGTCTCGGGACAGCTTACAAACAATACATAGTATTGCTAACATTCATCTTTAGGCCACCTTCTTTAGTGCCAACTTACCTTCTGAGCAAGTTGGCATACAGTTGAAAATTTGTTTTGACCAGAAACTTCTTTGAGAAAGCCCTCTAAGACAAGACGTCGGCCCAGTGCCTTCCATGAGTGTTCTGGCCAATCCTTCCCAGTGCCAAAAAGAGCATGAGTTCGGTATTTGTCTGGCAGGCGTTGAGAATACTGAAAGTTTTTTAAAAGACCAGAAGTAGGAATCTTCAACAATGAAATCAAACACATCAGATTAATTTTGCACTTCCTGTTCAACACCACCACTTCAGAAATACAGTCTTCACATCACTGCAACCAGGAGATGCACCTAGGGTGCACTGTACCCAAAGAAGCCACTTTATTGATGAGGGACACACATACATAAACCCTATTCTAGTTCTAGCTCCAATCCTCCGCCCCCATTCTTGTCAACCTCTACATACAGAAGATAATAAGAATAGTAAGCAAGTGAGAAGAACAGTTGAATAGGTTTTAGCGATAGATGAGCAGGTTCTATGTGGTGGCAAGCTGATGTCTATCTATAACAGGCATTGCCAGCTTTGGTAGCTGTGAGAGCCAATATGTTAATTTTAGAGCTCCAGAACAGTTTGCCACGCACAGCTCACAATAAGCTTCCACAGCAGTTTGCCACTCCTGCCAGAGAACAGACCAGGGTGCACCAGAGACCTGGAGGGGCACATGCAGCCCACATGTTGCCCACTCCTGACATAGACACGTCAAATTCCCATTGAAAAGGTGTACTTTTATGAAGAGATCCAGTATCCTACGGCATTCAAAAAGGTGCAAATACAGCACTGCTATAGAACAGGTCATTCTCCCTCACATTCCCACAATGCAAGCACCTAATTCTAACAGTAATGATTGGAGCGACATTGGTTTTCATCGCTGTTTAACCTGTGGTCTGTGATTATGGCTACACAAAGTGGGAGGCCAGTTTAGTTAGGGGATAGCAATAAGGATCTCTCAGGTGCCTAGCAGAGCCCATCATGTTCTCTCATGTCTTTTAGGGCTTGCATCCGGCTGGTGTCCCTCTGCTGACGAAAGGCTCTTTGATCCAGCAAAGGAATATCAGCAGAACAGAGAGGGAAGCAATTTCTCCTCCTCGCCTGTGCAGCCCCCCCCCATTCCACCTCCCATGCAGTTTCACAGGGTCACCCAACCCTGCAGAGCAGAGCTAGAGGGGCATGGAGGCTGCAGAGGGGGGGAAACGGTCAAAAAGAGCCTCCCTGCAAACTCCACTGGCATCAGCCGTCCCCAGATCAAAGAGTAATCAAACAGTGCATAACATGAACTGGATCTACTCAATGTATTATACTAAGAAGTCCTTTTATCTAGTTTTTAGCTGTCGTTGTGTGCATGTTTTATTTAAGCTGCTTCCCATGGCCTTCTGTTACACATTTTATTTTTATTGTGCTTTGCATTAGTTTGTAAGTCACTCTGAGGGTGTTTTAAATCAAAAGATGGGATATACATTCTAAAATAATCATTGGTAATAAAATGTAACAAAAATGATACTGAAATCTGGCAAATGTCAGATAAAACAAATACCTCTTTGCAGTTTCAAAAGGCAATTTTAAAGTTTTGTACTTTCGTTTGTCTAAACAGGGGTAGTATAACATTTCAGCCTGGCAACTTCTTAATTTGAAGACTCCCAGGAGGACTTGCTCACCACTGAACACTGACTCAGATTTCAAATAACAGGTGAAATCTGATCTCTCCTGCGACCCACCTGAAACCTGTCTAGGAGCACACCTGTGCTTATTTGTTATCAAAAAAGTCTGCCAGGTTGAACAAAAGTGAAGATAACACACTTCTTCATAAACTACAGGTAAGTTTTGTGTTAGGTAAACAAGGTATATTTAGAAAACAATTTAAAGTATTTCTAATTGTATTACATTATAGCCAAATCCTAGAAAATTGAACACAAAAATAAAACTTCAAAGCAGCTGAAATAACCCTTACAACTGCAACATTAGAATTGGAAGTTCTTATATTAAGCTCTGTGAATTATCAAACAAGAGAAGAGAAGAGAAGAGAAGAGAAGAGAAGAGAAGAGAAGAGAAGAGAAGAGAGAGAGAGAGAGCGCGCGAGCAGAGAATACTGGAACAAATACTTTGAAACATGTTCCATAACACAAGAAAAGGAGGTCTCTTCTGATGCATTCTGAGCCCTAAGGTCTGCACTGGTAGCTCTGCCACAGATTCGCCCATCACTGCTACAGGCAGGAACACTTTATTTAAAAAAGGTCCTGTCTACTGTTCAGATCATATTAAAACCTACTTTTCTGTCCCAAAGAATAAACCAGTAATTTTTCAGGACATACATTATAATTATGATGCAACAGGTCATGCATTCTATGTAACTTAAGAACATTTCAATTGCCAACCAAACTAGCAAGAATGCTCATTTTGATGAAGAAGCTCTCTTGTGTCTAGTTAACTATTGGCTCTTGGTTCTGAATAACTGTAGGAACTTATCCTCCACACAGAGTCCACAAAGAAGTTATCTTACTGTCCATAGGCATATAGTGAAAACCAAACAAAAATCCTTCAATTTGCAACAACTCTCCTACACAAATATAAATTCTGTAGTGCAAAATGCATTCAGGCAATACAGCCAAAGTCTGTTGGTAATTGAAAGGCTATTTTTAGTTGTAAATAAACCAATTTTAACATTTTTTCTGTTTGTTCAGGAAATATTTAGATTGGAATGTTGGAGAGTTGATTTAAAATTAGCTCATAAATCAGGGAATTAAATTCTGGCTGATACTGGTCTGCTTGCATTGGCTGCCTTTCTGCATTGGGCCCAATTCAAGGTGCTGGGTTTTAACCTATAAAGCTTAGCACAATACCTATTGGAGTGCCTCTTCCAACTGCAATCTATCAAGACATTCTGCTCAATCTCTGGGGCCTTCCCCCAAATATCAATTCCAAGAGAGGTGCAGAAGGGAGCAGCAAGAAGATGGCTCTTGGTGGAGGCTCCCCATCACTGGAATCATCTTCCCGCTGCAGCTCAGCTGGTGCCAAACCTGTCATCTTGTTGGTGCCAGGTTAAGATAGCCCTCTTTTCTGTGGCTTTTAAGAAGTTACTTGGCAACCCAAAGGCGAAGGGTCCTCCAGGTGCTTGGCAGAGTCTCTCCCTGCCACTCCTTCAGTTATTCCTTGTTATTGTCTGTTTTTATTATTTGTTTTTAAACTATTTAACACTTTTTAATATTTTCCCTTGATTTTATGACCTTTTATTGTACTTTTATCATCTCTCTTTATGAACTGTGTAAACCAACCAGAGAGCTTAAGTTGTGGAGCAGTAAAGAGATGCAATAATAAATAAATAAATAAATAAATAAATAAATAAATAAATAAATAAATAACTTCAATGAAATAAGGTCACCCCATGGTACTTTATGTACCACAATGAAAGTACAATGCAGAGGAATATAGGAAACCTCTGCAATACGTAATATGTGATACAGAGCTTGCCTTTCTTTCATGAGTCAGATGAAATCTGCCATGAGGATCGGAAGGCACTGGAGCACCAGGCCCTCCCTCTGTGCCAAGAGCATTACCTGGCTGCTACCAATCCACCTGATAGCAATAACACTTACGGATCCTCTGAGAAACAGCACTGGAACAGACATGCCAAATCTCTCATTTAAGGCACATACTGCAGACATCAGTTTGTATGCCTGCTGTCCAAAATCCTCAAAACTGTCTTCTGTGTCAACCACAGGCGTGCAGTGAATTTTCCTAAAAATAAAAACAGAAAGATGAAAAACACATAAAATGCAAATATGTATACATACACAAGCATAACTACAGATAAAAGTTTGCATAACACTTCAGTATTATACTCTAGTGCCCACCCCATCCAATAAAGCTTTCTTTCCATTTACTGAGGTTCACAGGGAATAGATTCAGTCCTCATCCCACAACAGTTCCTGAGCACACATCAATTAGAAAAAAAAGCCTCGCACTTCCCTTTGACACAATAATTTCACTAAAACCTACTGTCCAAGCAGTCCAGACCTGAGTGATACGAGGTATATTGTAAGGGGGTTCTTGAAATATGCAAGTCCCATCACTGCATATCGCCTAACCATCATGAAAGATAATTACATTTAATACAATAAAATATGTAATACATTAAAAACCCAAATCCTAGGATCTATCACTTGGCATATACTACTGCACAGGAAGGGATGTACAGGTTTTGCTAAATTGGTTCTGAGTTTCACAGATTGCCAAAGTGTCTTTTATTGCTTCATTCACTTACTGATGAAATTGGAATGGGAGAATGTAGGAGAATTTAGCTCCTCCTTGCAAATGTGTACTTGTACAACTATGCATTGTACAACATCCTTGCCCTCAAATCCCCAGAATCTGAGCATCTTAGAAAAAGCTGATTCACTGTGGAATCCACAGCTTGTCTTTACAGAAATCCAAACCCTTCTGAATCAATTCTAGATTTCTCTGTCATTCTTATGCACAGGAAAGGGCCAAATTCAATTTTGGAGAAGCTCCTGGGCACCATGTTCCAGTGGTGGGTACAGCTGAAGGCCAACCATTGTGGGATAAAGGGGAAGGGGTAAAACAGTTGCAAACAGCAGAATATGACAATGTAAGACAGCCCAATTTGGATCTATCAGAAGTGAGTTGGACTAAAGGAAAACAATTTCAAACAATGAAGTAAAGGGGAGTAAGACTGGGGAAGAGATGAGTTTCACCGCAATCCTCCATATGATCCTTTGAGTCTCTCCTCTGCCTATCTATCTATCTAGCTATCTATCTAGCTATCTAAAACTAGACCACAACAAATAAATAAATGAGCCATACTTTATAGGCAAATTGGAGCACCCACATGTATCAAAGAAGCACATAGCTAATTCAGATCTTAAGACCCAAAGTGTGCCTCTAGCCTTAAGACACCTAAGTTGTAATCTAGGCACTCAGGAGTGACAGAAGAGGCCCTTGTTCTGGCAAGGAAATTGCCATACACGATTGGATACCTAGGGCATCCACTAATATCATGTAGCATTCACAGCTGCTGTCTGATATAAATGTAAGACATTATTTTCATTTTTAATTACATTCCTTTTTAAAGATGAATTTTAAAAATACTATTTTATTCCTGATGATAGAATTTTTAAAATATCTCACATTGTCAATTACATAGGAGTGAGCTACGGAAGGATGGGTGGGAGTGCAGAATCAGGGCACAAAACCAGTCATGGACTACCTAAGGGCCAATAGACTGACGTTCACTCCAGGCCAGATGTATGCCCTAGGAAATGGAGAGCAGTCATTGCTGGCTGAGGTTGAACTCAATCCGAAACAATCATGTTTGCAGTCTGATGGCACTGTTAGGTCCAGCCTGGTCCCTGGAGGCTCAAACAACTTCCAAAGCAACTTTTACCAAGCTGCCCCTCTAGGACAGAGAGAGCCTGGCAACTCATCCAAGCTCTGGTAACATCCACAGTGCATATTTATATGTATTGAACATGCAATTGCTTCTGGAGACTGTTCAGAAACTCTGGTCAGTTCAGAATACTTCTATCTGGTTAACAATCCACCACACAATGACAAGAGAAGACTATCTTAAGAGTAATACCAACACTTTCAGGAATACTTCATTAGCAAAAAGCCATTACAGAGTCATTCTCCCTTGTCATATAAGCTATGGGAAAATGGTTCCAAACCCTTAATCTTCTGGGAGCAACATTTACCTGAATCTGCAATTATCGCAACATTTTTCTGTTCCCATGATGCCTGACGAGGACTTTCGGAGTTGTTTGTCTTCAAAATGAGACAAGATGACTCTACCCAAGGGAATATTGGGAATTAAATAAAAGAACAAGAATGTACATGTTAAATTCATTGAAGAAAACAATGAGCTGAAATCATCATCATTAATTGATTCACTTGGGAGCTAATTATCTGGTCCTGGATCATCTTGAGACAGACCTATTTTTTTCTGAGTATGAAATTCATAGTGCAAATACAAAGATGTATTAGACTGCAAGTGGCACTTTTCCAAACTTCGAAAGGTATTTATTTAAGCTATGCTGACAAGTTCCTAAAAAATACATAGAATACATACTTTCGTCTGCAGCTCTTCAAGCTGAGATATTTCTCAATCTTTGCCATCATCTTCAATTTGTACAGGCGAAACCTATCATCATGTATCTCATTGAGCAGAATTCTTTAAAAAGGAAGGAAGAACACAGAAGAAATTTTGACCATTCGTTGGCTTCATTTCTCCAAGGAGATATGAATTAAGTCTGGTGATTAATGCTCAGGGGCCACATAGGTTTAGGCTTGCACAACATACATTTGTCATAGTTATCTATGTAGCCTACAAAGAAATGCTATGAAATGCACAGTGAAGCCTGTGATTATTAGCCTCTTTAACAGGGACAGGCAACCTGTGGCCAACAACGCCCACCACACTGGCCATTGACTATGCTGATAATGGCTACTGGTAGTCATCAGTTAATACATTTGGAGAGCCACAAGTTGCCCATTTCATTCTCTATATTGCTATGATGCCTACCTTCACATAATAATCACTCTAGCAAAGCACAGTGATTCTATACAAGCTGTACAATTATCCACACTCTGGTAATCACTTTCCTGCAATGCATCATACAGATGAAAACTGCTTGGAAACTTCAGCTGGTACAAAATAGGGCAGCTTCTATATGGTTTGCTCTGGCTGCCAGCCCAGTTCTGGGCTCAACCCAGCCTGCTGGTGTCAGCTCAAACAAAACCTGAAGTACTATCTCCTTCCATTTATACTTATGGCTATGGTGCCCTGACCATAAGTTCCCTTTGGAACTCTTGTTTACCTGTTCAGAGATAAGTCAGCTGGAGTCCACAGGACATAACAAGAGGCAGGAAGTCCATCACGGCCAGCCCTTCCAATTTCTTGATAGTATGATTCCATTTCCTTGGGAGCTCCATAATGAATAACTGTCCGGATGTCTGGTTTATTGATTCCCATTCCAAAGGCTACAGTGGCTACTATGCACTAGAAAATAACCACAGCAATACAGTATGGATGCTTCACTCCATAATGGATGCTTTAAAACTGGTGCACACAATAGCTTGATGTGTCATTACATACCATGCTTTTGTGCTAACGTCTTGGCCCAAACTTTGTCTGAATTTCCAAGGCTTTCATGGTGTCTGCTGAATGCAAACACTCATTATAGCCACTATTCGTGGGCCTGTCCAGCCATCACTTAGTCTCTGGGGCTCTATCCACACTGAAGTCAGAAGCAGGTTTTGGATTCACACATCCTTCCCCTACTTACTGTCAGGAAAAGTAAATGTCTGAACTAGGGAAATCCTATATAGTGGTACCTTGGCTTCCGAACTTAATCCATTCCAGGACTCTGGTCATGACCCAAATCGGTCATGAGCCAAGTTAAATTTCCCTATAAGGTTCAATGTAAATAAGGTTAATCCATTCTGTAACCATTTTTTTTAATCACAAAGACAAACAACAAAGTAACAAAGCGGGGAGATGGCCGTGATTGAACCCATCTTCCCTGCACCATCGCGATCGCGATCCTGGCCATCTCCTCACCCTCCCGAGCACAATTGTGCAGGGAAGGTGGGTGCGATCGCGGTCACGCTCATGCAGGGAAGGCAGACGTAATTGCAATCATCACCCAATGCGGAGTACACAACCTGAAGCAAAATGTTGCCAACATTTCTGTTTGTGACCCGATTTGGTCATGAACTGAGGTATTTGTGAGCCAAGGTACCACTGGCCCTGCAAGATACAAGATAAAACCAGCTTGATCACATAGAGTTGGACAGGTCCTATAATCAAATAAATGCGAATTCTCTTCTGTTCAATTCTACCTGTGGTTAGAGGTAATGTTGGGAGCATATGTACAGCTCCTCATAAAATCAGAGAGTTGGAAAGGAACTTGAAGGGCAATCCTGTTACACCATCATGATCTGGCTAAGAGAGGAATCCCTATAATATGAGGAGGCAGCTACCTACAATTCCCATCTACCTCCAACATAATCAATGATGGGGGCTGATGGGGGATGTAGGCCAAAACATCTGGAGAGCTACAAGTTGACCACTCCTTCCCTAGAAGCAAGCAAACAACCAAATAGCCCTTCTGTTCTCAACCCTTGCAGTGAAAAGCCCCATTCAATTCAGTTCATGCAAAGGAAGTTATTTCTTGAACACAAAATTTGCTGAACTACATATCATCTGCACTCTCATTTTAATCCAGTAGTATATATTCAAACAATGAAAAGAGCAGGGTTTTAATCACAATCATATGATCATAATCAGTGTTTATACAGTGCTTTGGGATATATTCAACGCATAGATACCTAATGCACAGCGTAACAACTCACCCTGCAAATTAGCCATGGAGCAGCCTATGGTGCACCTAACAGGTGGCATGTCCTTCCTTTCCTCTTGGTCCCAGTATCTCAAGGGACTTGCAGGCTGCGTTGACCTCATTTCCTCTTCCCATTGCAATTGCAAGCCCTTTTGTAACTGCTGTGGCTTTTTCTCCATTTCCATTTTTTTGGGGGTGGGGGGGGTGGGTAGACTGCTTTTCACAATATCTGGAGTGACAGCCCCTCCAAAGTGCCCAAAGCAAGCAGCATATTTGAGCATCTGTCACTATTTTGCCACTTTTTTCTCCACCCCAATCCACTTAAAGAGTCCTTTGAACTAATTAACATGGAATATAATAATAATAATAGCAGCAGCAGCAGCTACTTTCATTTGTTTTAATTTTTGTCTTGTGCAATTGTGCATTTTTGAAACTGCTTGCCTGCTCAATTTTCTGGAGGGTACTTGCCCTTAAAGTGCAATAAGTACCAGCAATGGGGACTGACAAGGCAAGCTTGCAAATGGGTTGCATAGGTTTGGACAGCTGTCAAATAGAATGTTGTTGAGAGAAAGCATAGCTATGAGAGTGTTCTGTTTCACAATGAGATCCTATAAAGATTTTTGGTGAATTTAGTTCTTCTTAGTTTCTTGCAACTTTTCCACCATTTTCCCAAGATTGAGTGCTACATAATAGGTAGCAAACCAATGATGACCACTCCAGCGTACCACTCAGGAGGGGCTGTCATTCTGGAGATTGTAAAAACTCATCTCCATCCCCAAAAAAGGAGAAAAAACTTGCCATGAATTGACAGGTTGGTTTGTTATCCACAGACAAGCCACCCCGGAGGAAGTAATCTGCATTCACATGAAATGACAACCTACTGTAGCTGTGTCATACGAACCCAGTTAGTGCTTGTAGAGATTCTAATAAAACAAACGGGTAAAAACTTGGCTTTGGGGGCAGAATCACACTGGAAGCAATAAAATGAGGCATGCTGCCAGATCCTATGCAAGTATATTCTGTATTGTTGAGTTATTATGATTTGCTTCCAGTTTAAGTGCACAATGTCATAACCTTCGTTCCAGCTAGCTTAAGTCCAATCAATTTCAAAGGAACCAGCAATTTTTGCTGGACTGTGGCAGCTGAGTTTTGGAAAAGAAAACAAGACTTACTTCCACAGAATGAATTACATGCAACTTTTCTTTAATAACTTTTATCATATGTACCTGAATTTCATCTCTCATGAATCTATGCTGTACATCTCGCCTTGCTTTAATTCCCATGCCAGCATGGTATGTTTTGCAAACAATTTTTAATTTTTTCAGTTCTGAGGCAACGAGTTCAGTGGTCTTCCTTGATGGGCAATAAATAATAGTGGGACCATCAAATGCGTAAGCAGATCTGAGAATTAAAAGAATATATAAAAAGTAGCTATGAGTGAAATAACTCACTAGCACATCAGATGAAGAAACAAGAATTTTACATTAGTTCTTTGACAAATACTGTAGACCTCTTTCTTTAAAATTGACTAATTGGATAATTAAATCCATATGGGCTTCATCCAGCCAAACATTTATTTCAATACATTTGAAAAATATTGATTTAGTGTAATACCAACACACTTGGGAAGCACAGGTCTTAATGTAATCTTCCCACCATTTCAATAGTGCTTTTCCCTCCACAAATGAAACTGAATACTGACAAGATCCAGGAAATAACAGCAAAGCCTAGAACTACCAACACAGAGAAGATTGGCCCCTGCACCCTCCCCAGCCATGCCCATCAGTCAGGCTTGCTGTTTGGGAAACTCCTGGAAGCACATGGTACAGTGATGACCTCGGGCACAACTTTGCAACTGAACAAGAACAACCCTCATAAATGTTGTCATGAGGCATACAGACATCAATCTCTTGAAGATTCAGTGAAATACAAGCCTAAGAAGTTTTCCAAAATGTTTTAAGCCTTTATCTGAAGATTAGGGTAAGTAGAATAAAAGAATGTTTTATGGACCCCTGCCCCATCGATCCACCACATCTCCCTTGTTGTCGCCATCCTGCTTCTTTTCAACTCCCATGACCAATGCCACCCACACTAGCTTGCTGCCACTGTCGGTCCAGAGCCATTTCTGGGGCAATGAAGATGGCAGGCACTGCTGAAGCTTCACTACATGGTGCACAAGTAACCTGACTTCTGTAAAATGTTTTAAATGAAAAGGAGAAAGGAATGTTGCTATGTCAAACCAGGTATTCCCATTCTAGATGTTGGTGCTGGTAGGGAGTCATTGTGGTATACTGGTTAAGAGCATGGGACTAAGACTCAGGTGATCTGGGTTGTAGTCCCCACTCAGCCATGGAACTCACTGGGTTTAGATGTACATAAATATTTATAAACAGTCTTTTAAAAGTAAGGAGTAAGATGCCTGTAGATAAGCTAAGCAGAATACACTCACGTGTCCTTTTTAATAAGGAATTGCTGTAGGTCCTGAATTATATTTCCAGATTTCCGTCCAACTTCCAAGTATAGGTTAGGTCGGTCAAAACTAGTACATGTAACCTCAGGAGATTTTAAGTTTAGACAATCTACTATGTCCTTTCTGATGGAAGGGCTTGCAGTTGCAGTTAAGGCAACAAAGGGAACCTGAAAAGGAGCAGAAGGGAAGCAGTAAGAAAAATGAAAAACAAAGGGGATAGATGAAGAAAAATTGCAAAACATACAATCTGTTTACATCACAATTCAAAATACATGCATGTTTTCAGGAATAAAGCTCATTCTTGCTTAGGCTTCTAGATGGGCCAATGTGCCCTTCAGGCCCACATGCCCTTGAAAACTGACATTCTCAGAGTTTTCATTTCTAATCCTTATTGTTGCTGACAAAATGCTGAAAGATGATGCTACTGTGTCTTAAATAGGATCAGATAATAAGTTGTAACCTAGTTTGTACAATTTAACAATCCAATTGTGCAATTGTTAACTCTAGGTTCTAACTCTGGGTTTTTAGTCCCTCAGCAACCTAAAGTTTTGGGTTTGTACATCACAAACAACAAGCTAGGGATAGAAGGGAGGGCATCCCCTTGTTTATTTAGAACACTGGAAGCTACTGAGCAGTCTACAGTGAGCATGATCATTTGTTTCTGCATCGTCACAGTAACCCATGGTTAGCAAACCATGGGCTGCTAATCATGTGAGCCAGGATCAACCATGGCAGGAGTGGTATGCATCAACCATAAGTTCTGGATTGGACTGCACTTTGGCAGCCCTTACAGCTTAAGGATTTTCGAACAAGAACTTATTTTGCCCACCACTTTTTTGTGGACAATCTGTAACAAAATAACATACACCATAGAAGTGCCTCTAGAAAAGAAAATCAGAGCAAGGGGTGGGCAGAAGGTAGATCGCCAGATCTTTGGGGACTTATAGATCCAAAACATCTGGAGGGCATAGTACATAATGGGTCATCCATTCTACACTGAATCACAAAGAGCAAACCAATCTGTTTCCTTCTGGTGGTGACTGGATAAGTGGTGGCAAATGCTGCTGAAGGCCAAGGTAGGAGACAGAGCCCTCAAACAACACTAAAATAAGAAAATCTGACTTCTGATTTATTACATATTATCAACACCACAGGAAAAAATCAATCTCTGAATATTTTTGTAATGTCAGCACTTTACCTTAGGAAGAGTTCTCTTTAACAACCCCAAAGACCTGAAGGAATTTCTGAAGTCATGTCCCCATTCAGAAATACAATGCGCTTCATCAACAGCTATCAGTGTGATGCCTACAAGGAAATAAAACAGACTCACATGGTTATACTGCCTTTATAGCACCATAAATGTCAGAGTTTATCAGTTTGTAAATGTAACCGATTAAGCAAACAGTCCACTTGGAAGGAGCAGCATACTACTGGCTAAGAGAACTCACAATAGCCACACACCATGAACAGATCTCAAGCAATTAGCTGGTTTACTGGATTGCACTGCACGTCATGTTATCCTGAATAGTCAGCCATCACCACAGATTGCCATGATCTGCTGCATCGTCCAAAAATGGGCAACAGGGACTGCTTAACAGTTAAATAACCCTGGAATATCTCAGTACAGCAGAGACAATGATGTGCCCTACTGCATATTAGTATTCAAATCCCTGAGAATTTAAGCTTTCACTTATACTTTTATTTTAAAAGCAAATTTCTGCTTTTTAATATCTAATGTATCTAATGAGGCCATACACGAGCAGCCCCTCCTGTTGAGTCCACTGCATAAGAAGGACCCAGCACTTGCACAATGGATATTCAACACTTCCTCAAGAAAATCCCCAACCCTAACCCTTACGTGAGCTGTGCTGAATTGTCCTCTTCCAGAAATGAGCATTTTCATTCATTTCCAGATGCTCCTGGAAGTGCTAAAAGTCCATTGCGCAAGTGATGTAGAATGGAACTGGGGTGGGCTTAGTGCTCCACTGGATAACACCCATAGTTACACAAAAGTATGTGTGAAAACATACTGGCAATGGGAGAAGGGTATGGACAAGCCAATATAACCACTTCTTTGCTCTGAATACTCCTTGGCATTCCCCATAATTATTAAAACTGGAAGAGATGGTGCACATTTTTGCCAAGTTACACATACAGGCTGCAGAATTCAGCATTTAAGAGAATTTGGTTTTGCAAAGCTTCTGTTGTTGTTAGTCGCAAAGTTGTGTCCGACCCATTGCGACCCTATGAACAACATTCCACCAGACCTTCCTGTCCTCCACCATCCCCTGGAGTCCACCTAAGCTCACACCGACTGCTTCAGTGACTCCATCTAGCCACCTCATTCTCTGCCGTCCCCTCCTTCTTTTGCCATCTATTGTTCCCAGCATTAGACTCTTCTCCAGGGAGTCCTTCCTTCTCATTAGGTGGCCAAAGTATTTGAGTTTCAACTTCAGGATCTGGCCTTCTAAAGAGCAGTCAGGGTTGATCTCCTCTAGGACTGAATGGTTTGATTGTCTTGCAGTCCAAGGGACTCACAGGAGTCTCTTCCAGTATCACAACTCAAAGGCCTCAATTCTTCGGCGCTCAGCCTTCCTTATGGTCCAGCTTTCACAGCCATACATTGCAACTGGGAAAACTATAGCCTTGACTATACGCACTTTTGTTGGCAGGGTGATATCTCTGCTTTTTAGTATACTGTCTAGATTTGCCATAGCTTTCCTCCTCAGGAGCAAGCATCTTTTAATTTCTTGGCTGCAGTCCCCATCTGTGGTGATCCTGGAGCCCAGGAAAATAAAATCTGTCACTACCTCCATTTCTTCCCCATCTATTTGCCAGGAAGTGAGAGTTCTGGATGCCATAATCTTAGTTTTCTTAATGTTGAGTTTCAAGTCAACTTTTGCACTCTCCTCCTTCACCCGCATGAAGAGGCTCTTTAGTTCCTCTTCACTTTCTGCCATGAGAGTGGTACCATCTGTATATCTGAGGTCGTTGATATTTCTCCCAGCAATCTTAATTCCAACTGGTGATTCCTCTAGCCCCATCTTTCTCATGATGTGCTCTGCATATAAGTTAAATAGGCAGGGCGACAGTATACAGTCTTGCCGAACTCCTTTCTCAATTTTGAACCAATCACTGATTCCGTGTCGAGTTCTCACTGTTGCTTCTTGACCCACATATAGGTTTCTCAAGAGACAAAAAAGATGGTCTGGTACTCCCATCTCTTTAAGAACTTGCCACAATGTGTTGTGATCCACACAATCAAAGGCTTTAGCATAGTCAATGAGCAAACCTTCTAGAGGCCTTGAAACAGAATCTATACAGAATTGTTGCGACTCCACCAAATACATAAAAATGTACCTTTTTTAAATTATGTAGCACAGAAATCAAACCCTACAATCTAATTTCAAAATATTTCACTATTTTGAAGTGGAAAAAGCAACACAAAGAGTGACCTCTATCGAACCTTTCCAAAATTCCCATAATACAAAGCTCAGATATAAGTGTCTTGCATTATCCTTGAATGGCTACATTGCCTCACCCATTCTTACTTTCCTGGAAATTATCAAAGATGTATAAAAATGGAAAAGTACAACCCAAAGGAAATTCAATAAATACAAATCCTAGCAATTGCAAGGGTTGAAATTTCTATCCAAGTGTTTTTACACTATACCCACTTACCAATTGTTTGGTCAAGTTCCTGAAGCCATAACAAGTTTCCTGAACAGAACTCTGGAGTTACATAAACAACTCTATAGTGGCCCCTATGAAAATAGGAAAAGAATCAAGAAGTGAATTCAAATGTGCACTAAAGTTGAAAATCCTTTTTATTGTTCACTTTGGCATATATTGTGTTCAAAAGCAGCAGTGTAGTACAGTCCTCTGATCCTACTCAGAAGCAATGCCCAGGGATTTCAGAGAGCTGCATATAAGATTGCAACCTTATACACAGCTTTCTGAAAAGACTCAGAGTCTATCTAGAAAAAGCCACATCTGGTTGCTCAAAAGAAATAAAACAGACAAGGCTTACGCTTTTATCTCCGCTGTGACATTTTTTGACTGTGCTGATCCAAGCAGACAAGCTGGAATGTTTGACATCCTGCAAGATACCAGTGAAAGGTTATCAACACTAAACTACATTTTTAAAGCCTAACTTTCACTTATCAAGCTCACCCCACCCCAAAAAGCTGTGTTTCATATAATTTAAATGAGAGAACTCCTCTCCTCCCTATTTCACCCTATCTCTTTTCACAATGTAGCTTTGAACATTTTAAAGCCGAGTCAGAAGAAGAAGCACAATGCACAGAGTTGTCGAATTTTTTTCTGACCAAACATGCATAGGGTTGCATCTTTAATGTTTTACTCTATAGCCTTCCATTTTTCGATGACACCCTCAGCCTATTTAGAAGGAAACACACTCAAAGGCCTTTGCAAATCTACATTGATCCATTGGGTAGCTGGCCAAGACAGCTTTAATGTTAGCCACTAGTTCGTATCAGCTTTGGCTTTTTAAATAAAAGACTCAAAGTTAATTATTGTGATTTGAATTAAGCCTTCTACTAATTTGACTCCCAAATATCTAACAGGAGGATTAGTTTTTACTAATCCATAATGAAATGGTTTGTTTCTCCTGTACAAGCATATTAATTGCAATGTTTACATACTTTACCTTAAAAAGTAAAAATAAATACATGACAGATAAAAATTATCTACATGCAGTTACAGCACACAAAAATATATAAATTTGTGCAGACAAAAGAAAAAAGCTGCACAGAAGTTGGGAAATCACCAACCAGTAGCTGGAGAAAAGAGGTGTGGCCTTCTAGGCTATTCCAGAGGGCCAAATTGGGATGCCCCAGGGGATCAGATTTGGCCCTGGATCCCGGCAGCCTTCCTGCTGCCCAATTCCCAATATGGGGATAAGGTTGATGACAGTGGCAGTAAACACATCTGTGATGCCAGGCTGATCCAGCAGTGTGGGTGCACAGTAAGCATACCGGCCTCCAAGCTGGGCTGAAAGCTTGAAGCAACCCCAAAATATCTTTTATGGGGATCTCCAGTAGGAGAAGGGAGGCCTCTCTCTATCCACATTGCCATGGATCCAGACCAGTGCCTCTAGTATAGGCATTACACAGGATGTGAACATCCAAGTTACAAACAACCCGTACTTAGGAGTTAGCGGTCATAAAGCCTACTATTTTATTTAAAATTACTGTGGAAAATTGTCATCACCATAGAGAGAAAAGAAGTGAAAGGGGAATGAGAGAGGTTCCCCAAAGCATGCCTTCCTACCCAGTCCATCTGAAGAGGGAAATATCTCTGGCATTTCCTTGCTGCAAAGAGGCAGCACTGGTGAGTTTGGGCAGGAAACGCTAGAGATATTCATGGTTTTTCCACTTTTGTGGGGGTTTTGTGCCCCTAACCCCTGAAAATGTGGGGGCTGACTATGCATGATCCAACTTACATATACATTTGACTTAAAGACCATTTTCCATTTTCTCAGAAACAGAACTCATTCCTAACCCAGGGGCTGCCTGTATCTCCAGTAAAAAGTTGTGACAAAGTAATAAGATAATGCAATGAAGATAAGCATTATTAGGTTGGTAATAGCAGTCACAAATACAGGAAAAAAATCTTCCAGGGCCCATTAACCCAGAGACTAACCTTTGTTTATTGTTATATAGAGTGGTAAACTCATGGTGGGTGGGCAGGAAAGTCAATACGTCTCATATTTGGCCTATGAGCAGCATACCTGAGGGAGAAGGTTCTCTCTCTCGCCTGCCCTCAAAGCCTATCAGTCTAGACACAATCGTCTCTCGGGGGAAAAAAGAAAGAAAAACAGAAGAGCAGCACAGCCAGACAGCTATACCGCCAGCCACACATCAAGAAGGGAGGGACCATCTGCTTTTCCCAGTGCAAGAGACACAAGATTCCTCCTACCTACCTGCATGCTGGGATCACACTCTAAAGAAAAGATGCACAATTTTTTCACCTTTGTACCTATGTATATGTACACACACATGCATGCACACACTCAAACAGTCAACCTTTTATCAGCCAAATAAGAAAAATGCCTCATGCACTTAAAAAAATACCCCTTAACCCAGAAAAGCTAATGCCACAAGATTACTCACTTTTTTTTTCAATAGAAATATGGAACATGTAAATTCTGTGCACATTTGAACGTCCTTTTGGGATGTCAGTGTTTTAATAAAGTTAAATTAACTGAACAAACATTAATATTTCATTTAAAAGCATGAAGCATGCTTTCCATCATGTTATTTCCCTGAGGACATGTGCAAACCAAGACAGAAAGTTCATCTGTAACTTGGTGAAACAATCAAATCAAGAAACATAATATGAGCATCATACTAGCCTCTTTCTACAAGATCTTTTTTCCCAACTGGGTTATCTGAAAGACAATTTCTGTCCAAGAAAAAGGAAAGCAGGCATCTAATTACTGAGCTTATTTCCCCACCCACTCACTCCAAGCAGTTACTTAAAAAGATGAATCTGTTGCCAACAGCAACATCAATATGCTTGGCTCTAGGTGTCTTTCTTGAAAATCCTTTTGTGAAGTTTCTTAGATGTGTTCAGGCATTCTGTGGACTACTATCTCAGGTGTGATGTGTTCAGGCATTCTGTGGACTACTATTAAGGATACGGAGGCAAATATATCCTCCAAGGAGCATGGAACTGAAAAAGGCAAAACAGTCTAGTAGGACAAATCATTCCCCCATGGCAGAGTTATACTTACTCAAGTTGCAGTACTTGGTCCTCCATCAAAGAAATAAGGGGAGAGATTACTATTGCAGTACCTCCAGTGTAAACAGGTGGAAACTGAAAGCACAAACTCTTCCCGTAGCCTTAAAAGAAACAAAGCAAATCTTCAGTGAAAGAAGAATTTCACATTAAAACCTGAAAAGATATAGCTTTTTCCTTCCGCAGCCTCCTAAGCAGGCTCTCAGACTTTGCTTTCACACATACACAGATATATTAACCCACTGGTATCCATGCATATTGAGATAAGTTCTCCCTGACCTGATGCCTTCCAAATGTGTTGGAGGAGGTGATGGGGTTTGTAGTCCAACATACCCAGAGGGTACCAAGTTGGAGAAGGCTGATCTAGATAGTAAGAACTGGCTCCTGCGCAAGATTTTGCAATGTTTCAAATTCCCATATTACATTTATGCATTGCTTCCCACTGTGAACAGCAACCTCAAAGCAACTTATACAGACAGTATAAGCCCATGATATAACAGGAAAAGAGAGAGAAGAAAAAGGAAAAAAACAAAAACCAAAATCAATAGAAATCATAAGCAGCACAATGATGACAATAAAATAAATACCACAAAAGCATAACCTAGAAACAACACATTTGAAAATGTGTTCATTCACAAATATACAACTTCACACTTGCTCACAACCTAGAGCGAACATCATAAAAGCAACCTACAACAATTAACTATCTAATTACTACCAGTAGCCAAAGTTCTCTGGGTGGTTTACAAAAGTTCATAAAATACAGTATAAAAATCGAAATACAGTAAGATACAATACATCCAAATACAAATCTAAATACATTAGAAAACTTCATTACATACATTTAAAAATCTAGTTTAAACAATTTAATCAACTAAGGGTGCAATCCTATAGCTTCCCAATATTGTCTGAGACTGCTACAGGAATCTTCCAAGACTGAGTCCCCACCCATCCCCAAATGTGTCCAAGTAAATAGGGAGTTTTTAGAACACCTATTATCACACCCCAAAATTTACATGCTCCTAACCAGAAAATACAATTATTTGCAATTATTTTTCAGTAGAACAAAAACACACACCGGACTTGCCATGCGATAGTATTTATTTTCTGCAGTGGATGGAGGACAAGTAGGAAGGAAGGTGCAACCAATCCTAGCAATTCCTTCTTCACTGCAGGAAAGCGACTGCTCATGCTCCTTAGTTTGCTAACATTCTCAACCAACGATCTTTCATGAGGTTATTAAAAATGAACCTGTGCAACTCACCAGTTGCCATAACAACAAGATTATCTCTCCGGTCTTGCAAAACTGAGGAGATCACTTTCCACTGGACCCTTGAAATTAAGAAAAAAAAGTCAGAAAATGTTTCATTTGAACTGTACTGTCTAACAAGAACCAGAACTTATTCAGCTAATGAAGCATTCATTTTTTTCAGGTGCAATATTTGAGTTTGTTTCATTTATTTATTTAGTTCCAGAAATGGAGCATGACAGTTTTCTTCCCTTTAACATGCTCACATTGGCTTTCCTATGCAGCTCTATTCTGTGTGGACTCCCTTATTTAAAAGCATTATCAGAATGTAATATTATTAAAGTAAAATTTCTCACATACTGCCTAGATTCTTCTTCAGTACCACTACTTTGAACTATTAAAGTGCTTTAAATAACAAGCTTAGAAGACAACAGCAGCCAGTGGAGATGCAGGAAAACGGACATTACACAGTATCAGTAGCAACATTAAATAAAACTGCCAAACAACAATAAGGTGTGATTGCAAACAGAGCATTTTAAACAGGAGTGGGGCTGACCAACAGTTAAGAATCCCTTTTTTTGTTCCTAGTGTTATGTTTCTTGTTGGATTAACCAACCGTTGGTTCTCTATCTTTCTCCTCCACAGAAAGGATCCTAAATCCAGAATCCAGTTCAGTATAAGCAAATGTAAAGTAATGTATATTGGGCCAAACAACTCCAACTTCAAGTATACACTGATGAGACCTGAGCTAGCAGTGACTGAGCAAAAAAGAGATCTTGGAGTAGTAATGGACTGCTCAAACAAAATGTCAGCTCAGTGCACTGCTGCTGTGAAAAAGGCAAAGTGCATGCTAGGTACAATTAGGAACAAAATAGAAAGTAGAATTGCCAAGATTTTACTCCCCTTATACAAATCTTTGGTTCGACTGCACTTAGAATACTGTATTCAGTTCTGGTCTTACTTACTGAGCTGTAAAAATTACAGAGAAGGGCAACAAAAATGCCCCCATGAGGACCAGCTGCAACAACTAGGACTTAGATAAAGACTTAGGAAGCTTAGAAAAAAGGCAAGTGAGGGGAGACATGATGAAGGCATTTAATATAATGCATGGTCTGGAGAAGTCAAACTCCATCCCATGAAACTGATTGGTGGGAGGTTTAGGACAGATAAAATGAAGTTCTCTTTCACACAACATATAACTAAACTATGGAAGTCACTGCTACAGGAGGTGATGATGGTCACCAAATTAGATGGCTTTAAAAGGGAATTGGACAGATTCATGAGGGAAGAGGCTGTCAGTGGCTACTAGCCTTGCAGGCTGTGTGCTACCTCCTTTACCAGAGGTGGCATGCCTGCCTACATCAGTTGCTGAGGAGCTTGGACAGGAAGAGGTCTTGCACCCATCATGCTCGAGCAATCCGTTTTGCCCCTGTGTGAACAGAGTGCCGGACTAGATGGACCGTTGGTCTCTTCCCACATGGCTTTTCTTACGTTCTTATGCATGGCATAGCAGATGCTCATCTCCAGTGTGCTCATCAGTTCTTGTTCCTTGTCTAGCTTCCATGTTCAGACAAGACAGAACAGTCAGCCAGTTCATAAGGCGAACAGGGCAAGGTGCTATCACTTCATGAGCATATCCTAGAACACAGCTAGCCCAACACTCCCCTGGGCCTGTGCATTGTAGGGGAAAGTAGTGGTGGGCAAATCATCTGTTTGACTAAAATTGCACTCAAGGAGTCTTTCAAGGAACCTACTCCACCATTACTGATTTGGTCTCTGCAGACCCCTCATTCTTTTCTTTTCTCTATACCACTCAACAGCCAAAGCTCTGTTTCCCCCCAAAAAAACAATATTTAAAGACAACTAAATATGCACAATGGTCTGTATTCACATGACAACATGGCTGGAAGAGGGAACATGCTCCAAGATGTCAGTTCATGCAGCAACTGCAAGGCATTGCGAAGACCTATTTTCAGGGTTTTAAAAGAAATCTATTTCCATATAGAATGAAGGAGAAACCTAGAAAACTTACTTTTTAAAACTTGAATGTCCAAAATACATCTTTAGGCAGGCAATTTGTTTAGCATTAGGTCTAGGCAAGCAAGAATCTTTTGAAAAACAGAAAATAAGTATTTAGAAGGAAATAAATTTCCCTCAGAAATAGAGCAACAGCATATTGCAGACAAACTTCCACCTGTTTCCACTGTCCAATAACAGATCAATTGACTGAAAAAATGGAAAAGGCAGCATAAAGAACAGTAGGCTCAAAATATAGCATCCCAACAAAGCGTCTCCCTTTATGATAGATTTGTACCTTTGACCAATATTGGCAGCTCCCATCTACATGATGAAAGCCACTTTGGTCTAAATCAATTTTTGGCTGCATCATTATGAACAGAGAATATTTCTCCCTGCCACAAATACACACGCACACACTTTTCCGTTATTCTCTGCATTTTGATTAATTACAGAGACACATTCTTCTGCTTATTGCTTATTCTGACCAAGCTCCGAGAGTGCACTGGGAAACACATGAAAAGATAGACTAGGAGTGCAGAACCACTGGCTTGGAAAACTAATTCAGCCCATATAGCACCCAAATCTGGTATATACAGCCTCACAGGAAGAAACCCTGAGAGGGTAACCCCTGCCATAAGCTCACAGTGGAGACAGCCATAGGACCGTGTGACCACATGGATATTGGGATTCACCCATGCTGGGGACAAGTGACCACTCTCCCTAGTGCAAGCATGACCCACCACCCACTGGCCCACCTCCCCACACATAGTTCCAATCTCAGAATGGAGATTGTTGTGGGGATGCAGGGGATGCATGGGGCCCTTTCCCCATACTAGATAATTGGGGATCATTTACCCCAATTTTCTTCTTCCTCTTTAATGTGTTCATCTTCCTCTTCACCATCTGCAGTAATGTTATTCTGATGTTTTGATTCATCCAGGCTGGAATCCGTAAGATCCACATCAGACTTGTCTACTTCTTCTAAAGACTGAAGGAAAGAATGAATTAACATAAAACCTTTGATTTTGCATCAAAAGATGAAAATCTTCTGAGGCTGGTGTCATTCTGAGTTAAAATTGAGTTTTTTAAAAATATATATACACACACTTGCAAACCACAGTCCTAACAATTATGTGGGTCATGGCCTTCAAATTTCTGTAATAAACAAGCCTAAACTGAAAAAGTAAAGCTTTTTTACTTCATCCTCATGTCCAGCTGTTTAATTCTTCATCTCACATTGCTGTGAAAAGCACAAGAGAGAGAAACATACGGGGGGGGGGGGGGAGAAGGCAGCACCTCTGCCCAGTAAATTATTTAACAGATATAGTATTTCATTTAAAAACAACAGTAACTAGTATTTAAAATTATTAGATTCATACCCTGCCCCATTAGCCAAACGGTTCTCTTATGCTTGTCAAATCCATTGCCCCATGAATCAGTGCACAAACTGGAACAACCTTTTGCCCCAACTGGAAAGCCAATTTCAGCTTCATTTTGGTTCACTTTTCCTGATGCATCACTGCAACTAGGGTTCACTGGATATAAATAACCCATAACAGGAGGATTTAGGGTTTGTTTGTTCATAATTATACACATGTATGTATACATATATACATACACACTCAATTTTAAAAAGTAGTTTTAATGTGATTCCCTGCTAAATGGAATGGATGAAATAGAATGGTCAGGATCCAACAAGACATGAGCACCAACATGAGTCATGGTGCACTAATGTTAAGGACCTCTAGCAAAACCTCGTAGCATTAGCTGCTGAGTTTTCTAAGGAATCCCACTGTGCCAGCTAATGCTACTGACCTTGCAAACGTGCCTCTTGCATTAGTGTGATGTAAAAATTGTTAGCCTTCATGTAGAATTGGAGACTTGCATAATATTCCTTCAAGTGCCATTTCTTTCCAGAACAAGAGTAGGCTGGAAACAAAATTCAACCTGCAAGTCAAATCCTATAAATTTCAAGGTTTTTCTCAGAGAAAAGCAGATAAATCGTAGCAAGGCAAACAAGGAGAAGACCTGGAGGGTGCAATTTAAACAGAAAGACCACCCAACCAAGTCTAGGTTCATAAATATCTGTCAGCATAGGAATAATGCAACATAGATTCCTTCTCTCAAGGTTGTTGAAGAGAACAGCTATTTCTGTATGCTCACAAATACTCACACTAGACAAAAGACACCCTTTCTCTAAGCATCTTTTTCATTAAACAAAACAAACTAACCTACTATTTGGGTGGTTTGGCAAATTTAGGTGCCTGAATCCAGGGGGAAAGAGCCATGGTTGGATGACTATATGGGATTTCCTACATTCTTGGGCCTTTTGTAAATATAATGGTGAATCCCAGTGGGGCAGCTGGGAAGGGAGGAAAGGAGGATCTTTAAACCCTTTACCCATCCTCAGGAATGCACACGTCTAGGGAGGAGATGGGCTATATTAGTGCAAAGGGACTTACTTTATTTATCTCTTGCTCTATAAGCAAACATGCATTCAACTATTTTAAAACAAGTCTGATTTAAGAAAGGGCCCACGGGAAAGTACTGTAAAATCATTACTGAATGGGGTATGGTTGTCCAGAGTAAATAAGGCACAGTTCTGGAAGCAAACTGAATAACCACATATTCATCTTAATTAAATGGGACTGAGACTCAAGCAATCTGGACCCTAGTCCCTGCTCGGCCATGGAGCCAGCTGGGTGGCTTTGGGACAGTCATAGACTCTCAGCCCAACCTACCTTACAAGGTTGTTGTTGTGGAAATAAGATCAAGAGCTGAAGGAGAATGATGTAAGCCACTCTGAGTTCATTGTAAGAAAAAGTGGGCAATAAATATAATAAATAAATAGATGTTGCGTGGTAGCTCACTAACCAGACTACTAAAACTAGCAAAATGTCCACCACACAGAACTGCCTTAAATGTAGTTACTCCAACTGAACCCCATGCTGCCTACTCTGACGGCAGTCCCCCAAGATCAGAGACATATGTTCTGCTGAGTCTCAAGATCTTTTTTAACTCAGGATGCCAGGGACTGAATTTGGGCATGCAAAGCATGTGCTCTAACTACTATCTGCCCACTCAGAGTCCAATGATGCAGATTTAGGATGAACACAGGTATGAAGAATGGGAGGCGGCATACCTGCTGGGTTGGTAAGCAGCCACCAAGAAATATATGGCTTTTTGTCCCCAGGGCAGAGCACAGCTTTATGCCTGCCAGCCATGGAAAAAGCAGCTCATCTCTAGGTACTTTGCCCAGAACAGACGTGGGCTGGCAAAACTATAGGTGCTGCACACTTGCACTGATGGATCGAGGCTACGGTTCTAGCTGTCAATCTCCATCTCTAAAAGACACTGGCCATGAAATTATGGGGGCACTGATCTTATATAAAGAAAAAGAATGCAGAAAAATGAGGAAAACAGTAATTCGGAATCAAAGGATCAGAGTATTGTAAAACCTGAATTGACTATTCTAAAACATAATGATTTTCACATATTTATAAGTATCAAAGAACTCTTATATTTCTTAATATGATATAAATAATTCAAACATTGAACATCTGCTTTAAGGATACAATGCTATGCTTGTTAACACAAAAAAGTCCTATTTTGACCAAGGCATGCTGGGAGTAACAAGATTTTTTTTTTTTTACATATGCATAAGATTACAGTCTAGCAGTTTAAATTTTTCTCAACATTAAAAGGCATATTTTTAAAACTTACTTTCAGCATTGCTAGCTCAAATTCATCATCACTTTCAATGGTGTAGGAAGAATTCTCTCCATCCTCCATGAAGCTTAAATCCTACAAGAATTTTTTTAAATGAGAGCGGGTACCTTTTCCCATTAAATATATACATGCCCTAATATCTCTCCCACATAGCAAAATGAAATTATGTCGTTAGGGTGAGGGAAATAAATACAAGCTTGATCTAGACCAAATCCCTTGATAGGTGCTTTTTCTAAAAGCTCAAAAAAGGCAACCATCATATGATCATAAATGATACCAAGCTGGCAGAAAAGTTGTGGCTGCACATTAGAGGATATAAAACAAGAATGTAAAAGTCCATGAATGTTAATGTTAGAAATTTGAAAGAGCGTATATGCCCCTGATTCGCATTTTTTAAAGGGACCATATTTTCAAGTGTTAACTTTATCACAGTCTAGGCCATTACAAGATGATGAACAGTATAACAGAAAATAGCAAGATAAAAGTACAATCCACTTTTGAATTGGAACACATTAACCAGTAGGGATAAACAGTCCTTTAAAATTTTAAATAAAAAACCCATTAGAATCATTATTAAAATCAGGGCTTTTTTTGCCATGGAACGCACCGGAACAGCGTTCCGGCACCTTTTTTTCCAATGGATTTTACGAAGTGATTTTGAATCACAGCAGATCAGCAGCAAACATCATTAACATAGTGCCTGGGGGCTGCTTTTGTGTCTGCTATCTGATAGTGAGGGCGCTGGCTGCTCTAGGCTTGGGATGCTGCTCCGCTGCTCAGCTTAGGATTGGTGTGTGTGGGGTAGTGTGCTTACTGCCGGCGACATACGTTCCAGCACTTTTTTTTTTTTTTTTTACAAAAAAAGCACTGATTAAAATAAACATGTCTTCTCCTGGAGGGTATAGGAAATAATATTGGTGATGTGGCATTGCATACCTGCCAATAACAACACTAAAGAATATCTCAGGGTTCTCCAAACTGAGGCTCACAAGCAGCTCTTGAGTTTATGTTGCAGCTCACAAAGGGCTCAGAGCACCCTACAGTCTGGATCCCAGCAATGGCATGGGCATGATTGTAGCAAGCTCTCCCAAGGCCACTGGCCCAGCCTGCTCTCTTCCTGAGTGTGTGTGTTTAAAAAACTGTTTTGTCATTTCAGAAGCTGGAGTGATTGTGTGATCATTTCCTTATTCAAAAACAATGAAGAAGATCGGCACATGTGTATGAATGCTGTGGATGAAACTCAATGGGCTCAATTGAGCTGCACTCTTAGTAAAAACAACTGGAGATTCATTTAATGGTCAATTGCTTAGGCTAGTAGTGTTCACATCATCATTATAAGGGGCTGTGAAGAGCAGTTCCCAGCTGGCTTTTAACTACTGAAAGCCATGAAGTGCAAATGAAGTATCTATGAAACAAATCACAAAAAAATTTAATCTGATTATCCACATAAATAATTGTAGCAATGTCTGTTTGGTCATCATAAATAAATAAATGTCAGATGTTTGAGAGCCACAAGACATGGATATGTACAATATGTGGCTGTTCCATTGAGTTTGGCCTGGAATGTAGGATAGAAATTTGTCCTTGGGCCTACACATAAGGAGCGGAACAATGCATACAAGGTCTTCAGCCTGATTACAACTAACTATACTTTTCTGTTCCATCAAAGAAATGTCTAAGCATCTCCTCACCCCACCCCAGGTAAGCAGAAGGAATCACCTAAAACCTGAATTCAGCAAAGGCACTACATATCTTTGGAAAAATCAAAGTCTGAAAACAATGTGCTCTGGAGTGATTCTTCCTAAATCGAGCACATGAAACAGAAAAACATGTCATTAGAATCACCTTAACTTCCTAGGCATTTTCACAGATCCAGTTTCTGAAGGAATAGTGACCAATATTCAAGTATCTTGCCATGGCTCTATAGTTCCTTAGTTTACCCTGACATTTCTTGTCCAAGGCTAATACCTTAACTGTCCCAATCAACACAATTTGAAGACACTGTCACGTTGCTTTTCATTCAGCCTAACAATGGAACTACAGCAGATCTTAGAAGCTACAAACTACAACTCAAGCTCTGCCCTAAAAGAACAAGTGATTTTCCTACAGGGAGTCCTAAGATATTTCTAAAATTTTGATTTTGTAAGATCTGTAATTCCAGCTTAGCCCCTTTTGTACCCACATAACATTTGAGCAACTACCTTGATGAGACAAAACTTAAGGGCAGAATTTACCCTTGGCTATCTTTGATATTTAAAAAAAACCCTTGCAACTGGTTAATTTATTTAGGGCGCAATACTATGGTGGCTGGGAAATTCTGGGAGTTGTAGCCCTTTTTTGGTCGGAACATCCATAGGATTGTGTATTTATTTTTTATTTATTACATTTACATCTTCACTAACAATGGTGCTAATGCAGCAAATAAATAATACAGATTCTTAACAATGGTGCTAATGCAGCAAATAAATAATATAGATTCTTAACATCTGATGTGAGCCGCCCCGAGGCTTCGGCGAATGGGGCGGCATAAAAATGTTTTAATAAATAAATAATAAATAAATAAATAAACATTTTGAAACAGATTCAAACAAAATCTTAAGTCAACCATTAAACAAACCCTATTAGAAACACAGCAATAAAATTAATACCTAGAGATCAAGCAGCTCCTTCTGGCAGTATACCAGGTACATGTCAAAGGCCAACCTGAACAATGATGTCTTTGCCTACTAGCAGAAGGCCACCAGAGGGGACCCCAGCCTAACTCCTCCTCAGCAGGGAGTTTCGGAGTGTGCAAGCAGCCAACAAGAAGGTTCTCTTTCATCTCCCCAATAAATATGTCTTGGAAACAAAAGAAAAGCCTCCCTTGAAAACTGTAAAAAGGCCTGTACGGGAGAATTACAGAAACAAAGCATCTCAAGATGTTGGGCTTTTATTTTCAATAATCACATTGAAATGCCTTGTGCTTTATTTTTAGGGAGCATCTGCAGAGGCAATAAAGGAGACAATAGGCAAGATCAAATGTCTTAAAATGTGCAATAAAAAACAGCAAATGCACAACAGGTAGTCCCTCCTCATTCACATGCTAACAATTTCTTTTGTGGTTATGCAACTACACATTTTTTTCTGTGTAGTTATCTAGCTGCACATAAAAACCAAGAGACTAGCACCAAAGAAAAAAAATCCAGAAATACAGTAGAGAAAAAAACTAATTCTTCACTAAGATCTTGTGGGGCCAAAGTTTTTTGTCTTAACATCGGAACTTGCACCTAAGAATAGGATACTTCATCTGATGCCTTCCATAATAATTTTACCTACTGGTTATTGAGCTGAAGAGATGTATCATTCTAAGTTATCAGAAGGCAGTTTTAAAGTTAGTAAGCACAAAACTGCAGACAAATTGTGATATATTTCTTTGCTGTTTATTATTCATTATAAGCAATTTAAATTTCCATATTTTTCTTTTCTAGTTCCTCACCAAGGAGCGCAAAACCAATAGGGTCAAAATGCATTGAGTTACATTGCAAATGGATAAATTTGCTATCATCTTGAGACATATTCTTCCTCTGTAGATCTGTGGCAGATGATTTCTTGCTCATCTGCACTCTTCATAGGGAAGAATGGAATCTTGCAAAGAGCCTAGTCCCAAGCCATATGGAGCTTTGCATATCATAACCACTACTTTGAATTGCTGCTGTAAACACATTGGTAGCCAGTGAAATTGTTCTACCAAGGGAGTTTTGCCTCCCCTGTAACTGGCCCTGGATACAGCATTCTAATGATGCTACATCTCTGATGTCTAGTAACATCTGTATGATATTTTGAAATGAGCAAGGGCCGAATGCCCAGCTGACCTGCTCCTTATTTCCAGTGATTCATTCATGTGGGCATCAAAAAACACACCAAGGGTTCCTATAGCAGTTCTTCCCCAAGGTCACAGCAGGGCTGTGGCACGTTGGAAAAGAGCAGCTCCAGCAAAGCTTCCTGCTAGTCAAAGTTAAACAAGGGATTAAATTAAACCTTTACTTTGGCTGAGAAAAAAGCAGCTACAGTTAACAGAAGGAAGGCAGGTGTCCTTCAGAGGAATGTCTCTGATGGGGGCCTGAAGGGAACTCTGAAAATGAGACTGGACCAGCAGTGATACACATGGAAAAGCAGGAGGTAAATTCCAACTGTGATTGGAAAAGCTAGATCTCATCTGTAAAACATTTCCAGTCTCCCGGAAACCTGTTTTGATCCATCAACTATTCCTTATAAGTGATGGCTAAAAGCTGAAAGGACGAAGTTACCAAATCAAATTTCTAGAACTGCTTTCTTTATTCTTTTCATTTAGCTTAGCAATTTCCACTCCAAACACATTTGGCACTACAAAGAAACCCAGAATGTTTTACAAAATAAAACATGTTAAGCTCTTTCAGGATTTTCTGCCAGATTCTCTGGCTATATCAGACCTCCATTTTTCTATCCCTAGCATAGACTGTGAAAATATTACAATATAATCAATTTGATTGAGAGCCATCCCTTGGATGCAAGAAACTGTATTCACCCTGGCCTGGGGTGAAATGTTTTTGTGATCCCAAGGAAATGATTATGCCAGCTCCAGGGTTTACTTTACAAGGAGGCACTTGCAACAAAATACAAGCAAGCAAGCTAGCGTTCCCAAGTGCTTTAGCAGCAAGTCTAAAAGTATGGGGACCCCTGCAAGATAGGCTTCAATCAGCTGCAACAGACAGGGTCAGCAGAGCCTCCTCAACAGTGCAAACAAGAGCACATGGGAAATGGCTAGCTTAGATAGATTACATGCTTACAACAAGGAGTACAGCAATCATGAGTCAAAGTATATAAGGAAGTCATGAAACATTGACAGAGGCGGCAGCATAGGCACTGAGTACACAGGAACCCATACACATTTGGGTGCACAGTGGTTGGGGAGGGACCCAGTCTGGCCTGTCAAGGCCCCCAGTCTGGGGGGGGGGGGGGCTCGTCCCTACTCAGGGTGCCAAGAAAACAGGGCGTAATCAGCTAGGCAATAAAGCATAAGATCATCAACAGCCTCTGATGTGAAGGTAGGAGTGTCCAGAGGAATCTGAAGGGAACATGATGGTGTGTTAGTCCTTTGTCAAGCCAAGAGGGTGTCTCCCTATCATGAAGGCACTCAGGTGGGGCAAGGAAATGATAACTAAGATGCTACATTTTAATTAAAACAGACAAGGTAACTAGAGTTCATTCAGGCCAAGCAAGGCCTACATTTTGGGAGCCAGAACCTTGGGCCTGAGTTTGGAGTACCGGCCTGCCACAGGTATTAGCATTCCTTTTTGTAGTCCAAAGATCACAACTGGTCATTCATTATCACAGGCTTCAGCTTGATCTCACACTCTACTATTCAATGAAAGCAGAACACAAGATCAGGCAATATTATGAAAAGTTCCAGCAATAGCCTGAAAGGACACCTGTATTCCATTGATCTGGCACTGGGATCTGGCACCAGTGTCCACATGATGACAACCATACTACTTGCTTGACTCAAATAGCACTAGGAAAAAGCTGCTCCATATAAAACAAAAGGTTTAGCCAAGCAAGCATGGCAGAAAAAGTGAGCACAAACAGACCATTCCTACTTCACATGCAACGCTGCCTCAACTGCTCTAGTGCTTGCAAAATCTGGGATAAGCTCACACTGCTGATCTATTGAACTGTATTGTTTTCTCATCAAGGTTCACTACCCATATAGCCTTACCTGGGATGCACAAGCGGCTTCATTTAGTAACTCTTCCTCAGTCTGACGTTCCAACATTTGAAGTTCATACTCAGTTATATCTAGTGACATTAAAAACTCCTCCTCTGCAGTTTCTTTAGATCTTCTGTCCAAAGCTTCATGTGCCCCTTTCTTCTTAAGCTGTTCTTCACCTTCCACCAAGACTTCAGTTTGAACACCAGCTAGTTTATTACCCAAATGCTCTTTTGACTTGCATTTGAACTTGGAAGTAAATTCTGATGTTTCCCTTTTTTCTTCTTCACCATATACCGTTCCCTGCTCTGCCAATTCACTCAGCATTATTTCACCAGGAGATTCAAGAAGCAAAGTCCTTAAGGTCTGGATATTTTCTGACACACCAGCCAATATTTCTGCAGCTCTAATGAAGAAATGTTGAATGGCAGAGTAAGCTCAAAATAGGTTTGATAGATGCAAATGATAACATTTACAAAACATGGAAGTGTGAGACCATGGGTACATTCTCGAATGTGGTTCAGATAACAGATTTCACTAAAATAAAAAAACCCACATGTGCGCACCAGGTGTTGCTTGACTTTCAGTTTTTGGGAGTTGTGTATCTGTGTGTGTGAATGTCTGTATGTATGTGCATTGTATAAAGCTTTACAAAATTTTTATAGGGCCAAGAAAGGGCCTCCAAAACAGCATGTAATAAAATACAATTAGATATTTCAGATCCAAAGAACAGATTCAAACATACAATTAAAAATAACAAAAGAGGTTCACTAAAATGTACTACCAGTGAACAGAAGAAGAAACTTAGCTCAAATCAAAAGCCAGACATTTTTTTAGTCTTCACAGCTTATATGTATCTCAAAAGAGAGGGGCCTAACCAAACTGCTTTAAGAAGGGAGTTTATGAACTGCAGCTGAGAAGGCTGAGCCTGCATTCCAGCCAGCTGCACTTTGAAAGGCAACAGAAAGCAAAGCAGTTCTGACTATCTGTATCAGAGACATCCCAGGGACCCTCTGACTTTCTGGAGAGGATTTTCAGTGAAAGTAAATGCAGTTCACAAGAAGCAGCATGTAAGCTCTATATACAGCTCTTTCAGTCATATCCGATGAGATAATGTGCTTCCATAAACGAAGTAATGCATTGACTGATATGCATATCTAAAATTCACAGATATTCATGCTAGAAAAATGAACATCCATCACAAAATTGCACTGAAAAATTAAGTAAAGCAACATTTAACCTGTGAACATTTGTAGACTTTCCAAAAGTGCTAGGAAGGCAATTAACCAAATCCACCAGCTCCTCTGACAGAGATGCCAATTCCTTCTTTATTTCACATGGCAGTAGAGATGTATCTGAAATAGCCAAAACAGAATCTGGAGGTGAACAGTTTTTCCAATCATAATACTGTCCTAAGAACCATGCTTTCAAGTACAAGAACTGTGGTTTCAAGTGTTAGTGCTTACATTTATAAGACCTTGGATCCAAGGTCTCAAAATTAGCACTTCTTATATGCTCTCCAACTAAAAGTTCTGGATTTAAAGGAGCCATGTACTGCATTCATCCTTGTATAAGTCCATAAAATATTATATTGATGTTCTACAAGGTAATAGATATAACTGTTACAAAATGTGCTACAAATACCAAGCATTTATAATACCAAGTGTTTCAAAAATAACATGCCACCTTTTAAACCATATTCCTGAATATTTCTGTAAAATGTATAAGGAGAGATGCTGGCAATGATTCTAATCTGAAAATTAGTTTATCATTCAAGTATATATGAGCGTGCCTACTGTACTTTTCATTGTAGAATAAACAGAAAATTCCTCACATATCTCAAGAATGAATCCCGTCCCGAGACGTTTGTAGGGGATGGGATAGAAAAGCTTTTAATAAATAAGTAAATAAATACCACAGAAGGTACAAGCATCTACTTGTATTATACTTACCAACAAACATTAGTAAAATAGCTAGAATAACCACACATATTTAAGGAGGGAAAGATAGTAATGTTCTTTGAATGACAATATTCAAAGCTCACCTTTTTCAATACTAATCTGTATCTGGTTAACACATTTCATATTTACCAGTTTTTGGTAAATGAGGAAGCCAGCCTACAACAAATAAATACTTTTTAATGCAAGAGTAATAGTTAAAATATTCCACAATTTATCAGATCTAAAGTTATCTATCTTCTGAAGCAATCTTTGATTGGAATTTTAATGCTGACCACGAACACTTTTTAGTATTATGGTTTGATAAATTACCATTAAAATAAAATAGATCCCACCAAAAATTCTCAAGCCAGCTAACAAAGCGGTGAAAGCAGCAACAACAAACAATGACATAAAGCTGAAGCGTGAAGTTATACAGATGAGCTGAAATGAGCCTGTACAATGCCTTGCTTTCATGCATACCACCAAGAGAAGATTTTGGCAGAGTTCGGTTGTGCTTTCCATGAAAGAGATTGTAATTAAACCAAAATCTTGTAACTTTCTAAATAAACCAGCATCAAACAGTATTCTAACACACCAACCCACCATGGTAACCAGAATTCCACAGGACTGCTTCCCTTTCACAAACTAATCACCCTGAGAACATATGCCTTGTTCTAGGGCTTCTTTAACCAACAGCAGATGGTCACGCTGTCTGAACATGTTATTTGAAACAGCAAGAAGTGGCCTAGAGCCCTGTTGCTTGCTTTTGCAATCCTGCCAGCCACTGCCCTTCTACCAATGTCAAAATGGCACCATAGAAGGACCATTTCCTTGGCTTCTACTATTTAGTTATGTATTTGGAGCCTCAAAAAAGCACAATTGAAATTGGGGGATTTTCCTCCTGAAAATTGTGCATTTTTACACCCCCCCCCTTTTTTTTGTTGAATCTAGGCATGTCTGCAAATACACATATGGCCATGCAATACAAGGTGAGAGTGGAAAAAAACTAATTTGCATCTAGTTGCCAGGGACCAAGGGCTGAGCTGCCAACAGTAAAAGACAAAAAGGTTGAGAAAGAAGTTGAACTAGAAGCGGGTGAGGACATCACTTCATTGGCAATATGATCCTTTCAATTCTAAATGTTGAACTGGCAGTTCACAGTGTCCTCCAACTTTTCAACTCTTCCTCAAGTTTGCAGTGACTCCAGAAAGGGGAAATACTAATTTCCTATGCTTTTGTAGCAGTTACTGCAGGTGCACAAATTTAAGCTCAATTTATATCCCAGCTCTTACACATTTCTCCTTCATTTACTTCCAAGGCATTACATTTGCATATTGGGGGGGGGGGTTAGACCCGTCAAGGGACTACAGCAATAAATGCTCCATAAAGAGCCACATAACAGAGGGAGTATCTCCCCTTTCTGGCATAACTGGAGTCTCACAAAACTACTCAATTGGTAAAAGGTGCTGAGAACTGTTAGTTCAACAATTAAATTTGAGAGGATTATATTGCTAAGTAGGTGATAGTGCCGCCACCCCCTTTTGGTGCATCAGCTTTTCCCAGTACAGTACATTTCACTTGACAGCTGGACAAATAACAGTTGGCAGCTGTGCAAATTAGCCTATATGCAGTCTTGCCTTGTCCTCACTTTGACAGCTGAAACAGTCAAACGAATTTGGTAGGCAAGACTACTCCTACCAGATAGACAGAAGTGCACACTTGTACACCTGCGAAGAATTGACAAATATATATTTTTAAAAGCAACAAAAAATTAAAAAGGACACCAATTATACTTTTTGAAGCTCCAAATAATACAAAAAACCTCACCCCAGCAAAAAAAAAAAAAAAGGATAGCGATCAGAGTGGAGAGGAAGAAGCAAGAATGGTTGGAGGACTGAGGGGAAAGTTGAGGAAGAATGACCAATGGTGAGCCCAGACAGTCCAAGAGTTGTTTAACAAACAGGCAGTCCATTGTGGCTTACACACCATGCATTATTCAGTTGGATTGTTTAACGAATCAAAATTTTAAGACTATAATCTTTGGTTTGTTTTGAATGAAAAGCCAGCTTTTATGGAAAGTCCGAACTAAATTCTGCTGAAGTTGTCCAAACTAGGAATGCCTAAGCTCAATGTATGACTCAGGCTCATTCTGACTTGCCCGTGTAGTGTTAAACCATGGTTTTGAGAATGGGGCCAATTAAAAGACAAGCCTTACAAAAATGAATGTTAGAAAACAAGAGATCACCAGCAGCAGTTAAAAACTGGAGGGAGGGGGAAATAACTTCAGTCAACAACAAGAAGATAACTAATTAATAGCCTGGGAAAGTAAGGTCTTGACCTGGCTGTACTGGAAACATGTGGAAGATTATTGTATGGTGAGGAGTTAGGTTGGACACGTCTATTTCCCCTCATGTTGCCCTTATCAAGTATGTTGAGTCTTCAGTTATACAATGGAATGTGTTTTGTTTTTCATATCTTGTTTTACATTCCCCTTGCCAGAAGGGCGTGCTGTGTCCCAGGTGTAAAGCATTTGGGAGGATCCTAGATTAGCTATCCGGAGTTGTTTACCCCAGTGTTGGCTCAGGGGCCAGGTGCCGGGCATGCATAGAGTTGAGGTTTGTGAGCCAGATGCACTCAATTACTCCATTATAAAACCAGGAGGTTGAGAGCTTCTATACAGGTCAGGTACTGGATGCTCTGTAATTGTTGAGGGTGGTTGGCTCTCTTGCTGCTCAACTGGGGCTCATGGCAGCTGAAGGGGAGAAGATACTCTTGCAAGGTATAAATGCTGTTTTGTTTGCCTGCAGATACTATCATTGCTTAAATAAAGCATTGCTTTTCCTTTACCTACTGGTGTGTTCATTACCTCCAAATCCAAAAGAACCCCTGCCTTTGGCAGAACACTGGCATCTAGAACTTATCAGAGTAGGTGCCAGCAAACAGTCCTGGAGACTGCATTTCAACCTCAGGACACTACCACAGAAAAGACTCTTTCCATGACTGCCAGCTGCCTGATCTCTAATAGCTGAAGAAAACCCTAGAAGAGCTTCCAACAATGCCCTTAAGTGATAGGGCTTTATAAATTAACAAGAGTTTATGATTAATACAAAATTCTTTTCAATTCTATTGATTTAGTTAGGTTTTTTATACCGTTCCATTCCCATAGGCTCTGGACAGTTCTATTTAATGAAGCTGGATATGATCAGAAGCTTCCCAATCAGATGAGAAGCAATTTCTCTCTCTTTTTGGCAGATCAGCCCTATGAAGCTGGCTGTCTTCCAAAAGTGCTCTCTCTATAGTTACCCATCTCTGCTGTTTGAATTAATGACTGTTCCAGCTATAGAACATAGGGAATCTACAACATTAACAAGCCACTGACTTCCTCTCTCACAGGCAGAATTTGATCTGGGTTTATATGAGGTCAAGATGTACTGCAGAGTGGACTGAGAGCAAGAACCCTGAATGAAGAGGGTGGAAAAAGTGGCTTAGGAACCAAATCTGGTTCCTGAAGACTTTCCAGCTGGTATGCTGCAGAGCTTCCAATTACAAGGAACATCCCTGTCTGTCTGTCCATCCATCCATCCACACAATATTTAGGTGCCTTGGCTGCTTACTCGTAACATGAGGTCTAATTTAAATGTGGTACCTGGTATATTAAGGTCTCCTTTTAAGGCCTTCACATGGCCAGCCAACACTGGGCCGCTGGTGCCTATGTGTGCAATATTAGTACTGCAGCCGATGGGAACCTTCAACCCTCCAGATGCTGTGGGGAGGGTCATAATCTTGTGCCCCACTGTTAGGATCAGGCAGATGGCAGCCAAGGAAAGGGCCTCCTCCATGACAGCATCCTGACTTTTATATGCTCTGATGACTCCCAAATGCCAGGCAAAGACCTTATTTGCCAGCTTATTAGTAATTAGTATCTTATTGCTGTTCACTGAGGTTATTCCACCTGCTGCCCCACTTGTCTTTGATTGCAGTTTGTCTATCATTTGATGGTTTCAGTTTTTCTAAGTCTTGCCCTTTATCAGCTCCAGCAGTACAGCCAATGGTGAGGAATGAAAGGAATTGGAGTTTAATGTCTGGAGGGCCACAGGTTCCTTATCCCTGTACTATAGGAATCAACAAACTAGGCAAGTATCATTCCACCATCCCAGTTCCATATGGTTAGGTGGAATAACCACTTTGTATCACCAGTGATAGCAAGACTGGAAGCAGCAGAACTCTGTTTTGGCCCTACCGTCTTGAGCAAGGTAGGGTTAGTTTGTTTTTCTGTTTGTTAACATTGTTTTTGTTAGTGTGTATGGTTGCTTCCATGCTGACCAGGAATGTGCTGTTCTGGCATGAGCTTCAGAAAGCTCATGGAAAGGGAGTTCAGCGGGTGGCATTCAGGGACAGCATGTGGTACTAGAGAAGGTGATTTGGCAGGAAAAAGGTGGACAATAACACATTGGCACAGGGTCTTTGTAGAGATTAATCTTGGATCCTACTATTGACCCCACCCCCCACTCAATAAGGTGTGTTTTTAATGTAAGGTTGTAAGTATGGATCCTGGTCACCTGCCAAATACAGAGCTGAGTCCTTGAGTCTTTAGAAGCAAAGTGTGACAATGCTAACAGGTACTAAGTTACAACAGCCGGTTATCTTGTCCCATTCCAGTATAATTTGGCAGTTCTGCGGCATGGGCTTATAAGCTGCACGAGAGACTGGTATTTCATCAGTCAGGTCACTTTAGTGGTGCAAAGTAAATTAGCGCCTTCCGTCAGCTTTGGCTGATCCATCAGCTGCATCCCTACACCTGGAGGAAGATTGCCTAGCAACAGTGACACATGCATTGGTTACTTCCTGGTTGGATTTCTGTAACGCACTTTACGTGGGGCTGCCCTTGAAGACAGTCCGGATACTTCAGATGGTGCAAAACAGAGCTGCCAGGATGCTGACGGGGACTGGGCATTATTCTCATATAATCCCAGTCCTCTATCAGCTCCACCAGCTTCCCATCAAAGTCTGGGCTCTATTCAAGGTGCTGGTTATTACCTATAAAGCCCTAAATGGCTTGGGACCTGGATACCTAAAGGAACATCTTCTTCCCTATTTGCCCTCCTACCCCTTGAGATCGGCAGCAGAAGCCCTCCTCCGGGAACCCTCTGTGAAAGATATTAGGAGACAGAGTACCTGGAGGAGGGCTTTCTCTGTGGTGGCGCCCCGACTATGGAATGCGCTCCCCAGAGAGGTCCGCCTGGTGCTGTCATTATATCTTTTTCAGCACCAGGTTAAGCCCTTTTTATTTCATCAATATTTTAATAAGTTTTAATATTGTATTTTTTACTATTATAGTTTAACTGCAGCCAGAGTGGGTTGATAATTTATGTTGATATTTGTATTCTATTTATCTAAGTCATCCTGAGGATTTTGCAATAGGATGGCATATAAATATCCTAAATAAATAAATAGAGTTCTCACTTAATATTCCATCTAACCACAGTTTAAAGTTTGTGTATGATTGCTGTTTGCTCAAAACCAGAAACCATAACTTCCCAGTTCAGATGCATTCTGTATTGAATTGTGGGATATTGGAAGAGAGAAGCAAGGAAGCAGCATGCACAAGCTGAAGCCTTATTAAGTTGAGACATGGTAAACCTAACTGGGCTAAAACTAGCTTTGCAATTTTTTTTGCTTGATATAGCTTAGAAAAAATATAGAAATTATTTGCACATACGTAAGCATCAGTAGCTGCATACAGCTTTTGCTCCTCAGTAAGTGGAAATTGTTCCCAGTTACCACAGCGGACCAACTTATCTTTCAGAAGCTGTTTATGGAAGAGGTGCTTCATAAGGTTGTTCAAACTCCATATCTCCTTACACTTCAGCTAAAAATAAGATTGGAACAGTTAAGAACAAACTGTTTCTCAAACTACATTAAAGAGTAAGTTTGCTGTGATCTGATATAGATGGAATAAGTTTAATGAGATTATGTATTGCTAAGTGCAACTTTTAAATACAGTCAAAACACACATTCAAATTTTAAGCAGGGCTTAACTAGAGCTGTCTCTCATGAAGGGTTTTCATAATGTGAAACCTCCTTAAGCCATGTACCTTATTGTGCCACAACAATGAATACATGTACAAGCTAATTCAGATATCTATTCTGAACCAAAAATATTCATCACATACGGCTTGGTGCGATGCATCTTTGGAGATGGGGTGCCATACACCTAACATTACATGCAAACTGTTCAGGGAATGCTCATGTGATAAACAAGTGAGCATACACCAGATTCATGACAAGTGAAACTTTCAGCTAGTATGATACAATTGATCTTTTCTAGTTCCTATAGATTCATCATTTGAGGCACTGGTTCTTTGTTTAGCCTAATGCAATCTGGGGTTGGTACAGTTAGGCACCTGCCAAGAACCCAAACGCTCAACACTGACTTTGCCCCCAACCCCCCCCCCCCCAGTCCAGTGCCAGGCCCTTCTGCTGCCCTGTTAGAGCCACCACAAGGCGCAATAACTCATCTTGGCCCCTGTTTCCAACAGACAGTCCTACCAAGCAGCATTTATTATGGGATCACCTCTGATCTGTAAATAAGTTTATTATTGAAACCATGAGTCATAACATAACACAAAGTACCATAACATACCATGCAATAGTAATTATAAAACAATTAGATAGTAAAATTATAAAATAAAATACTAAGAGTCATAAATAAAAGGTTACAATAAAATAGGGCCAATGCTACAACTGAGAATTTAAAAATTTCTTTCTGAGTCTAAATGAGAGCAGGGTAAAGGTGGCAACTTGACCGCTGACAATTGGGACCACATTTGCAAGGAGGTAGATTAGTTTCTCAAGGTCTGAGCCCTTAAGTGCTTCACCTAAAAAATTTGGTCCTGATACCTCTGATCTGTAGCAACCAATAGGTTAGAGTCCTCAGACTCTAACGACCATTGTAGATGCTGGGCACTGCATTTTGGGGCACCTCACATGGCAACTTCCTGCCTTGGAATGCAAGCCAAGTACTAGTTCACCTTCCATAATAACCATCACCAGGTAAATGCACCTGTGAAGATCATGGGTTGAGTAGAGTGACTGGCAGCCTCACCACTCAGAGGGGACACCAAGCAGGAATTTATGAGTGGCACTGTGCTCTGAGGGCCATCACATGTAAGAGTAACATCTGAAACATTTCAAGAGGTTGACAGGTAATTTATGCTTTGAAAGGCACAATTCTGTATATGGCTACTCAGAGGTAAGGACTACTAAATTAAATGGGACCCACACCTTGATAAGGGTATTTAGGACTTTAGCCTACATCATCTATAAACTTGCTGATAACAGCCAGTATCAAGACAATCCACAGCAGTCTATTTTGACAAAAATAACAGCTCCTAAATATTCTAACATTTCATGGAAATAATAGGCAAAAATATATGGGAACAATGTATGTGGCACAGTAAAGTATACTGATCCCAGTAATTCTCAATGTAAGATAACATTTCCTTTTACCATGTATTACAATTAAATTTTCATATATTTCAGTAGCAGAAGATTAATTTTGTATTACCCTTTTCAATTTTCAGCACAAGTTTGCTCCCCTACTCAGCTGACTTTGTATGAATTGTCTGCTGAGCATCTTCCCCAGTATTACAGTAAGTTATTACCTTTTCATTGGCAAGATCAGTCAGTTCAACAAGTTCCTCCAACCTGATATCAAAATCACGCAGCAACTTCCATTTATCTCCTTCAATACCAACCCCAGCTTTTTTAATATGGTTATCTTCAAGCAAACGTTTCAGCCCCACAGGAAAACCTAAAGATATTTAAGATGCACATAAAATATATTTAACTTAGGAAATTATACCTTATATTAGCTGAGGCCACTTACAATGATTTAAAAGAGGGGTGGGGGAATCTGTGGCTCTTGGCAAATTTCACATTGCCCTTAGCATCAACCTGCTCTCCCAATAGTGTTGGTTAATTCTTGCTCTCTGGATCCCCCACCAAGAATTCCTCCTTCTTTCACTTTGTATGGGGGGGGAGGGGAGGGTAGTAGATAATGGATAGAGAGTAAGTACAGTGGGATGCAACAATGTTACCTGCCATCAAAATCCCACTCTTGCTAGGGGGCACAAAAGGGTCTCAGGCAACCTGGGACAGATCCAGTAACACCTGGTGGTGGTGACCTCCCCAGGACAGGAGGGGATTGCAAGACACCAAGCATTATCTTAGCAGCTCGCTTGTTGCCTCTTTGCGTAACCCCTACCCACAACATCCTGACCCACAGCTCTCCTAAAGTTCTTCTGTACCTCTGGCCTGCATTTGCCACCCCTTGCAGGAAGCTCAACATCTACTTAAGTTGCCCATAAATTTCCCTAGATTGGGGTGAAGAACAGACAGTTCGCAGTCTGCATGTGACCCCGTCATCCTTTCTGCAGTTCCAACCGTTCCCTCACTGATGCCACTAAGCTGCCAAATTGCAAGGAATAAGATTTTACATTAAGGGTGCTAAATTTGCCCATGGAACCTCTGTCATTCCCTCCCGTGTCCTATATCAGTGGGAGGCCAATATTTTGGCCATGGGAACATACTGCAGTTTCAGAAACTGTCTGGACATCATCACAAAATGACTCTCGCAAAGGACAAATAATCCAAAACTGCCTGAGCACAAGGCAGAAGTGGTGTCTGAGTCCAACAAAGTAACCCACATTTTCAGCAATAACTGAAACGGGTTTCAAAACAAGCATAGCTGCCAGCCAGAATTTTTTTTCAAGTGTGTTGGTAAAATGGTAAGGCACCTTGACAGGTGCCCACAATCTCAGGTGATTGTGTCCTGAGATGCACTGGTGCCCATAGGCAGCATGTTAATCTGTGTCCTCGATGCATGATGACAGGGTTCAGCCGGCAGAGGAGGGCAGTGTCAGAGCTGAGGATTTCCATGAAGGGCTTCAGGACCACCATGAGCTGTGATGTTACAGCCCCTGCACTACAGCCATGTGACAAAGCTTGAAACTGCTTTGAGCCAGCAACCCACAACCACTGGCTAAAATCTGGGCCTCCTCCCATCTATGCAAAGTACATCAGAGGGGCACCTGCAGACACAGTTGCCTCTGCCACCTCCACAGAACCACTGGAGTTTGTGAAATACTTTAAATCTCCATCCTGTATCAGTAGGCTCAGTTCCTTCAGAACCTCAGCATCTAGTAAGCTACTCCCCCGTCTTTTCCACCCATGCAGTTGTACTGCCAGGAGTTTATAGTCTTGCCACTGCCACCTCCAAAAACTGAACCCTCTCTCACTGGAATGGGGCTAGCTCCCACTAGAAGCAGCAGCCTCAGAGTTGGGGTGACCCTGCTGGATCTGCTCTGAAGTGAGGCAAACAATGGGCATTTGGTTGGCAGAACAGAAGAGGAGGACACTGGGCATGGCCAATACCAACAGCAATTCCATCTCTAGTACCTCCTATCTCTTCTCCCAAGGGCATGAGATTTGCCATCACCACAAACTGGTTTCATGTTGTGTTCCCTCTGTACAATACAGTATTTTAGTGAAAGATGAGCATGCTTGTGCACACTAGGTTGCTTTTTAATGTACATGAGAGTATTCAAGTATGTGTAATGCAAGAGAGTGAGAATAAAAGTCACATGCACACAACATAAAACTAAGGAAGGTATCAAAGAACTCCATGAGACAGAGCAATGAAGAAAGAATTTGCCAAGGCAGATGGTACCAAGAGAGCATAGAATTTCTGAACTCAAGCCAATTCAGAATAAAACTTCTGGAGTAAAAAATGGGTCACAGAGAGAGAACACTGTCTAGTGCCTACTCATCCTCCAGTGCACAAAACATTTTAGCATAAATTAGAAACTTTTACATGTAACCTTCTGATTGGTGCAGGGTGGACAAACATATTTTTTAAAAAAAATTAAAACATTGAATTTTAATTTTTAAATCAGATGTTTTGCTTTAAATTGGATTTTTTAAAATAAAATATTTTTGAGGAAAAATCTATCTAAATGTAGTTTCCCGTTTAAGATAAATTATGGTCCAATAGTTATTCATCATGAAATAAGGATTAGTTTTAAATTATAAAGCATAAGGCTGTATATTCATACAGTGTTTAAATTTCTTGCTAAATGAATTCCATCAATCCCTTCACAATGTCATGTTCTTCCACGGGTTTATGTAAGATTATTGGGCAATTTTTCTGTCTAGAAGATATGATCACAGATGCTTGGTCTTACAGGCTCAGAACCGTGAACTTGTATCTGCAGAGATCACATGCCTCTTCTTCACAGCAAAAATGTTATAAAATAAACATAGAGTTGAGAAAAAGATTTTAATCCAATTTTTCCTTTGTAAATCTATGTACACAGAATCAACCCCTTACCTTTTAAGTATTAAGTTTCAAAAATTTCAATTAATAGAAGAAGATTGTTGGGAGTGGAATAGATCTGCACAAGAAGCTAAGTGTGAAGAGGGAGGGGCAAGCAATAAAAATTAAAATGAAACCTTTTGAGCAAAATATTCCACAAGTCTTTGGATCTTTTTGTCTATCATGATATCCTGAGGTTTATCATATTATTCTTTCCCTCAATAAGAAAAGCTATAATGGCAGCAGGCTGTAAAAAAGACCCAGTTTGGGAATATTTTAAACAAGTTCCTCTATCTATGGATAAGGCATACGTGCATGCAAATTCTGTAAGAAACCATGATTTAAGTCTAGTCTTACTGACCAGTGATGTAAATTGTAATATAAATTGTGAGTTAAATCTATGTGATTTAAATCAAATCCACCTTGGATTGCTGCACCCTTAGTGTATAATTAGGTTAGAGTACAGGCGGACATGTTTCTACATTACAGAAGTAATTGTGTTTGGAAAACTATGCAAAGAAACGTAGAGCATACATAAATGGCAACTTAATGAGTTCATCTTGTTTAGAGATTATTAAATAGAATAGTACTGACTTGACATTGAAGAGATGTGAAACAGATAACACTTTTTTTCAGACTCGCACAGCTGGATTAAGGCCACTTTTCCTTCTTTCCCTTTAGCATAGCGTGGTGCCCATTCAATGTCGAATCCTAGCACAGTTCCATAAGGCAGAGTTGTACTAAAAGAGAAAAATACATCCGGAGCTTAGTTCCTATTTAATTAATTTGAAGATCCAGTGTAAACCTAATGACTGTTTCCAACAAACCATGGATGTCAAGTTAGGAACTACTTTTGAATTGTGCACCCCTTTCCTCTCCCTCCTCTGAAAAAAATCTCTTCTATATTCCCTTGTTTGCCTTAAGTATGATTTACAGGGATGGGAAACCGGGGCCAGATCCAGTCTGGAGAAGTTCTCCATATAGCTATGTCTTCCTTTAGTGCTAAGGAATCTCTCTTTGTAGAAAGAGGCACAGATTATGGAGAATTGGAGCTATATTCAGTGAGGGAAGGAGACTTAGGAGGGAGGACTGGAGCTTTGGAAGGGAGGGACCTGCCACTTCATCTGGCCCTCATGGTGGCCAGGAACTAAATGCAGCCTCTGGAATCAGAACTTTTCTCCATTCCAGTTCTAATGCTGTACCTACATCAACACGAGGTACAGTTACTATTGGCCATGGTTTCGCTCTCAACCCTTGGAAGAAAAGTTGTTCTTAACTATGATGATTACTGGTGCAAATGTAGTAACTAAACCAAGGTGAAGGCAAACAAGAGAAAGGAGACAGAGAACGCATGCCCCAATAGGTAAACTCTGTTATTTACACAGCCATTTTCACACCACAATTAATATATTTACTACAATAGGACAGGAGTGAACATCAATTCTGGGGAACCGGAAATAATAAATAAATCTTTCAGACAAGAAAACAACATTAAATAACTATTTTAAACGAAACAATGTTTTCATTTTGTCTATTAAATACAATGGTTCTTAAACTGGCTCTGTGGCACACTTTCTAATGGTCCCTGAGGATATTATGAAAACCAGAAACATACAGGTGCACCACCAATTTCTTTTAGATACTATCACATACTAAAGAGACAAACCATTTCTCACTTTAAAATTAACACTGAAAAACAGCCTGCAATTTCAGTAGTGCAAGCAGCTAGAGTGGAAACTCCAGAGGAAGTAGCTGTTTCCACATTTCCCCCCAGAAATGCATATACTTGTAGCCAAACAGAAGAAATGTAGCAGTTGCTACTTTATATTCAATTGATGCTGTATACTTATTTCAAACATATTCTCAGCATTCTCTCACATGGCAATTACAAGGTCACAAAATACAGTGGTCCAAAAAATATAACCAAACTAAAACAGAAACTCTCATTACAACACTTAAGAAGCACCACTCTCCTAAATTCTGTCAAACCCTTCAAATTACAAAGACATGGGGGGAACATAATGAAAATAAAGCTTTCAGTTTCTTACACTATATCTTCAGATAGTAAGGAACAATCACTAGCATTATAGCTGTAAATGACAGAGCCCTGGAATTCTAAGAATGGGAGGCTGTCTTCCAGAACGCTCCGATGGACAGGATTCTTCTGCTTCATGAAAACAGAAAAGACAGCATGTAGTAAGGCATGTTTAGGAAATGATTCAGTGGTTCACTCATACTGGCACTCAATACTACAATTCCCAGCAGGTACTTAGGAATAACTTTGCCCCGTACACAAGGAAGATGTATACCTCTTCCAACCAAGATATTAATTACTATATCAAACAATACCAGTAGCAACAAGCCTCTACGTATCTTGGCACATACTTTCCAGTCTCCCTATTGGAACCTCCCTGCAAAAGATAAATAGAATTACTTATGGCTGGTCTTTTGAATACTAGCCAGTACCTGCAAGTGTACTACCAAGCACTCAGTATCACCTCTATCAAGCTAACATTAACAATACTGGGTGGGTAATAGATATGAGACATTTTAACTGTTGCAAGGTACAGAACTTGCCAACAGACCTGAAGACATGATGAGTCTAAGAATTTCTGTGTAATTCCCTATCAGAAACTGCATACACAGGAAGTGCAGTCTGCACTGCCTTTCATTACATTTCCAACTTTTATTCTTCCATGTGAATCAAATATATGTGCTGAATCCCTACCTTTTTATCAAGCAACAAATCATCTTTGTTCTGTTCAGTCATCCACTGGGGAAGTTTATTTGGTGGAGAATCCATATTCCTATCAATGTATTCTTCTGAATGTGCATGATAACTGAAACAGTAAGAGAAGGCAAAGTGCATTAGACCAAAAGATAATCTTACACGTTCATGTTTATTACTTGACAACTGCAGTATCAAGTATTTTCATAGGAATTAATTCACACATTCAGCTTCCAGATCAAGTACTGCACAGGCAAGTACATCACTAGGCCCATGTACTCAGATATAAGTTCAAAAAAGTGAACAAGACTTGATTAAGGGAATTTAGCACTTTTTGTGACTGTTTATTCCTAAGTGCAGCACACTTCCTTTAAGGGAATTTACGGTCAAGCTATGTGGGTCAAGATGCAAAAGTGTGAACTGGACATGGAACAACTGATTGGTTCAAAATTGGGAAAGGAGTATGGCAAGACAGGATGGCAGGGTATATTGTCACCCTGTCTATTTAACTTATATGCAGAGCACATCATGAGAAAGACTGGGCTAGATGAATCACAAGTAGGAATGAAAATTGCTGGAAGAAATATCAACAACCTCAGATATGCAAGATACCACTTTAATGACAGAGAGTGTCACTTCCAGGCAAATAGATGGGGAAGACATGGGGGTAGTGACAGATTTTATTTTGTTGAGTTCCAAGATCACCACAGACGGTGACTTCAGCCAAGAAATTAAAAGGCACTTGCTCCTTGGGAGGAAAGCTATGGCAAATCTAGGCAGCATACTAAAAAGCAGAGACATCACCCTGCCAATAAAAGTGCATATAGTCAAGGCTATGGTTTGCCCAGTTGCAATTTATGGCTGTGAAAGTTGGATCATAAGGAAGGCTGAGCCCCAAAGAATTGAGGCCTTTGAATTGTGCTGCTGGAGGAGACTCCTGAGAGTCCCTTGGACTGCAAGGAGATCAGATCAGACAATCTTAAAGGAAATCAACCCTGACAGTTCTTTAGAAAGTCAGATACTGAAGATGAAACTCAAATACTTTGGCCACCTAATGAAGAAGATCCTGATTCTGGGAACAACTGACGGCAAAAGAAGGAGGGGACGGCAGAGGTTGAGGTGGCTAGATGGGGGCCACTGAGGAGGTGGGTGTGGGCTTGGGTGGACTCCGAGGGATGGTGGAGGGAAGGAGAACCTGGAGGAACGTTGTCCATGGGATTGTGAAGGGTCGGACACGACTTAGCGACTAAACAACAAAGTGCAAATACAAGTACAGTCTGCCTGTGTTTACACGCTGCATTAACTGTATGAGCATGTGAGCGAGTGTTCAAATAACTTAAAACATACCAAAGCCATCTCACTGGCCCAAACTCACCTCATCCAAGCCTTCCTCAGGATCCACCTGACCGCGCAATCTCATAGTTTATTACTTCCCACTCCGACCAATCTTTCCCGCCAGTCGCAAGAAAAAGTTGTCAGAACCAACCAACTCTACAGTCGCAGCTCAATTGCGTCATGAACACTTCAGACCTCCCCCCCTTTTTTCCGCCGCTGTCAACTCTAGAAGGTGAAATGAGGTGAGCCGCATGCGCACAAAAGCTTCTGCGCTTGCCGGCACCGCGGGTCGTTCTGGGGGTTGTAGTTCGTGGTTCTGAGAGGAAAGGCGGGGGGAGGAGGCATCTGCATGTTGGCGACAGAAACCAGCCCCGCTCCCCCTTCCCTGTCTCGTGTTCCGCTCCGTCGCGCGTGTGTGGGACGTGCGGATTGCGCGGCTTTCCCTGCGAAGAAAACGGACCTGGGACACCGCGGGCGGGTGAAGAGTCCGGCGGCGATAGGACCTGCCCGGCCGGGGATGCTCCTATCCGGCTCCCTGCGGGCGGCAGAGCGGGGAAGGCGAGCGCTGCGGGGGCCAGGAGGGGCAGCGGCCGTGGCTGGCAGGCTGACAAGCGAGTGGGCGAGAAGCAACTGACGGGATGGAGTAAGTAGCCTCCCGCGCTCCCCTTCTTCTTCCCGGCCTCGCATACCTATCATGGCGGCGGGAGGGGCCAGAATGGGTGAGCTCCGTGACAGGGAGGGGACGACGGGGGAGAGACCCTTGTATGTCTCGGGCTCCTTCGACGGGGAGGGTCGCTGGCGTGGCCGAGCTACCTGCCAGATACGGATGGGCGCTTCCCAGAAGTAAACATGGGGTTGCCTTGACCCCGGGGTGGGGGGAGCCCTTTCAGGCTTTGTGGCGGCGCGAAGGCCCGTATTCGAGGAGGGTGGTGATGGGTCTGTTCCAGGCCAGAAGACAGGTTTTGCCTCCCCTTACCTTTGCCTCTCCATCCGCCTCTCAAGGGATACTACCTGGTGCCTTCAACAAGAGTCTGGTATGCAAAAATTTAGCAAGCTCACATTTCCCTGATGCGGAAAGCTTACTGGGAAAAGCTTCACCTGCTGAATCTTGCATGCCAGGTTGCTGCTTAAGGCACACAGAGCAAGGCCAATTAAAAAGGATGACAATGATATAGAGATACGTTTGTTTTTACTGGCTTTGATCCTGTGGACAGCCTCCTGCTGAAATTAAGCAGCTGAGGAGCTTCCCATCATTATATCTTGAAGCCAGGCAAAGCTTCACTTGCTATATTTCAGAATGTTGGATGCTGTTCAGGAGAAGAATAACAGGGCCAGCAAGGGAGAAAAGGGCAGCCATATGTTTGTGCTGTTCTTGCTGTTTTAAGATTTGCTTTGTTATATTTAGCAGTAAAGCCTTTCTCACAACATCTGCTTATCAGGAAAAGCTATAAATCTCTATATATCTATTGTAGCATCCATGACTGAACCAATTCTATTTCTCTCCCCCTGTCCAACACTTCCACATTGACATGTGTCACAGAAAAAGATAAGACTGTTAGTGGAGATTTTTCTAGTGAAATAAATTATGCACAGAGCTGCAATTGCCGGGAAAACAGAATAGGCCCGTTGGATGTCTATGGTGTCATGCATCTTTATTATATATTTGTTGTTTTCAGTTGATTGATAAAGATGGAGAGAGGCAGAGGAGGAGGAGGAGGAAGGAGTGTGGGGGGCTCTGGCCTACACAGGAGCATTTACTCCCAGTCCCAGCAGCAGTATCATTATCCTGCCTCCTCTTCTCAGGCGGGCTGTATGGAAATCCAGGAGCTGGCCTCCAAAAGAGTGGATATCCAAAAAAAGAGGTTTTATCTGGACGTAAAGCAGAGCTCTCGAGGCCGTTTCCTGAAGATAGCAGAGGTCTGGATAGGAAGAGGCAGACAGGACAATATTAGGAAAAGCAAACTGACTCTCTCCTTGTCAGTAGCTTCTGAACTGAAGGATTGTCTGGGAGATTTCATAGAGCACTATGCCCATTTGGGCCTGAAAGGCAGCCAGAGTCATCGGAATGATCATGCTAATGGCAAGGAGCAAGATTCAAGGAGGCGACAACACCATCACCCACCATCTCCTCCAGCATCAGTTGGATCTGAAGAGCATCTTCACAGCGTCTTAAAAACTGAATACATTGAAAGAGACAATAGGAAGTATTACCTAGACCTGAAGGAGAACCAACGTGGACGTTTCTTAAGGATTAGACAGACTTTGATTAGAGGGCCTGGCATGATAGGATATTTTGGTCACAGTTTAGGGCAGGAACAGACTATTGTCCTTCCAGCACAGGGGATGATAGAATTCAGGGATGCTTTGGTCCAGCTCATTGAAGAGTATGGTGAAGGAGACATAGAAGAAAGGCGGAGTGGAGGTGATGAGCCTCCTGAACTCCCAGAGGGGACTTCCTTCAGGGTGGACAACAAGAGGTTCTACTTTGATGTGGGGTCCAACAGGTATGGTATTTTTTTGAAGGTAAGTGAAGTGAGGCCTCCATACCGTAACACCATCACTGTCCCCTACAAAGCATGGACAAGATTTGGGGAAAACTTTATCAAGTATGAAGAAGAAATGAGGAGAATTTACAACGGCCATAAAGAGAAAAGAATGGATATCAGAGGGGACAGTGGTGAAGAACAAGAGGGTCTTGATTAGAATGTGATTCAACAGACCAAGAAATAAGAGAATTGTCTAGTGGTACTGCTATGTAGTGGCTGGAAGAAGTTGCCTTTCTTTTTGTAAGTTCTTCCCTCTTGTTAGATATCTCGTATATATATATAAATATATAATACTATAAGGGTCTGGTTTTCTTGTTAAATTATGCCCAACAACATATCTGTGATTTCTTACACAAAGAATTAACCACCCAATGATTATGGTACTTAAATCTTACAAGACTATGAAATCATGTATAATGGCACTAAAACTGTTGTGACAATTTAAAGAATCTGTATAAGGTTTGTGTTGCGGTATAACATGATACACATGTCAGGTGAAATTAGTATCTCCTAATATTAACCATAGAGCGTTTATGACCAAAACAGATATTTAATTTTAAATGGTTGTATAGGAAAAGGTATCTTTAAATGAATTAACCTGCTGATTACTTTATGGCAAAAAATGGTGGTGGGGGGATGGGGATTACTGGCCAGTAATTAATTCCATGTTTACCTAATTTTATGATAACTCAGTAATTTAAATGTCGCACCAATATAAATCCATTTCTGAGTTAACAGATTGTTCCAAAATAATGTTGATCATAAATCTTTCATTCTGTATGGATGTGAGGAGAGTTTACAAAATTTCAAAAGCTATTTTTATATTTGTGGGGTTAGGGGGTTCTAGTGAGTTGCTGTGATGTAGAAACTTGATAGGTTGTTATGGTTGAGATTGAAATTTGAAATAAGGAGAATATGTATGAATGTAATGTGGAAAAGTATTAGAATAACTTTTGTTTTTCCTTTGAGGAAATGCTTTGAGAGATTTTGGTGCATCACTTAATTGATATCAAGCAGATTTCTGTGGTTTCACTGCTACAGTTGAAACATTCAGTTGCAGCTATCAGCAGTTCCTTATGAATCATGTCTTAAAAACATTTTATTATCCCAAGCCATGATCTGCACTTTTTTTCTTTTGTTCAAGCATGGACCTCTAGCCAAACCAGTAAAAACACATCTAGAGACAGAATTTCCAAACAAAATAAACATTTTGTCTTTAACACATACTCACACATCCACAAAATTACTGGAGAGTTTGTGTGGATTATTAGAGGGCTAGAAGGCTTGTCATGAACAAATTATTTTTGTTTACCTAGCAAAATCCTTTAATTCTGATAAGACTGCAATCCTATACACACATTTTGGTAGCAAGATTCTTTAATACAATGGACCCAACTTCTGAGGAGACATGCCAAGGATTGCACTGTAAATCAGAAATTAAATTAAGGCGGAAAAGTTTTGTCTTCAAACACCAAAGCATGTACTTTAGACCTTGATACTGTGTAACTGCTTCTCTCCTAAGCATCTTATTTAAATATACAGAAACATATCCCTCAAAGTTCTTTTCCATCAAAGAAACTGCAAGTTTTTGCCATCTTAAATACAAATAATAGGTTTTTTTCACATCCAGATGTTCTGACACCCTAGCAAAATTGTTTCTAGCTTTAATTCTACTCTACTTGCCATTTCCATTTCAATGCCCTATTAAATGTATTCTGTAATCTCCTGTGTGTTTGAAAAGAGGAGAGCACAGTCTGGCATTTCGTTTAGTAACAAAATTGTTGAAATACTTTTATTTATAAACAAAAGGAAAAAAGTGCTTGCACCAAAATCCCCAAAGAAACTTTAGAAATGTGTGTTACACTTGTGACAGAGAAAAAGAGAAGTATCGACTTTAATTTCACTGTTTTAGGTGATTTGCCCAATATATGAGAATTGGACCTACCGAGTATTTGGTACCCATGTCAAGCCTGAAACTAAGAATTCTTAGGGTGCCATCCAATGCATCCTTAGACGGAAAAATGCCTTACAGTCCCCAGCATTCTTCAGCCAACATTGGGAATGACTGGCCAGAGATTGCTAGCAGTTGTGGGAGGTGTTTTCCTATCTAAATGTGCATTGAATTGCAACCTAATTTGATTGTTTTAGTTACTAGTGCCCCACTGGGCCACAATAAATTATATGAAGGATCTTGGTATAAACGAGTACTAAAAGTACTTCTAAGGGGTAAATTAGTAATCTGAATGAAAGTGTACTGTTGTTGATTTGATAGTATAATTATAGTGAATTGTCTAAGCCTAAATTACCATACTGCTGATTTGCTACTGCACATCCCAAACCCTGTTGTAATGGTAAAATTGTCAGATTCCAGAATATGGAATCCATGAGTGTAGGAATTCCTGATGCTCACATTCTCTCAATTCTCATTTTGCTAAGGGCAATATCTCCCATCCCCCTCACAATATGCAACGTGTTCCATTTTTTAAATGACACCATTATCAGTCAGTATGCTTTTACTGGATTTTACCCCTGTTGTTAAAAATGTTGCACTTAAATATCCTGTTTTTTTCATACCAAGTTGGAACAGATAAAAGTATATCGACTGTCTAATTATAATTTAAAATGTATTTCCTTCCAAGTTTTTTTTAAGCAAAAGGTTGTGAAATGCTATCTTTACAACTTCAGTCAGAATGAAGATTAGTTTACACACTTCTGTGTGCAAGTTTCCACCACTGTGTATCTGGATTTCTGTACTGAGCTAAACATCTAGTACTCAGTTTTGAGTATTGCCCGCTTCTGCTCCCCTCTCCCTGTAATGTGTGTCCTTCTGCCACTAATCAAGGTTTAATCTTCTCTACACAGGCACAGGTTGCCATCTTCAAATTTAATGCACTTAAATGCATATGTGAGCATCTGAGACTGACTACACATGAGCCTTAAAGTTGTCATCTGCTAAATATAGTGGATATACTGGTATGGGCTTTTCCACTGGAAGTAATTAGTTCTGTTCATATCTTCAAATCCAAGGGTTATAAATCAGATTTACAATGCTAAGAGCTAAAATGGTAATTTGGAAAAGAGTTTCTCTTTACGTCTGGCAGTACATCCACAATTTTGGAGAATGGCAATAACATGCTAAGTGTTTGCAGAGGGATCTGTTAAAATGTAAAATATTATTTGCACCCCAAATATGCCATGTCCCTTAAACTTGAGAAAAAACACAAGCTTATTTGCACTAAAAAGCGTGGCCAAAAACAATTATAGGAGGGCAGGGTGGATAAAATCAGTTTGTACCTCTTGAATAATTTGTTCTCATGAGAGAATTTTACATTAAAGCCCTGACCTCTCTTTTAAAACTGTATGGTCCAGACAGAAAGTCTGTCAGTTTTGTGATTTCATAATAATGCACTTTATATTTTATAAATAACAGAAGCACATTTCTGCTACTTGTTTGGTACAGTGTGTTTCAATATAACAGAAATTCTGAAACAGTATTAAATGACCTTCTGCATGCACGTATGTCAGTGATATATTGCAAGGACTAGATCAAATTATGTTGGCATGATGGAGAGCTGGCACTACATTGAAATTTATTTCCAAATATCAAGAACCACCTGTGTTTCAGAAAGCTTGAGTCCAGCTCTCGCTGGATTTGTGTAATCAACTTTTTTGAAGCACAAGCAGACTTTCAAATGTTTTATTCATGCAACTAATACAGATATGGATTAAATAACTATCATATCTGTAGTTTTGCAATGTCGCCACATAATCTTTCTACCTGCACCCTAAAAATTGAATTTAGGATATAGTCCTATGCATTTTCAGGCAGAAGAAACAGTCCTACAATTTCCAGCATTCCCAGCCAGCCATCTGACTGGAAATTTCTGGGAGTTGTATCATTTTTGTCCTGTCTGAACATGCGTAGAATTGTCCTCTTAGGGGACAGGATTTTATGTGACTTACAAGATTGGTAGCAGACCAGTTGTGCTAACTGATCTCATATATTGTAGTTTTTCTTTCTTTCTTTCTTTTTTGCTAAAATACAAATATATAAAGCTATTACAATAGCATATTGATATGAGAGAGTTCCATGATTCATATAGAATTAGGAAGTACCTTATACAGCACATCACACCAATTCTATAAAACCTAGGAAATTTTAGATGAAAAATTTTCAGGAAAAGCATATTTGTTCCTACTCTCAAAAGAAGGTAATGCATCAAATCTGTCAAAGCCTGACAGATTTAAAAACTAGAACTGAAGAAAAAGATACTATTTCATATTAGCAACAACATAATGTGTGCTTTATTAGTGTTAAAACATAATTTTTCTTAATAATATGCTCTTCTAAGGGTCAGTTCACTCTGTTCTTTTCTCTTACATGTGAGGAATGTTACTTTCATAGCATCTTTAAAGCATTAGACAAATAAAAAGTTGTGCTAGCTTAATACCATATATGTTGCCACTTCTTGGGTAAGGGGGACAATTCTCTTAATATCAACTAATATAGCATATTCTATTAAAGTTCCTATAATATTTATTTAGGTAGGTTTTTGAGTGATATATTATGAGACTGTAGCCTTATGAGATGGAAATCATACCCTTTGTGTTACTGTTGTTGGACAATTAATTTGTAGCATATCATGTCCTATACTTACTTGCTACATGATCTTTCATATTCAAGATAATGGGTTCTTTCCTTAAAATGATGTAACTGGTCTCAAATAACTGCAAGCAGAATGTAAATCATAACACTGACCTATCCTCTTTGAGATGCCTGCTCAAATTCACTAAGTTAAAAGAAGCATCCATACCAACAAATCAAACATGGCTGATGGTTACTATGGTGATAGCATAACTTTTTCCAGCCACCTCTACATTTCTCCACATGCTCTTGCCCCAGAGCGATTTGAAACTGCCTGTATATTGCAGGAAAAGTACAGCGTGAACTGCTCCCAAAGGATTTAGTATAGTTGATTACAGAAATTAATGTTTACAGTGATTGTACCGCTAATGTATTCATATTATTGTATGTTAAGCAGTTTGCCATGAAATATCTATATCTCAGTCCCTCAATTAAAAAAAATCAATCTAAAAGTCAAGTTTTTATAAATACAAATATCAGATAAATATTTAGTTTGTAGAACTATTTAATCTAGTAGTTATCCCACTAGTTCAAAATAATCTTTAAAATATTATTGGATTGTGATATACAGCACAGAGAGGCAGGCCCTCTCAGTAGAGTTGAAAGGATAATGGCAGGAAATAGTAAAAAGATTTCTTAAAATGTGAAATAAAGTTTGTAAAGGATATGAGGGCGTAGGTATCTGTTATACCTATGAAAATACAACATAGGAAATCATAGCGTCTCATGTAATATTTGAATTGCAGTTCTCATACTAGCACTGATATTTATGTGAAACTTAACTCAAAAACAGACATAGAGCTGTTTGGATGGCATAATAAAAACAGGCTATGGTGGCATAAGCAAACCACTGTGGCTTGTTGTAAGTTGCAGCACATGCTAGGCATGATTTGCCTAATTGTCACCTGGCTGTGGCTTATCATGGCTTATCATGCCATCTAAATGAAGGTGGCATGGCTTGTTGGAAGTTAAAAAACTCCTTGAATAACCTGGGTTCAGATTATGCAATAAGTTGCAGCCAGACATTGATTATGCAGATTGAACCCAGTATGTGTCATGGCTCACAACAAGCTGCAGTGGCTTTTTTGATCATGCAGACTGGATCCCTGCTTAAAACTGGCCTTTTCATACATCATTCAAAATCTCCACATGGTATTTTATTGTGGTGGGGATTGGTAGGAAGGTTTGATAAAATATGCTTGTTAGTGAAATTGTCTGCATTCTTTATTTATACGTAAATGGTTTTAAGCTTCATAGGAAAGAGAACTGGCATAGTTCAGGGTACTGATCATCATTTACTAATAACATGGTTAACTGAAACTATAGCAATTTGTGCAGTGGCTGTATGTTTGTTTGTATTGTTTAGTTCCATTGTAGATCATTTGCAGTGTGGGTATAGTCCTACCATGCTGGTACAAATTGATATGTACAATTCATGTACATATTAAAGGTTTTGTATTCTATTTTCTAGATACTGTCTGATGTAACACAGTTTGCCCATTGCATAGTTTTCAAATCAGTGCAGGAGTCAGTTTTTTGAGGGACTTCAGGCAAGACACCCCCAGTGCCTCCTCCCCCAGTGAGTCTACATTCTTGCCCCCATTTTCACTACCCAACTTTTGCTTATCTTGCGCTTTCTCACTATAGTTACTACCTGTTTGCTTGATAGGCAGAAAGCCAGTGAGTGAGTAGGCAATGTTATTTGCTGCTTCCCAGTCCTCACCATCAGTATTATCTGAGGTAAAACAGGAGGCAGGCAAACAAGAAGATTGCAATGGTGAAAAGTAGGAACAACTCCAGGGGGCTGACCCCTGCTGGAATGTAGGACCTTAGTATTTGTCTAATCATACCTTCCATTGATGCTAGCCCTGTTTATTTCCTAAATACAATTCAGTATTGAATTGGATTAAAATAAGGTAATTTATTTGGTTAAAGTGGATTGAAAACAGAGGACATTGTTTTCAAACCAGCGAAGTTTAGTTCATGGAGCTAAGCCAGTGTACTGCCAGACCAGACCTACAGATTTCTACTTTCTGTGCTAGAAAAACACTCCTTCTGTTGACAGTATAGCATAATAATCAGTATTGTGCTATAGGGCCCTCTTTAAGCACATTTTTCCTCGTGCAGATAGACTTGGCTCAGCTATCATCTTTCTCATCCTCCAAACTATGGATGTGAACATCCTTCCCTAACCAGACATGCTCCAGATGTGTTGGTCATGCTCATTAGAGTTTATGGGACTTGCTGTCCAACACATGTGGAGGGCACTAGGGTGGAAAAGGATGGTTTTGATGTTTGGGAGCAAGCAGTGTTCTCATGCATTCCCTTTGCCCCTTTCATATTCAGCTGAATGAGGTTTCTGGCAAAAGGCTGGATCCTGATTTGAGGGTGTGTGCACACTGTCATGTGTTGATTTGGGTGCAACAATAAATTGCATTTGACTAAAAACTCTGAAGTTACTCATTAAACTGAGTGCTCAAAAGGAAAGTGAGAGGAGGAGCACAGTGCTTGTCCCCGTTGTCCAACGCATACTTTAGAGTCAAATGTTTAACAACTGGATTTCAGTCTTAAGACTTAAAGTATCTCAACTTTAACAGTAAAATGTACAATCCTTTCAAATAGTTCTGGATTTCCCACTGGTAAATTGTACAATAGATTCCTGTCATTAGTGCTTCATTGGTAACATTTGACAGCTTACCAACAGAAATATTTTAGTTAACTTCTGCAAGTAATTATAATCAAATCTGTATGTATTCATGTGACTGATAAGCAGGAGATTTTCAAATATCTACACGAAATGTTCAGCCCTTACAATATTATTTGAAAGACTTCAGTTTCAGTGATAGGGGCTTCTCACACAAATGGATTTTGCAGAGGTCTTGCAAGATGCAGTTCATTTTGAGAACAATCCGAAGTGTAGGTTTTTGCATTAACCCTACTTTCAGAGCTTGTCTGAGTCTTTGCAAATATTTATCTGCATTCAGAGATAGATACGTTTATTATATTTCTGATATTTTTACTTCCTATTTTTAATATGGATGCTCTTAAAAAGTATCCATGTATTTCAAGTTCAATGATAAAGCTGTCCCCAAAGCCTGGATTTCTTTCATTTTTAATATAAGCTAGAACATTTCAGATAAAAACATTATAAACACATCTTAGTGGCAATTGGTGCATACTGTATGACTTCAGTATATCTTATTTCTTTTTAGATTCTAAAAAAAGTGAAAAATTAAATTATTAAGATGTGTAAATGGCAGGTTTTCACTAACTTAAATCTGCAAAATAAATGGGAACTTCACTGTGAAACAAAAATCATAAGCTTTCCTTAGTTTTCCACTTGCCATTCCCCCTGCTTCTGAAGCTAAAAGAAAAAAAAACAGTTCAATTGAAAAGTGAATATAAGTGTCTGCTTCTGCAGTTTTGCTTCATGTGAACATCAGAGCATACAGGGCTCTGGATCAGAGTAAATATATTAGTGTTATGTACTAATGGTGTCTGTGGCAGCAGTGAAGCTTCTGGTACTGATTTGCTGAGCTGTGATGATGTTGCAGAGGCTGAGCAGCTATGCAGATTGAATTGCAGAGAGGGCCTTAGGACAAGGTATTTTTGAGGCAGGATTGCTGAGAAGAAGAAAATAGATACTGGATGATAAACTCATCTTAAGTAAAAGAGAGAATTGAATGGGAAGCATATCGAAAGAGCATATTTTACAGAAAAATGGTCTGAAGAAGCAGTGATTAGGAAGGAAAGTGTCTCCTTGAAGGCTCAAAAGAGAGAATCTCAGGAGGCCAAAAAGAATGGGATCAAGGAGAGGAAAACTGGATGAGGAAGCTCTGCATGGGGAGCCAGGAAGAAGAAAGAAGGAATTCTAGAAGCAGTGGCTCTATGAAAGGAGAAATGGAAGTGAAACACAGGAATGAAAGGAATTAGAGATTTTGTGCAGGAAGTGTCTGATGGGTAGTGACTCACTACAGTTGTGTCTTAGTGTCTCTAATGTAGATTATATATAGTTTTTGATGTGTATCTATATAAAAATATATTTGAGCCTTGGTTGTTTCCGAGTTTGTAAAGTAGTTCTACAACACATAGCTGAAATTTCATAAGAACATATTTCAGCACATGCTAACTACTAAATTCTGCAAATAGAAGATTTACATATATCCAAATGTTGGGCATACTCCTTTGCATAACAATGGCTTGTATTTCAGTCTGGAGCAACCTACCCTTGATTAGGGCACGAGTAGGGATTTCTAGTGATTCCTTATGCTTGCAGGATCCACATTTTTATTTACCAGTCTTACATTTAAAAACATAAACAGTACATTTAGCATTAAGCAGAAACTTTTCTAAGCAAGGTTATATTTTACTTTTCCCATTCCTCTAATTTTGCATATGAATCGGTTGCAGTACATGCACGCCTGTTAAAGAATGGCACTGCCCATTCAGGACTTCAAGTAAAATCTGGTTCCCATTTTTAGCTTCCTTTAAGATTTCATTAATTCATTCAAAATATGAATATGGTAAATCTATATTTTGTTAAAAAGGATCATGTTCTCTTCCATGTAGCACCCAAATAAGGCTGAATATCAACAACTGTGTTCATAAAGGGAAATCTGTAGCATTGTGACAGGCCTGCCCTAACTCTGGCTGAACTAATACTAGGAAAAAAAATCATGTTTATTCCAAAACAGCAAAGGTGATGTGCATACATGTGATTTGATTAGCATTGAACTCACCTGAGGAGAAGGAAACAAGATGTGTTACCTCCATATTTCAAGACTGTGCTATTCCTGAGGTGTGATTATAGCTGTAGAAGAGTTTGGCAATCATTTGGCTTAGAATTTGCTATACTTGGGGCGGGAGGGGCAGTGCTGCAGCAGAAATTGGTATATAAGGATGCCTTATCTTACCAGAATTATTTAGGTCTACCCTGCCTCAGACCACATGTGAGAAAAGGCTTAATTATTTTTGTTAAATAAGGAATCTGCCATTGTTCTGAGATACATATTCCCCGATAAACATCAATAAGCCTTAACGTTTTTGCAATTGAGGTAGGTGGGTAACAAACTAACAATAAAGAATGTTAAGAAACATGACAGTGTTCTACCTATTAATTAGAAGAACATACCTAAGTAGAATGTATACATGTTTGTGAGTTGCTCATTTACTAAAGCCAAATCCTATCAAGTTTACACAGGAAAAAAGGCCTACAGCTTCCAGCAGTTCCCAGACAGCTGGGAGTCGTAGCCTTTTTTTCAGTCCAAGCTGGCATAGGATTGTGCCCTAAAAGCTGGTAAAATAGATGCCCTATACCTCTCTAAAGTAGCCACAAAAAAGTAGCAAAATGTGAATGAATGTTAGCCTTTGAATATTTTCACACATCTGTTATATAATTATACCAGATCTGATAGTTTTATTCTTGTACCTTCTCTTGTGTCTTGCTTTTTCTATTTCTCCCTGGAGTGCTGGAAAAGACCATTAGTATCATTAATCTAGCACTGAGCTAAATGCAATAAAATGTTTTGACAACATGCTTGAATGCAATTAGACTTTTTTGGGGTTAAAATACCATTTGTTTTCAAACATATACTAGACTTCCCCAATGTTCTTATTGCACCTACAACCCTTCATGCTATTTTTGAGGCCCCCAACTTTCAAGACTGTTAGCTGTGTTCTGGAAATTATGTTCAGAATTCAGTAAGTGGCCTTAAGCGAGTTAGCATTTTAGTAGCCTTCCAGAGTATTCTGAAAAGAAATGTGTAGCATTAATCAGGATTAGCAACAACCAGATGTAAAAGAGAGTGGCAGTTCCCTTGAGAGGGAAGAAGAAGGAAGCAGTGTTAATTTTTCAACCCAGTCCTTTAATCCTAGATAGTAAGTTTTATCTATATACATATAGACATAATTTATATCCCACCTCTCCACCAAAAGTTTGCATTTATAGTGGCAACAGGTTTGTACAACAGATAAAACAGAAATATGCTTGTTCTTGATGTGCATTTTGTTTTGTTTAATCAAGCATTTTTTTATAAAGTGTCAATCTTGTAATACAAATTAGCATTGGCTCATTATTTTTTCTTTTGGATCACTGTTTTTGATCACCTTCCTGTAGGAAAAGCTCTAGATAATGACAAGTATTTCCCTTCTGGATTTGTCTGACTTCTAAATAGTTAATTTTCAAAACTGATTTTTGTTAGTTTTTAACATTCTACTTCTGGACGTGCATATTATTTCCTCAGTAGATGGTAGATCAAAACAATTCCTAATATCAGGTAGTATTTGATTAAGATTCTTGGATGTAATTACAAAGAAATGGCATAAAATGGTCCTCTTCCTCTCCATGCATTCCCACTCCCAAAATTCATAGCATGTCTGGACTGATGAACAAGAGAAGCAATAATTTTACTACTATAAATTGTTTTTAGACCTAACTTAATAATATACAATTCCAGAGGACTGCTACAGCAAAAAACAACAAAGAGGCCTTAGGATTTTTTTAATTCCCTGTTCCATGGTTAGAGAGTGTGCTCTCACCTAGGACCTAGAGATCAGAGCTCTGGCCCCCTGGTGCTCACAGATGGTACAGAAAGAACCATACTGCTGCTTGCCAACATCAGGAAAGGGGTAGAAGGGGGCATTTGCAGGGGGATGGGAAAAGGAGGAGTCTAGGGAGGCAAAAATATGTTGTATCCTGGGCCTCCTTCCCACCCCCACTAGATGGGAGATTGCCCAGCCAAAATATAAAGCAAGAGGAGCAGGGAAGTGAATATTGCACTGGAAAGTTTGGAGGGTTATGTCCATCTCCATCAGCTTGTGCCCTTATTGTAGCACAGCTTTCATGGGAGAACCTGCTGCATCAGTTGGATGAAGTGAACATCTGAATGGTTAGATTTATATATCCTGAGTATGGAGTCTCACAAACTGAAGCCAACTGGTCAACCAAAGCAAGAGAAAGCAGTAGGCATATGACACTATTGTGAAATCACAAATGAATCTAGAAATGAGTTGATAATCCCAAGTTCCAATGAGCATCTCTGCCACTGCTGTCTAGTGGCTGCTGGTGATAGAAGGGCACAGCGTAATCAGTAATATAAACTAGCACTTAAAGAAAGGCAGTTACTTTCTGTAGTTAGCTACACATTCCAAGAAATTTTTGAGACCAAGTTCTACAATGTCAAATTTGCTGACTTGATGGCTTAATGCTAAAGTAGAACATTTTTCTTAGAGTATTGGAAGTATGATTCATTATAGCATGTTTTAGGCAAAGCTGAGTGATAGTATTTTAATGTCAAACCTGTATCCATTTCTTCTTTTGTGCTGAGATTGACTTCTGTTTGATTTATTTAAAGATCTGAGATCTGCCAATCTCCTAATGTGATATATGCCATCATTTGTCAAAAGCATTATTGGCAATTTATGAAACATGTCATATTAGAAGTTGTTCAGAGGAACGAACAATTGATGGCATTTGGTTTGGTTATAATGTCAACTGAGTAGATACAGGGACAGAGTTAGGATCAGACTGGTTTGTAGGGACTCTTTTTTGGTTTTGGGCATCTGTTAAATTACCAATGGCTAGCTACTTCAAACTAAGTGGCTCAAAACACCTAGATACATTATGAACAATCAGGAAATGCAATATTTAAGTACACTAGGTAAAGCAAAAATCACTTACTCACCTCACTTTTCCTACTCCTAGCAGCATTCATATTACCTTACTGTAGTGTTTATGCTGTATTTTCACTCTGTGTGAGGTAATTGTAGGTCAGTGCATGGACAATTCAGAATAATTTATTTGGCATCCAGGCATTAGAGGAAATATTGCTCATACAACAGAGCTTTAGCACTGCTAGAAAAAATGAAATAAGAGGATACACCTGTTTTGAAATGGGGAAGCTCAACAGAATTTACATAAGGAAAATCTGATCTATCTATTTGATCTCCCAATCCAAAAAAAGCATTTCCACTCATATCTAAAGTTATTTTTCCAGCATGAAAGACCCATTTTGTAAATGGCTGTTCCAGTGAATGCAACGGAACTACCAAAAGTGGAGTATACCTGCTTGATACCACCCTGTAAAAGGCCACCTTGTTCTTCCAAAGTAATAGCAGCTTTTAATAATGCTTTACACCAGTTGGCCCAGAACAAAAATTAAACCAATTGGGCTATCATTTCCTGGATATCCTCAATATCATCATCACCACCCTTTAAAAAAATATTATACTTCCAACCCCCATGTCCATAGGCAAGCAGTAGGGTCAAGTTGCATAGTTTTATGCCGAGATAAGGAATTTTGCATTTGAGTTCTTAAAGAATTTTGGTTGGATGCTATCCAGATCCAGCGACTTTTCGGTTTTTAATTATATAGAATCCAGAAGCCTTGCATGAAGCCATCTCAGTGGCAGTAGGGTACTTCTTCGGTAGGAACTAGTGTGCCACAAGCTTCAGTTCAAGTGCAAATGAATTTTAAGGAGTACAGCCCTGTCTTAACTGACAGCCAGAGCAAATTGCTGGGCCTCGCCATCTTTCTTATGGGCAAGGGCCTTAGGAGACTTTGGTTGACCTTTAGGATGAATTTAGGATTCTTGCCAAGAGTATGGCATTCCTGGCTGTGGCTCCATGCAGGTATTATAGACTTGTACCTGGAAGCATTTCCTGTTGTTATATTCCCAACATTCCCATATGTTGAATATGGGAATATATTCCCAACATACTCTGGAGTATATTCCTAACATACTCTGAGAAAGTAATTCTGCCTTGGTTGGCTTAGCATATTTTCATTAAAATTACTGTTGGTCTTGGACTGAGGTGACTGTGCCACAAGCTCTGATTGATAGTCCAAAGCTCCAATAATTCACTATATTCCAGTTCTGCTATTGTCCCACTCTCCTACAGCATTTTGGGATATTTAAAATACACTGTAGGTAATAAACTACCAGGCCCTGTCTAGCCTTCTGTCCATATGAAAAAGGAACCACCATTACAGTCTTCAGTTGCTCTCCACACAGTCTTTTCCTCCCTCCTCAATGTCCTTATTACCTACTGTTCTGACCTCCTCAACACCAGGGAATGACATCTTCATACTTCCCTTTTTAGGTTTTTCTGGGAAACCTGAAGGAATCATCATCGGTGTCAACATACCCTCTAGCATGGGCCTGAGGTACATGCCAGACACATTAAAAAGAATCAATAATAGCTGTCGAAAGACACTGAATAAGCACACACACAAGTTCCCAACATTTTATGCTTAACTGAACTACAGCAAAAAATGTGTCTCAATAAGTTTTATTCAATATCATTAAAACTCTTCCCTTAATTTCTTCAAAACACACTGAAAATTATATTCAGCGGTATGTGTGTCAGACACATTCTTCCTCCTCTTAAGATTCTAATTAAGCCTACCAAAACATCCCAAACTACTCAATAATTCCTTACAGGGGACATTTCCTCACAGGAAAAACTCAACTGATCTTTCCCTGCCTCCCTTCTGTACTCTGTGCCTCTGCCTGACACATCACCTTTTATTGTAGTCCTTTTGTTTCTTATCTCTGGAGGCCTTCTTCAGGCCCAGCTGTCCCCAGTTGTTTCTGCCAGGATTTTTGGAAAGATTGGGGCTGCACTGCAAGCAACTCAGCCTTTGCCACATTCAGCATTGCGTTTGTGCCTGTCTCATGAATCATGGGTCTGTAATGTGCTTGCATAGACGTCAGTAATGTGCATCTCTGTCACAGCCAATTTCCTTGAATTTGGATGGAGAAGGCAACGACTTGCTACCCTTCTTAGAAAGGGCAATATTCTGTGCAAACAGCAAGTTCTAAAGATTGAACAGGGTAGTCCAAAAGGTAACCAACTACCTATGCTAATAAATTGTTCCGTATCACTTGTACAGTTATTAATGGCTCAGAACAAGAGGCAATCAATTCTTCAGAACTAACTCGCCCCTCAGAACTGGTTGCCCAGATCATACTGCTCAGAACTAATTGTTGCCCAGAAAACCAATGCCTGAAACAAATGTGCAGTGATCATGTGTCACTTACTCACAATTGGAAGTTCTTCTCACACGACAGGAAAAAAGTAATGATATGAGATTGGGCAGAGAATTTGTGCAGGTACTGGCAGCTACATTCCTGTCTGAACACCACTTAAATTGGGTAGTAGTGATAGAAGCTGCATTTTTCCTTAAACAGAGGAGTGTTCAGTGACCAAATTCCTTTTGCCAAACTATATTATAGCTAGTGAGGTGAGAATCAGACTAGCTCTGACCTCGTAAAAAATAAAGTGTCCGAAATATGACTCAACTTAGTTCATTCCGAAATGATGTTAAGGGAGAATTGCATAAGATGGCCGCAATGCAAGCTGATGCAGAAAATACTGCTTGTCTACTGGGAGACTACCTTCAGTGATCATTCTCATGATGATTGCATTCACATTAGACATTTTTCTGTCCAACTTGGCTTCCAATGTAGCTGCTACATCAGCTTCTTTCTCACTATCATGTCTGTTCCTTGAAGCCACTGATCTCACCACATCCTTACTAAAGTTCTTAAATACCCATCCAAGGCCAAACTAATCCCAAACTAACACCTGTCTCTCTTACAAGCTGCTGTATTATTTACTACCCTTGCACTTTACCTGCTTCCTTCAAGTTTTTCTGTTTATACAAGTGTTAGAGACTACTTCACATCCCAAATGAAAAAGGGGAACTGTTTGGGTAGTGACATTTGCAGATAATTTTTAATTTTCAAAGAAAACAGAACAACTACAACAACAATAAACAAAGTTTACACTGCCTACTTCTTTGAAGTAGCAAAACCACAGTGTGGTTGGTTCAATGGAATACCATGTTCTATTTTGAAGAGTTCTAGTAGTGAACCAGTGGTGCATCTCTAGGCTACATCACTTAGACATGGTTCCTCTTTAGTTGGTTATTTAAATGTCTTTATTTATATAAGTTTATTTACATAATTTAAATAAAGAAATTATTTAATTTCTTTATACTTGATACTCAGTGGTATAATGTGTGAAATGACTCCATTTAAAAGGTTGTTGTAAAGAGTTGTCGTCTACGTAGTTGTATTCAGTGCAAGTTGTCATTTCATGAGGCAAAATATGTCTTTTACACCTCAGTAGAGGTGTAAATTACTACACTGACACATAGATAGCATTTCAGACTCTATAGTCCAGCAAAAGGAAGCTTATTGTAAAGACAGTTGCTTTGATATACCAGCTAGTATGGAATGCCACTGCTAAAATTACTACTTTGCAGCAGCATAGTTTGGCAAGCCTTGTAAATGAAGCTTTCTGGACTCATACTTGGTGTAAATCCCAGGCCAAGGTAGGCACTCTGGCATATATGGCGACCGTTATTAATTTTTTGTTAAACAGAATTGTTCAATTAAAATTCTTAAGTTTCTGCAAAGTTTTAGAATGCAGAGTAAAGTATTCTTATGGTTCTCCAAACACTTTTGGAACTTGTTCTTTAAGGTTACAGTTGTCCTTTTTTATAAGTATTTACAAGTCTACTCCTTTTCTCATTCTTAATTGTTTTTTTGGAATGTTCAGGGTAGAGGGTGATTTGAAGATTTTGCATACTACACAAATTATCTACTCTTAAGGTCTCTGACATAATACTTGAGTAACTGACATAATCTATCACAGAAACAATAAAACTAGCACCCCAGGCAGTGCTAGAATGATTATCACTTGAGCCACTAGGACAGATCCGGTATGGCCATTCTAGGAAACAATATCCTCAGATCCACTCAGCATGCCCTCAGAGTAGCAAGACAGCTGTTTTTATTAATTTCATTTTTACAGTTTGTACTTCCATAGCACCTCTTCATTTTCTTCTGAAAATGGGGTGCAGTTTTCAGCCTTCCTTCCAAGATATGTAAAAATATGGATATAGTGTTTCTGGATAATGGCATGAAATATTTTGAAATATTTCACTGCTTTTTATTTTAATGTATTTAATATTTGTAGTTTTTCTATACAACTTTCCCACAAACATTACCAAGGCAGTATACAACAAATCGGATAAAACAAAAATAATTGGTAAGACTTGGTTTCTTGAGATTTTCATATACCTTCATGTTGTTTCATACATTGCCAGTTTGATTTTTCATGCTTGTTATTCCCTGAAGGGCAGGGAATATTAAGAAAATGCCTGTAAACATGAAATCATAGTTTGCTTAATTTTTTATTTGAATCAAAATTAAAGATGAAGTTTAGTAATAGTGCATTAGTAACCTATTTCACTGTCACTTTATTGCTCTAGTCATTGCAAGGTAAACACATGTAATAGTCAAATAAATACTTTGAAAGCATAGCTGTGAGCCTGTTCTTAAAAAGCATAGTCCCAAAATGACTCTCCTGCAAACCCCATGTTAAGACATTGTTAGAGCCAGCCAATTTCGCAGTTCTTTAGGGAACCTTCAGTTAGCCTGCTGACTTCATGGCGATAGAAGCTCTGGAAAGACTTGCTTTAGAAGACTGGTACTTTTGTTTTCCAAATTGTCTTCTAGTGATGTCCACTGACTTGTACTATATTGTAAAACTATATACAATGTAAGTTGTTTGTACATAATTGCAGTCTGGACACTAGCACTGAATATTTCTTTACACCATGGAAAATTGTAATATGGAGCACATTTGTGCAGTCCCTGTGTTCCTGGCTCTTACTTTTACTCTCTTAAGTACCACAACAGTCTAATTTGGTTTGGGGATACTAACCTAAACCATGGTTTGGTTTGGGATACTAACCTAAACCATGATCAAAGCTAGCACTTTAAGTACTTGTAGTCACTTTTCTTCTTACTATACGGAGCACTGCACTTTTATAAATACTAGCACTGAGTTTTAAACCTATTGTTTCCCCCTGCCCCATTTTTGTGTAGTCTTTACAGGGTGTATGTTTAAAATAGGTAGTGGCTGTATGAGGATAGTTTTTCATGAATGTGGCCACTGCCTGGTGCCTAATTATTACTTAGCTATATGTTTAGGAATTTTATAAATGGATGAAAAGAGGGAGGGAGGGGATGGATCTAAATTATCTTTTGTAACTTTAAAAATTTTCCTAAAGTGCTGACATCTAGACAAATCTGTCTTTAGAAAAGCCCCACCCATGTGCACATGCTCACCCACATGCAAATAGGCTTTCAGGAACACCAAAGAAACCAGAAAAAAAGTTTGAAACAGAGAAGAACAGCTCAAAAGCATATATTTCAAACTCTGAACTATATTAACAGCAGAGTGTGAAGTTACTAATATGGTTTCACATGTAGAGTTCTGTACATGTAATATCTGGTCATGGGAATGTTCACCATGGTTCTTATCACAAGTAGGCAAGAAAGTAGAGAGACAGAAAGATACCCACGTATTGTACTCAGAGTTACAGCCCAGCATGGGCGTCTGCATTAGTACATACGCTGCATTAGCCATTGCAATAAGATAACATCCTCTTGTCTGTAAACTAGTTTTACTCATTGTAGTTTCAAGTTTAATTTTATTAAAGCAGGGAGAGGCAAAATGCATTTGAAAGGATAGATATAGCAATCACCAGGTTTATTGCTGCTATGTGGAGTACTTTGGCTTATGGAAACTTCACGGATGCAGGGAGGAAGTTGCTAGCATGATTCCCATCATGAAATGTCTATGGCTATCAGTATAAAAAGCTGACTCTCTGTTGGACTATAAAAGACACTGACCCAAAAGATGTTTTGTCTATCTTACATCCTTGCCATCAACCATAAAATGTACTGGCTCTGTGTTATCTGGAAACCTTAAATGTGGTGTTTACTTTGTGCTGCTAAATCTTGTTAAAGACATTACATAGGAAAAGGAAATCATTTTCAAAATGCAGCATATTAAAAAGTAAAGCAATTTGCCTCTGAATACAACTCATATCTAGATGTCACTTTATAAATGCTAATGAGATTATTTGTAAAGATCCAACATATTAATATTCTTTTAAGTACCCCTGCATCCTCATCCAGCTAGCATAATGCATATATAGAAGCTGGCTTCTGTTTATGCATTCTTTCCTGGATTGAGAACTACACACACAAATAGGTGTTACCTGTTCCATTCATGGCAAAGTCCAACTTTTGAAAGTGCCATATATAGTTTTGTCACTGCATCAAGAATCGTGAGTGCAGCCCTGATGTTGGTACAGAACCAAGTGGTGGTGGTGGTACAGAACCAAGGACTTGTTCTAGGATAATGGGGCCAAACAGAGAGCTTCTTGATTGGAGACTTAATGTTAAAATGTTTAAACAGGAACTGTAATGTGCACTCGGTCTAAATAAGTTAAGTTTTGGTCATCCCATTTTATAGCAGATACAATCTTGAACAAACTTTTAGGAATTTTCATGTTGACTCTAATAAATGAATTCTACTGGAACAATAATTAGATATAAGTTTTTCCAGATTCTGAGCATTCTATACACGAATGTTATTGACTACCTGAGAAAAGAACTAACCTATGGAGCCAATCCTAATCATATTTAGCCAGGGGAAAAAATTCTACAGCTCCCAGCATGGTTCAGGTAGCTATGTTAGTTGAGGAAAGATGGGAGCTTTAGAACCTTTTTTCCATCTGAACTTGACTAAGATTGTGCTCAACATAGATGAACCATAGTAATGAGTATATTTAGTCCCTTTGCAAATTCTGGTAGCAAACAGTACATACAAGCACATGCATGCACACATTTGCACACATATTTATGTATACACAAATATGAATAGCAGCTTCTGGAGTCAGTGTAAAATCTACTAGAAGTCTAATAATTTCCTCTCCTCCAAGATCATATACAATACAATATGATTCACAAATAGCCTAAGGTGATGAATTAAATTTAAGGGCAGAATCCAAAGGACTGTGCATGGTATCCCTGCCCTCTGTCCTGCCTTTGTGCTGCAGTTTCCGTAAAAAGCTGCTCCTCAGAAAAGTATATGTATAGGCCTCTCAGTATCCCATTCAAGCAGTTTTATCCAGGCAGTTTGCTAACCCAGTTTTGTGGACCATGTCTGTAGTAAGCTGCAGGTTGTATTTCATTTTAGAGGTTTAATGGGAAGTAAAATTTTAAAAAATAGTGGTCTCCTTCAACTAGACATCTTTTCCCCAATTTACTCTTTTTTTAAAATCTGCAGATAATTTTCATGTAAAATATTTCTAAGGAATACTATGCTGCTTCTAAAAAAGTTCAGAAAGCAATTGTAATGGCACACAGGCAGTGTTTAACAATAGTTAATGGTGTTTTTTCTCTTTTCTTAACAGCATGTATAATTTTAATTATCATTTTTAGTATTCTTCCATAAATGTGTAACTGTATTTTCACAACTGCACCTATAAATCAGAGTATGGCATTACAACAGTCAAGTTAATAAAAAAAATCATGTGCATAGCAGGTAGCGGTTTATCCTGTGTGTGTATTCTTCCCCAATGGTACTATTTTTCAGTAGGATATTCTTAAACAAAAGGTGTGTTAGTTATGGCATGAAAAATCGTAAATGTAAATGAGTACATGTAATGCTAATTAAAGGAATTTTCTTAAACTTATGTGATGCTTAATATTTTTCTTAGAAAGTTTTGTTCTAAAGGTAGATCACTGTTCTGAAGGATGTTGGTCCTATGGAATAAAAATAATGGAAATAAAATGCATGTGTTTCAATTGTAGACATGGTAAAGAATTAAATGTGAACTTACTGTACAATACTGACTCTGTTTTCAAACAATCTGTTTTGCTGTTCTGTCGTTAACATATTTAAAAAAGCAAATGTACTGTAATTTAGCACTTTTTTTCATATGTGCCCTGTTTTCTCACTATACTAGAGATACAAAATGGCATAGGTATGAAACATGTAATCATGCCTGCATGAATACTTTAGGGTTTGTGCTTCCCTTGATGTGCAAGACTGGTCTCTGTAGAGATCATCTTAAATGCAGAACCCTATCTATCTGTTGGCTTATTCCAGTACCTTACAGAATATCAGAATTATACTTAAAGCAAATTAAAATTCAGGATCTTTTTACATGATCTCCTTTTCTAAAAGATAAGTAATAAATACTTCAAGAGCAAAACTTGCAAGAAAGGTCTATCCTAAGGCATAGGTCATTTCATTTGAGTTATTAAAGTCTATCCCAATGGTAAGTTCACATATGTGTACAACACAGTCAAATGTATGGGCTTTATATATGTGTTCTCTGCACACATGGCATTAAACAGGTACATACATGAAAACAAACTTTCAGTACCAAGCACAGAGGGATCACACCTACAAATGGTATCCTAGTTGCTTTACCAGGTGTGCTCACTCTGCTTGTGTGCCTGAAGACAAGGGAGGACACCATTCCTACAACGCTTCAGCTTGAGTGCTAAAAGCCCATGAGAATCTACCTGGAGACCTTGCAACATACGTGACACATAAATTAGCACAATTCCATTATGAACATCACCAAACAATGGATGAAGCACTCCTTGCAGTCATGATGCTGAGGCTAGTAACTCTTCTTGTGCTAGGATAAGAATTGGACGCGAGATCCTGTTCATGTGTGTTAATCACAAAAATGGAATAGCAAGCACATGCAAATATACAGTGGCTACTAGCCATGGTGGCTGCATGTTACTTCCAGTATCAGGGTCAAGTGTTTCTCATTACCAGCTGCAGGGGAACACTGGCAGAATGTTGCCATTGCAGTGAAGTCTTCCTTGTCCGAGGCATCTGGTTGGTACTGTGGGAGCAATGCTGGAGTAAGATAGGCCTTTAGTCTGGACAAGTAGGATTGCTCTATGTTCTCATATTATGTTCTCATATTAAAGACCAGAGATAGTTGATCAAATAGAATTGCATTTGGAAGCAAAGGACTAAGTAGAGGTTACTAATGAAAAAATGGCAACTCGGAGAGGAAGAAATGCAAATCACCAGTTGTGTGGATTTGGGCTGTGTGCTAATATGTATGAACCTTAAAGAGGATTCATCCAAATGAAAGATGTTTGAACACTTGCATAAAAATGTGGGGAATTTTTTTTAACCTGGACAAATTCTCTCACTTGTGCCTGCCTTCTGCCTTCTGATTTAGAAGGCAATACTATGTGCTTTCTCTGACTATGTGGATGAGCTCTCAGCCAGTATAATGACACACAGCTTGATTAAGTAAATGGCTTTCACTGAAGGAATAATTATGTTTTGGGAGGATATCAAGTGATTTGAAAGTTTTGATTATCTAAGTAATTTCAATATAATCTGACTGTCACTTGAGGGAATGAGCCAAAAATTCACAGTTAATTCATTTTTGGCATTAAAGTTTGCCTTTTAACTAGGCTGGGGTTGTAAAGATAGCTGGATTTCTGAAAGAGTTCTCCGAAAATGAAGATGGGATGGGAGTCAGGAGAACATGATTTACCTTTAGAGGAGTAGGTATGTGCTGTACATTATCAAGCTTGTAGACAACATTATTTAGCATCTGAGAATCAGAAAAGTAGAATATCACAACAGAATATATAAGGATTTTATGGGACTGTCTTTAGAGGAAAATGACAAAAATACATAAGAGCCATTCTTGCTTCAAATCTTGTATAAAACTACTGCTTGACAAGAGAGATTTGGTTTCCAAGATCCATGAACATGAGCATTCTAGGTGATGGTAGGGTTTTAAGCAGTATAAATACAAGTAATGGAAACAGGATAAGAATATCAAAGCAGTGAGATGAAAAGTGCCATAATAGATGGCACAGAGAAGTCACATGACATGGTTAAATAAGATAGTAACAGATTAGAAAAAAGATGTTAAATTGACTTGTGTATTTCTAGAATGGAAGTGGGTAGACACTGAGGAAGCTTCCATGGGAACAATAGATGAGGCATAAATGAAGAAGATTGGAGCTATGATGGAGAAATGGGTGGAAACATCATGGGTTGGATACAAACTTTTATCTTTCATAAATCAAGAGATTCCTTCTGTCCTTGGAAGGCATTTGAGTCAATAGAGATGATCATGCTGATGAAAGGTAAAGATAGGCAACTTCTGCCAATTACCACCTCTCAAATTGTTTGGAGGGGGGCAACTCTCTAAATCAGAGGTGTAAATCAGAGGTGTAAAATCTCAAGGCCACAAACCAAAACGTGGTCCCACTGCCCCCACACACCAGAATTCTTCAGATGGTCATATCTCTGTTCCCCTGACTGTTTGGTGGTTTCATGAGTTTTGCACTAACCTCCCACACCATTCTGAAAATTTCTCTTGCATCTTCTAAGGCTTCATTACTGCACCTAAGAACATTAAGCTAAAATAAGCTGACATTCTGGCCCCACTCACTTTGCAAATCAACCCTGTCCACTGCTGGAATTTGCCTGCCCCAGAGCTTCTCTGAAATGCAATTCAACCCTTGGGCTTAAAGAATTTCAATATCACTCTCTAAAGCATATTTTCAAAGGTCACAAAAGGCTACAAAGGAGAGTGGCAAAATGTGATATATGTGTGCATTAACGTGCCCACACTGAGCAAGGGCAAAATGCAGATTCAAGCCTATGTATCTCCATGTGGTCCCTCTTAAATCCCAGCAGTATGCATTTGCATCAATTTAAAGCTGCTGTTTGCAAGAAAAAATTATCAAAAAGGAATAGTTTGGATTTCCAGTTAGCTGGTGAGGTTAAAGACTTGTATCCTAGGATATCAGACTAAAAACCTACCAAATGGTAAATTATCCTATAGTCCATTCCAAGTGTATTCACAGACTGATTAATGCTTCCAGGTGTCTCTTCCATGTTCCACAACATTTCTGCAGCTTCAACATACAATAAGGGTAAAAAACAAAACAAAATATTGAGTTAGTATAACTGGGTATCTAGAGTTCTGTATTTAAACCCTTTAATAGTTTGTCTCAATTTAACTATATCTTTTAAAGCGCTTTCAATGTTTTTCTGTGATTCCAACTGTCCACACAATATTTGGAATATTTTGTGCTAGGGCCATGTAAATATCAGACCCTGAATTTCAAAGAGGGATGGAATAAGCCAACCCAGAAAGTCCCTGTGTTATCCTCAAGATGCTTCTAAAATCTACAGCATACTCTAGTATTAACAGGGTGTTCAGATGTGACCTGTCCTGTACTGTACGCAGAAGTTCATTGATCAGTGACTGTATTGTACTGTATGAATAATCATAAATTGCCTTGTATTGTTTATAATAAGACTGTACCACACAGATTTCCACGTTCCAAGTTTGTCAGTAATGCATGTTGACAGTTAGGTCCTAAAACTATGTGGTGCTATTCTTCCATATCCAATGGTGCTTTTGTGGATGCTAACTGCTGACATGCTGGGGAGAGCGGGAAAGCTTGAGGTTGAAAAGTGTCTCATCTGCTCATACAAGTAAAAAAAAACCAAAACCATTATTTAAAGTTGAATCGTTTCACGGTACCATTGACAATCCTGTGTTTTATATGTGTGTACTTTTTATTGCGTTTTTCAGCTGATTCTTCAAAAAGCAGCTCTCTCACTTCTGCTGTGAAGGGATAATATTTCACTCAAACAACAAAGTCTTCATGTTGACTTATTAGTCATTATTTGTCCCTGAATTTCTATTTGAATCTAGAGGGTATTGGATCTGTTTATGCATTTTTTGGAAGTCCCAATATTTGTGTCCTTGATTCACACAGTCATAGCCAGGAAGAGACCTGAAGGCAATCACTGAAACACCTTTGCTAAAGCAGGATTTTGTATTTGCTAGTATTCCTAACTGTTATTGTTTTGTTTATAATGACCTAGAGGGCTGTTTCACACATTGCAGATTGAAATATGGCTTTGCCACCAATATACCATCAGTCAATCATGGCTTCCCAACTAGTATACTGTTATAATATGTATGTTTGTTGCATTCATGCTTAATAATTTTAGGTGTGCATCTTAAGGCACGTAAGTGTATATCTGTAAAGGTGCCAGGTGAAGTGATCTGCACTAGAAACGGAATATGTTTCAATGTGAACCATGCCAGTGTTCTTTGTAGGCCAAACTTGAGGAATATAGATTGATGTGTCTTCAGCATGGTCTGTTTGAGGCAAAACTGAACAAAATTAATTTTAAAAGCATTTGGATTGACTTCAAACTCAGTATGTTAATGCTGGTTGCATCTGTGTTTGATTAAAAAAAACCTGCACAAATCTATACATGCTACAGTCCTGTTTACACTGATGTCCATATGCCATTGGAGAAAGGAAAGCTAATTCTATGTTTGTCCCAGTATCTGAGTTCAGTCAAGGATAGGAAGAGCTAGATAACATGATTTGACATCATGATTAATAATCACTAGAGGACCTACAATCACTTGGAGTCTGGCAAATCAAAATATTGTAGTTCTGTTTCTTATATAGATCTCATCTGTATTTTGAGGGGACTGGAATATTCTTTGTTTATCAACCATGTGCTTACTTGAAATAATTGCTTGTTTATTTTTAGAATCACTCTGTTTTCTCCCAGAGGCTTTAAGCAGATTGCAATGCTTTAAAATCCAAACTTGGAACATTGTTAAAGGTTTGTAAAATATTACAGTAAAACACACCCCTAATTCTAGCTATAAATATCTCAGAACTGGAATGTCAATTGACAGAACTGGCTGGCGTATGAATGGCTCTGTTTCCAAATGTGGTGGAAATGGGGGAGGCCGCTCAAAGCTTTGTGAATGAAGAAGCAAGGAAGAAGCAAAGGAGTGAAGATCCGTGTCCCTGGAAAAAGAGGAACATAATGCTGCCCTCCTTCAAATTTAGTGCTATCAAAACAACTCCTGACATTGTTAAATAACTTTAGAATGACATTTGTGCTGTCTGTCTTAGAGCTATTCCATATAAGAGACGAGCTGAGGTGAAAAAAAACCCTGTACCATTTCAGACTTGAGAAGACAACGGGGATATATCATGTATTAATGCTACCTCATGTAGAAAGTTCCCTAAATACGGTAACTTAACACACCTGGGAGAGCAATATATTAAACCTTTCATTGTGTACTTACTTATTGTATGATGAAAATTGCTTTTCTTTTTTGACTTTACAAGAGAGAGCATTCAAAAATACACTTCTGCTTGCATTCTTAAATAGCATTGTCCAAATCTCTACCATTTCATTTTGTCTCATGTGTAGAAAAGCATGTTCTTTATTCTATGAAAAGTGATGTCCAGTTCTACATGCCTCTTCACAAGGTGCTGTAGTCAAAGAAATGAAATAATGAATGACAAGTATACAACAATAGGCTGTAAACATGTGAAGCTAACCAGATCTCAGCACTTTAAAAACAGTTTGTTTCCTCTTGTGCTGTGCACACTTCCTAAAGATGCAAACATCTTTGTCCAACTAGATTTCCTAAATTTTCATTTTTTCTGGGATTATTTTTTAAATAATGAGCTGCTTTTTGGAGTAAGACATAAATATATATTTGTCAGTTTTACAAGTCTATTTACCCCATTATCAACTGAATTTACATATTGTTGTTTGCCACTGTTTGTTCTGTCTTACAATAAATTGCTTACTTGTCTAGTCTTAAGCATATATTCTTTTTAGCTTAATTTTGAATGGACACATTTCACTGCCATTTGTAAAAGTACGCAATAACCTTTCTCTGCTGATGATTTTTTGTTTAGTTCACGTACTTACCCATGCATATTTTTCTTATCTCTGAGTAGAAAGAATTTCTTGTGAAGATCACACAGCTTAAATATTTTCTTCTTTGCCATCATTTTTATCTCTAACAAGTTTATTATTCTGAGGAACAGACACAACAATTGGGTTTGCTTGGGTTCTAGCAGACAAAACACCACCACTCAGGAACTAAGATAAAGGCATTCTAAGGAAAGCTGTAATTTAGGGTGGCCGGGTGCAAGAGAGAACATGGCATGACACTTGCATCTTCAGTGGTTGTGCAGCTGCAGTTCCCTCTTCCGCACAACTATTTGAGATTATGGTGTCCCTCTTCTTTTGCCTCAGGCTAACCTACTTGAGTCAATGCTTAGAATAGTATTCCCTGCATTAAAAAGTACAGAATTGTAACAAAGGATACCAAAAGTACAGCAGTGCCAGTAATTAAATGTAGGGATGGATCCTGATTCACACTCTCATAAAAATCAGCAAAGCAGAACTGAAGATGGAAGTACCATGTGATGGTTTGGTCCTAGGTTTACTAGTAACACATGGAAAGAGGGTCTACTTTTACTAAGAAAAAGATGGTTCCTCAAAACATTACAGCAGCTTCCAGGGATGGGTGAGTGGCAATGATGTTGAGTCACTGTGTGCTGGTATAAGCTGAATAACATATTTCAGGGTGCAGTCCTGTGCATGATTAGATAAAAACGGTGCAGTCCTAGAACTCCTGGCATTCCTCAGCCAGCACACGTCAGAGTTCTAGCACTTATTTCTGGCTAAACATACATGAGATTGGCATAAGTGAAAGCTCTGCTAACCCACAATTGTTCCCCAGGCTATTTTCCTCCAAGCTGGGCTTATTTTTAGCCTAAAAGACTGGATAAGAAACAAGTGATGGCAATGAGGAAGTTGTTGAGATAGGGGAAAGAAGAGAGTGGGTCTGGGAAGGGGTCTTCATCTTCCTCTGCCTGCCCCTTTTTGAATTAATATAATATTGTCATATTACAACAACTCTAACTGTCATATTGTCTGAGATGTGGCACCACCATGTGTAGTCCAACCCTTAGAAATTATCTTTCAGCTCACTGCACCAACTAGAGGTTATCTGTGAGGGACATTTTTGTGTAGTGTCCCACCACCACCACTGTGCTGTTTTGATGGTGAGTGTTGTACAATGGTATGTCAGTGCGTGCATATACATGCTTGCACACACCCAGGTATGCATGCATGCACATACAGATTCCTCGATCTTATAAGTCTGTATCTACATATAGTACATAGCTTGCTTGATAAAAAATATATAATACCATTCAATAATGGCTTGGTAGGGCATGGATTGTATTCATGGATTGTATTGCAGGAGATTTCTTCTGGTCCAGAAGAGACCTTTCAACACAGTGACTATTAGGACCAGAAGTAATATGTCGCCACAGTGCAGCCCAGCAACATTTGGAATCCATCCCAAGAAAGAAGCAGCAAAAATTTTGTGGCAGGGATGAATTAAATTCCCCATAGCACTCTAAATGTCACATAAAGGCCCCCAGCCCCTGCAAAACATGCACTCATAAAACTAGCAGGTCTTCGTCACCCGAATCATGGTACCCATCCTAAATGGGTACTTGCCAAACCATTTTTCAGGCTAGTTCTTGTTCTCCTAATAATGCAGAAACATCAACTCTGCAAGCAGTCCTGTATCACCACCCAGCCCACTCAAGCTCAAGTTCAGGCCTACAATGTGCAAGTGGGGCCCACACCCATGAACAGGTTTGTACAGCATGAAGGTGGTCAATAAGCCACAGTGCTTTCCCTAATTACCCTCACTGGCCATGGGATCTGAACCCAATAAGGATGGGTGGCTGATACCATTAATAAATCACCCAGAATCCACTGTACAGTTGGGTATTTTGTTTCCTGACCACACATTCTCGCCAGATTTGGGCATCATGACATTTCACACCTAAGTGAGTACAGTAAGGGAAATCAGCTAGAGTGAGGTGGTCCAACACACTGCTCATGGGACACATGTGCTCCCCCCCCCCCCCAAAAGGCCTTCTGTAGCCCTCTTGCCACTCAGAGTCTCTCTGTTCTCTCTTCCAGTCGGGATCCCAATGATGGCACAGGCTTGATTGTGGCGAGCTCTCCCAAAATCACCAGCCCATTCCACTATCTTCCAGAGGCTCTGAAAGTAAACAGATCAGGCTGACAGCCTCATGAGAGTTCGGCCCCACATGCCCTGCACTGCTCCAGCTGGGGAGAGTTTGTCAGCTCAAGCACAAGAGGCTCAGTATGTCAACTCCAAGAAGGAAGAAGAGGCTGGGGGTGGGGGGCACGTGGGAAGGTTTCTGGGTGGAAGAAACAGGGAAGGAAGGGATGAGTCACCCCAAAGGAGCAGTCACTGTGCTTGGGCTGTGGGCAGAGAAGGAGCTGTCTGTGATCTCTGCAGCAATCACAGGTCCACAAAGCGCTGTTTTTCATTCATGTAGTAGTGATTCGTTGTACGGCCCCTGGGTTCCTGGCTGAAGTCCTTATGCTGCCTTTGAGGTACAAAAAGTTGGAGTGTCCTGAGCTAGAGTATGATTGCTATGCACAGGAGTGGTCAACAACCCACCATGACTTATGAATACCCTTGTGTCATGCAAGCCAGTTTAATGTCTATTAAATAGAACACACTCCATGCACCAGCAGTTCACAGAAACAATACAAATATGTTTAAACACACAAGTGTGAGAATCTTGCTTTAATTACACTAATTCTAAGTTCTGACACTGACCATCCAGTACTGATTCCTTTTCTAGCACTAATTGGAAAGTACTGGAAACTCGAAAGAACTGGAAAGTACCAATTGTCTGTGGAGTTTTTTTTCATACATGTTTAATTTATTTAAACATAATCACAAGTGAGACATTCAGCACAATGTCGCAGTGTATCCTCAGTACCTTAATAAAAGTGGGCTTGTTCAGGGCTACACCTTTTGGGGGCTGGCAAAGTTTACCTTTCTTCTTTCCCACCCTCCTGAACCTCCATAAGTATGCTATTCTGCTCTAAAAAGCTCAGGATTAAAGCTGATCATCAGCTGTACCTTTGAACAGAAATGTGTGGGGTGAGGATGGAGCAGAGAGATGTTTTGAAACTCCTGGTATGCATCGTGCTAAACCTAGTAGTGACCTCCAGGATAATACAAGTTCATAACAGCTCCAGCAGGTTACTTGTTCTCATCCTGTAACAAGCAGCCACTCCAGAGTCCCCCACCTCCCCACAGCTGACAGGGTTTACTTTCCCACCCTGCTCCCCTGGTTCCCAAAGCCTGGGGCCAGACCCTGGATTCAGCACATGACAACCCAAGTGTGTGTTTGTTTATACGTGTCTGTACAGGCCGCCTATAACTGCTGAAGCCTTCTGAAGTCCTCTAGGTCTGTTGTGGGTTATAGCGTTTTAAGACCCCCCTCCCCCGATCCTGTTTATCCTGTCTTTTAATATATAAGTTTCCCCAACACAGCAGACAACAAGAGTGGGGAAGGGAACAGGGAATTGGAGAGCAGCAATTTCACTGGGTCCACACCGTCTTAGCTCCCCCCAAGACCTCCAAGCCAGTTGGCCACCTTGGATTTAAAATAACAAAGCCAGCTGTTCAACAGAGAGGAAGGGCAATCTGTCCCGGCTCCTTGCTTTTATCCCATTAGATCAAACAGATGGGGTGACATCTCCTGACATTACCCAGGTGAGAACTGTATACTCTTTAGGCCTAACATCTCCAGGCCTTGGAGAGGAGTGTGAATCATTCTGTCCTTGGACTTAATTTACAGTTTCTTAGGGCTTTTTGTGTTCTAGGCACTGTCCAGCCCTCCCACGGCCTTGGCGCCTTGCTTTCCTTCAATTGCCACCTGGCTGGAACTGCCTGGCCTTGTATCAAGTGTTAACCCTTCCCTAGCTAAGGAGTTCTCAACCTGTTCTCCATCACACTCCCTATTTTTATATTTCACTGTTATTCACCTACTTTCAGCCATAGGATTTATTCCAATATTCACAGAAGATCCTTGTAGACTTTTTAAAATTCCCTGTGCATAAGAGAGAATGGCCTGTAGAAGGCAATAGAGAAAAGCAAGAATATCTCTCCAGTGATCCCCCAAAGTGTAGCAGCAGACAGATGTTCTCTCCCCATATAATGAGATGGGTTTTCTCATTCTTATCTCTGTGGCCTCAACAATCTGTAGAGTGGAAATTTTCTTCAACATCCCTAATGCAGCACAGTGTTGGGGCAGAGTGGCAGAAGGGTTGAGGCTGAGTGACACTAGCAACAAAGATGGAGAAAGGACTGCAAATCTCACAGCACAGCAGTAGAATGGCAAAAAACATGCACAAATGTTTTTTTGTTTTTTTTGTGATAAGAAAATGTTTGTGAATACTCTTCTATATTCATAAGGGCTTGGAAAAGAGGGTGTCCCTCACAGTCTCTCAAAATGCCAAATGTGACCACAACACCGAAAGTTTTGGGACCTATATACTATGTTATATGGTCCCACCACTTAGTTTAGGACCAGCTGTCATTTCGGAATCTAATTATTTAATTACTGTATAGCACTTTGAAGAGTGATGAAAGGTTATTTTCCCTTTCCTTCTTTTTTAACTGTCCCTGTTTTATACATGGAATTTATAGCATGCATAAAGTTCAGAACCCTAAAATATAAAAACATGGTAAAGCATAAAATGTAAAAACATTAATAAGTTTAAAATTACACAAAATAAAGCCAATGAAAAATCAAAGCAAGCCAAAACCAGCATAGCACAAGGGCTGAAAAAGCAGTAGCACAATGTTAAAAACTGAAGGACTAGAAAACTTGGGTTTTTACCCAATGCAAAAACTCCTAGAACATAGGCACCAAGCAAGACTCTCTGGAGAGGACATTC